TGGTTATCAAGACAGCTGATTTCAAGCATCAATTTGAAGAAGTTTACATGCAATATGTCATACATTGTATATTAAGACTTATGTTGGACACTGTCATAGAGAGCAGATGTATTTGAAGCATATTTTTTAAAAACTAAATGCCCCTTTTGACGACTCCACTTTGTTAATGACACCCCCCCCCCCCTTTTTCTCCTGTTTCAATTTCTATCCACTTTAATTCATTTGAATTGACCCCCTAATCCCGAACCCATTACCATTTCAAATCAACCGATCCCAGAGTGCGTCCATGTGAATTGCTAGGCGTTACCATCCAGAATGACCTGAAATGGAACAAGCATGTCTGCAACATTGTTTCAAGGTCAAGTTAGAATACTGTACATGCTCAGAACCTTCAAAAGGTTCGGACTTCCTGTAAAAGATTTACTGACCGTATTCCAGTCATACATCAGACCTATTACTGAATATTGTGCACAGGTTTGGCATTCTTTACTGACCTTGGGGGATTCCAACCAACAGAAAGTATCCAGAAAAGGGATCTATGTATCATTCTTTGCAGAGAGTACCAAACGTACGAAAATGCTTTCACAACTACAAAACTTGCCACATCGTTGGAAAGACTTGTCCAACAGAGACTATTAAGAAGTTAAAGCCAATTCTGTTGCCAAAGCAATACATAAAGGATTTGTGTGTTACGTACAGTCAGAGTTGTGATTGGCAATCTCGAGCTTGATTTCATCGTGAAAATTGGTGAAAATTCACAACTAGAGTGAAGTTTTGGTATTTCTGAATATTGTATAGTTGACGTGAAGAACCATCTACATACTGCTGAAAGTATGATGCCAACTAGCGGGAAAAGTCAGCAAAAAACTGATCGTCAGAAAAGGAAGAAACCGACCGAAAATGAACAGAGTAAAGCAATTTCGACGCCGGCAGAGTCGGGGACAGACGAGCTTAACTCCAGTGTTGATGAAGACGAAAGTCTTGTAGGGGGGTGTTTCATAAAGAGTTCGTAAAGTTACGCATGACTTTACGAACGACTTGTATATGAAGTGCCAGATAGGATGCCCTAAGTTTTTTCTGATATTTCCAATAACCTCAATTAAATTATGGCAAAAAATATACTTTGCAATAAAAATGGATGTTATGATAAGAATGTTAATCAACATCTGCACAGTTCAACTTAATAAATAATAATCAATAATTATTGAGCATCTCATTTGGCTTTTCATATACAAGTCGTTCGTAAAGTCATGCGTAACTTTACAAACAGCTTTATGAAACACCCCCCTGGTCAGTCAAGCGCAAATCAAGGAAGGGGCCCGAGTCTAGACGATACACTGAAGAATGCTATTGGAAAACAGATTGCCCTCTCACTACGATCATCGGACCTGATCAAACGTATAGCGGACGATGTATACAACGTAATAGCTGCAAAATTGGAGGAGCAAGTTGTGGAGAAAGTGTATCAAGCTGTCAGTTTGGATTTGAAGAAATACACAGATGAAGTAGGAACCATGAAAAAGAAAATAGCTGAAATGAAGAATGAAACAAAAAGGCTACAGGATGAGAAAAAAAGATGCAGAACAATATAGTGGGAGAAATTGTCTGCGAATATATGGCATTCCTGAAGGACCAGAAGTGAAGACAGATGAACTCATTCTACATGTACATCTGTTCAATACGAAGCTCGGTCTTACAGTTCAACCGGACGAGATTGATCGCAGTCACCGCATCTCTCCATGTCCGAGCCATGCTGCTAATGAGGGACACGAGTCATCGACTTCGCAACCGTACGCGAGTACTACGAGGAGGAACAAACCGAGACCGATCATAGTGAAACTTAGCAGATATAATGTCCGTAATGATGTACACAGAGCCAGGACGAGACTGAAGAATGCTGATGGACCAAAAATCTGGCTAAAGGAGGATCTCACCACAAAGCGAGCTAGCCTCTTTTGGGAACTTGTTAACAGCAAGAAGTCTAAGTCCTGCTGGACTCAGGATGGAAACATCTTCGCTCTAAGTACAAGGGACTCAAAAAAGACCAGGATCAGGACTACACAAGACATTGAAAACTTGTAAGAACTCCCTTTCCACTCTGTTATATTTCGATAGCTAATTATAAATCATGCCTGGACAAATTAATCTGACTCGCGTTAAATTTCCATGTTTAGGTTGCCGGAAAGAAGTGAAAGAATATCATAATGCCCTATTATGTGTACATTGTAACAAATGGGCTCATCTGAGATGTTCACGTGCATCTACTGATACGTTTAACTCTGATGCCAATTGGATGTGTAATTTTTGTATTCTTAAAGAACTCCCTCGATACGTCGATGAACCTGATATTTGTTCTCGAAATTCAGATGCATGTTACTATGAAAGTGTTGATAAATATTTTGAAAAGCTGAATTCACTCTCGGGTATTAATATTTGCCATTTAAATGTCAGCTCTCTGATATGATAAAGAATTTTGAAGAGATTCGTAATATTTTAACCACATCTAACATGCATCTTTTTTCTTTATGTGAAACTCGATTAGATGGTTTTATTTCTAACCCTGAAATATTCATATCAGGTTATAAACTTGTGAGATTAGATCGAAATAAAAATGGTGGTGGAATTATAACTTATATTAAAGACACCGTACCATTCAGGTTTGACCATCCAACAATCTATGTGTGAGCGAATTTGGAAAGGGGAGTATATAGAAACGGAGCATTTGATTTGTTTAAAGAGGGTTCCCCTACTTTTAACTATTTAACCCTGGCTCTGGAACAGTCCAACAGGGGTTTTCAGCTTCGCCCCCAATTCCGTCCGCTGGTTATTCGCCCTATTGAGCAGTGTGACGAGCGCTATGCTCGTATACGTGTCTATATACACTGAGAGGGCAAAGGTATTACCCATCACAAGCTAAAGAATTTTGAGAGTATCGTCTCATTATCAGCAAACAGTTAAGAAGTTTACTTAACTCATTAAGACACAGTAATCTTTCAGAGGAAGTAAAGAGTTCATTCAAAGCAAAGTTGAAAAGGGTAAGATATTGATGATTATTCAATTTATTTTTTTTTCATTAAATTTACAACTACCATTAACACCCCCCCCCCCCTGTATGATTGCTGGTGTTTGTTGGTGTAGTGTGTTACTAGGATTACCTAGTTAATCTGTATAATTTTGTATTTTGTTATTGATATTGTTTATACCATGTATTTTTCCCATTATTAAGAACTACTCTGTTGAAGTTTTTGTAGACTTTTTGGTAGTTTCTGTTTTTTCTCTTACAATGTATATTTGCCATTTTGTTTACCGGTGTTATATCCGGGGAAAATCTTGACAATAATTGGCGACCTTGCCAGGACAGGCTAAAACAAATTAAAATTGTTAGGCTTACAACAGGATGTGATATTATATTATATTATATTATAATATTGTTTTCATGCTTGAGAAGAATGAATAAAATAGCATGCTGAAGCAAAATGTTGAGGTTGTCTTGTTATTGAATAGTCAGGGGTGATTTTATCATTTTTAGTGTGTTGGAATCCAAAATGGTAATTTGTTTTTTTGTTTATTTTCCCTTGTTTATTTTCCCTCCCATATCGTATGACTAGGATATCCTATGACACACATACCGCTAGTCTCTAGCACATACCGGACAGGTGAGTCGGCGGTGAATGAATATGCACATTCAATAGTACGGCTTTCAAAAAGCGGTCTATCACACATCCCCAATTCACTCACGAGGAAAAAATGTTATACTACACGACGAGGGTGCATCTGTCCGATAAAGGCACGACAATATTTCTCAGCAACTTGCAAAATCTTCTGTCGTCGATTTGACGTAGAGGAGGGGGTTATTATGGGATGATTGAGTCCTTCAAGAAGTACCATTCAAAGCTAAGCAAGAAGAGCGACAGCCTTTTCCAGACCCCTAAAACTTCTGCTCCAGACTGTGGACCTTGGTATAAGAAGACTCCACTTGGGAAAAATAGTCTTGGCAACATAATGGCAACAATATCAAAGAAAGCTGGTTTGTCCAAAGTCTACTTAATTACCAATGCCTTTACATTGGAAATAGCAGACAATCTAGTGGATAATGGCAAAGGTAGCTAATAAGTTTCAAGCTCTCCCCGTGGAAGATGATGTTGATATCACCTCCAAGATCGAAGATGTGGTAGCTAGTGCAATGGCACTTATTCCTGATCGTCCACGTGGAAGGGGTACTGCCGCTGCTACTCGTGATTCCAGCAAGGAGCTGGTCGGCGACATCGTGAAGGCTGTTGTGGCTGCCGTCCTGCCCATGATCTACTCTTTGTCAACACAGATTGCAACCACCACCCACATATCAGAGGAAAAAACCAAAGCTGTTTTACAGCTCCACGACAACAGGTACGACGATGTTGAACAATATTCCAGACGGGATAATACATTTTTTCGTGCGGTGCCTGAAAGAGATTGGGAATCTTTGACTGCAGTGGTAACGGAAATATCAGCAAAGGCTGGTGTACCTCTCAGCAAGGCCGACATCGGCACCAACCACCGTGTTGGCAGGCCTCAATCATCAAAGCCCCGCCTAATCGTGGCCCTGTGAGCTCTGTGAGAAGGGGTACCCGCATCGCTTTACTTCGGAAGAAGAGACAGCTGCGGGATATCGAGTACAAGGATGTTATGCAAAGATACGAAATTCCTCCGAAATTTATTATCTGTAGGTTCATATACTCCAGATTGTATGGATTATGGAGAAACTGGACGAGGTTTGATTTTGAATCATGTGAAGGGTAGAATACTTAATTTTTGGTCAAGAATTTTGAGAGGTACAAATAGTAAATATTCATACATTGTGATATGCTGTGCACACTCTGCCTGTCCACTGATATAGGAGATAAATTTCACTATATTTTTGTTTGTCCATATTTTCAAAGGGAGAGATGTTTATATTTATCTAAAAAAAATTGTAAGTTTAAGCTTGAATATATTTTTTCTTTGCGTATTTGTTTGTTCTTTTTTCGGTTTCCAATCTCGGCTCTGTTGCAAAAAAAAAGCTGAGGTTGCATGGCATATGCCGTGTGTAATGCTCAGGGTTTCAGGCGGGAAGTCATCTTCGCTCACCCTTGAATTACATACTCCATAATGTGTATCTTGTCTGTGCAAAACCAGGGACTGTACACAGTTCACTCGCTTATCAGCAAGGGATGGGGGAGCTCCATTCGTTTTCACACTGCGGTTTTATCGCAGTGCAAGGCGAAGGGACAAATTGTTACGGCTAGTCAAAATATATTACTTTGTCACCCGGCTGGGTCCTCTAATGATTCCTTACAGATCGCTCTTGACATTATAATGCTCGAAGTAATGATTTGCATTCATTGCCGTTTGTTATTCTTTTCACTATGATTACTTTACTGACTAGTCTGATTGAAAAAGAGATAAATAATGATAATCAGCTATCAATAAAGACCATGGTCAAACACACATAAATACAAGTTTGTTGACTTCTTGATTTGTCTCACAGTTCGAATAATCAGCAGCATCATTTCATTATTTCACAATGTCACCTAAATTAATGACATTTATGTGACAGCAATATAGTTTGGAGTGCTTATAAACAGCCAAAACATGCTGGTACAAATTACCTTAACAATGCATTCAAGAAACTATATTGGTATCAAATTAGTTGCCTGTGCCTATCAGCAAAGGTGGCAGGCCAGCAACTGCGACGACTGTTGAACAAGGATCATACAAGGGTTTACGTCCCGTATGGTGCTCCAAACCTGTAACCACTCTCAGATCTTCCAGTGGCAAAGCAGCAGGTGGAAAAGAACCTTACAATGTAGCTCCTGGGGGGCATTTCACAAAACTTGTCATCAGTGACCAATGACAGTTTTTGTTATAAGCTACTGAAACCCTTGCTTCTGATTGGTTATCAGCAGCTTTGTCACTGATTTTTGTCATTTGTCATTGTAAAAAGGATTTGTGAAACGGGCCCCTCGCTTCTCCTCAGAATTCATCGTCATCTCCCAGCTCCAGATACTCATCGTAAGCCTGGCGATTGCAACCCCCCTCCGGAGTGAAGACGTACTTGTGGAACGTTCCATCGATGCAGATGGCGATGACGGACGACTGAGGGCCAAAGGCACATATGCACGCACACTCTGCAGGGACAGTGAAGTTTGTGAGCCCCCATTGAGATTCAGCGTAGGGTCCTAATAGTCCAACTTTGGCCAACCTGAAGGGAAGGTTGATAAGAGAAAGTGAATGCGAAGTATAAGCTTATTTCTATCCTACAGTGCATCCCAGAAAAACGAAACCGAGATGTATCAATGGTTTATCATAACTTAGGTAGATCATAGATTAGGTTATGATAAAACATTGATACTTCTCAGTTTTGTTTTTTCTGGGACGCACTGTATGGCAGGTAACATGCAGCAAGATATGAAATTTGAATGAAAACTTTGCAAAACATCATTGCAATCAAGCATCTTCAGGTAGCCTTCAGCAAAGTTTTTACATGTATATCATTTGACAATATCAGTTGTACATTCTTTCCCGCCAGCTGGAAAAGAAAGAGAGGTAGACCAGTAATAAAATGGAGGAGAACAATAGATATCTACCTAAAAGACAGAAATACAAAATGGAACCAAGCTAAATCAAATGCCCAAGACAGAACACAGTCGAGGAAACTTGTGGATCGATGTTCTCCACAGAACAGAACGGAACGATCTAAGGTCACAGACTTATTTTGACTTATGAAAACCAAGAAAAAAGATTATGATCAGATTATTTCACACTTTAGGGAGCTACATCGTGATTACAGTTACAGTACTTTCAATGAATTTTCTTTAATAAGATGAGATGTTGTTTAATAATCTACGCTCCAGCACCTTTTTGATGATCTACGAACAGATTAATATACAAAATTACTAACAAAATTAGCTAAGGATACAAATCTTTCTTCAGTCATTATGCTAGTTTATAAGATGATGAAGCAGATCCTAATCAAATGATTGGTTGAGAGCGTACACATGACCAGGCTTTTATTTTGCCTAACACATAATTTTACTTATGACCTGTCATTAGTAAAATCATGTTATAAAACATCATTTTATAAAACAAATAAAACATCATCTTATAAAACAAATAATACAGATCGTTTTGTTTGGGCATTAGTAAAATTACCCACACTCGGTACCTTTGAAATGGTCCAAACACCCTCAAATATCGCCTCGGGTGTGTTAGACTGTTCCAAAGGTACCTTGTGTGGGTAATTTTTTACTAATGCCCTCACTGCTGTGTATTATTTGTATACTGTTAAACTGAAAGACCACGCCCTTCATCCATTCAGAAAATGGAACGCCCAACAGAATGATAGATCTAGGTTGTAGATGCACTTACGATGATCTCTTGTTCAATGACGAATCTTTCAATGCAAAGATGTGAACTGTTCCCTTATCACTAGAAGCACACAGATAGGCAGAGTCATTGCTGAAGTTTATGCTGCAACAGAAAAAATAATAAATGGAAAGTTGATTTATTGACAGAGCAATGAACTTCCAGGTTGTGGGCTCAAAAACGTAGACCTCACACGACCTGGAAGGAGACACTAGAAGAAAGACATGAGAGCATCCAATGAGACGTCAAACCCCACAGCGTGAGAAAAACAGACACTCGATGATGATAATGATGATGTATGCTGGTTAATAGCATGCGTGCAAAACCTCTTCTCATTCATTCATTCATTCAACCACATGGGTATTTTTGTTTACCTACATTTCCATATGTGAACAATAAGAAATAATGAAAATCCTCATTCTGAGCACAATAAAATAATGAACACAAAAGACAGGAATAGAAGGTGAGGGGAGATATTTGGTAAAGTATTGGAAAAACATTAGGGAAGGAGAATAATATTTATGTTAATTTGCCCTTATTACCAGGATTGATTGTGACTTTCATATAGCACTTACCAGTACAGAGTAGCAGGATCAGAACCTCTTCGTAATTCAATGACTAGACGCTTGTTGAGGGTGTCAAACACTCGGATCAGGGTACCCTGTAACGAATAAACAATACCAAAGCAATGTTGTAGTTGTATGGTTTAAGCAATTGATTGTAATTGCAATGATCGTGGGTTAGATCCCTGACAACTTTACTGACAACGTCTTTTGGCAAGACATTAATCTAGACTTGCCACTCAATACCCAGGAGAGAATGGGGACTTGGTAGAATGGCGAAAGCCTATGTGATAGAAATTGAAATATGCTCTCACAGTGACCATTAGGTAGGAATACTCCCCAGGGAGTGCCAATTGTGCACACTGTGTGGGTACATGAATCCGATGACTATGTTATATCTGTAAAGCGCTCAGAGACAGTAGTCCGTATTAAGCACTATACAAATCCAGATTCATTTATCATTATTTAAGAAAATAAAATGAATATTCAAAGGTACACTGTAACTGTGTCATGCTGGTGCAAAGAAAGCACAAAACAAATAGGATTGTTATATATCACTGCAAGGTTCATATCAAAACTTCCTATCTTCACTGTTACAGTTTTTTTTCTTCAAAGGATACTCTTTGCAACAAATGTTGAAAACAAGTCAAATAACCTAGCAGTAGTAGTAATCATACAATTTGCATTTTCCAATCATACAGGCTACTATTAAAACTATGTCGGAATTACAAAACTTATCACTGTCACACCTCAATTAAAAATTCCAACTGGTTCTCTTTCCCTTTGTAAAGAAAGTTTGTACCTTCCACCCCACCTCTCTCTCTCTTTTTCTCTACCCATCTGCCTCTATCGCTCCCGTGCACTGCCTCCTGTCTCCTCACAAATCACTCCATACCTTAGTTGACGCCGTCGCAACAAGACTGCCCTCTTGGTTGATGGCTATACAGTGGATATCACCCTGATGAGCATTGATGGTGATTGGAGCTGATGACTTGCCTGGTTGGGCCAGGGAGAGGTCGACCAACTGGATGCTCCCTGACTTGTGACCAGGGAAGACGATCAGTGGGTGATCAGATGTCGGGCATGCTTCTAATATACCTGGATGTAAGAAAGGAAAGATAATGTGGAAATGTGCGCATACTAAAGCATGCAAAATTTCTTTCTCTCTCCCCCGTATTTTTTTTCCTCTCTCTCCCTCTCTCTCTCTCTCACTCTCTGGGTCATTCCATGTCAAATCACCCAATGGTTTTAACCCGACCATTTTTGATTTTGATGAAACTTAGTGTACTTGTTGAGTGTGATCTCACAGCACCAAATCCAAAATTTTAGGTCAATCGGATAAGGGGTTTGGGAGATACGGCCCACCAAATTTTGAGATTTTTCCAAAAATGGGGGTGGCGTGCCTACCTTTGAACCCTTGTATTTCGGGACCTAATGGGTCAATCTTCACAAAATTTGTATTGTTGGAAAGGGTATTCAATAAGAATTCCAAATCTGCCGCCATTTTGAAAATTTGTACATGTTGGGGTATTTAAGACTTATTATAAATTCTACATCAAGAACATGAAATTCCTGTTGGTAATAGAAAATATTAATGATTTGAATCAACATTTTATGCCTTTTAAAATAACTTTTACTAAATGTTTTCATAGATGCCAACGGCTTTCCATAATTGTTAAGTCCAACTTTGAGTTAAGTTCAACTGAAGATATTTGTGAAACACCCATCAGGATGTATAAAAGGAAAGATAATGTAGAAAAGTTCATGTACTCAACCATGCAAAACTTTCACCATGTGGACAAAGAAATTAGTCATTCAGTACAAGATCTTGAGTTGCAAGATTTGTTTGAAAGCCAACGGTAATGGTATGGACAAGTAGATAAAAAGAAGGAAAAACATAGAAACGGCCACTTGGATTCTGAGAAACATGTAAGACAAGAGGGATTGACCTAAAGGTATAATTGTATACATTTTATAAAACATATGGCTGAAAGTCCTCTCCGAGGAACTTGATCACTGATTCATACAGTGCAAATCACAGAAATTCAGCTTCCACAACAAAATCCTTAAGCACTGTGCTACAAGACCACCCTTATCAACAGTGTAAATGCCAATTCCTCCTCCTCAACCCCCCCCCCCCCCCCCACTCCCATAACAGGGAAAAAAGTTCATGATGATAATGATAACTCACCATTAGGGTTTGGTCGAGTGTCAATCGCCATCAATTTCTGTGGGTTATCAGGAAAGCTGTAGACGTAGACTTTTGTCCGCAGTGCAACTATCAATCTGAATATAGACAGAACAATAACAAATAAACATCAGAAAAAGAGAATGGAGAATGAATAAAAAAATTAAGTCAGAAATTATAAGCGTACAAATATCATGCTTAAATGATTAGGGGGTATTCACTATTAGTTGTAGAACATACTCTTTGAAGAACTTTCCTATATAATTGCATATTATTATTACAATCATTAATAATATCCATGGATCGTTCCGAAATATTTCTGAATGACAGATACTACTGAGTTCATATAATGATACAAAGGAAGCTCTGTTGTGAATTTGTTAGGAAAATGTACAACTTTGTACACAGAATTTTCAAGCCAACATCACCAGCCGAATAACTTTCCATCACTTTAAACAACTGGTGACAGCCTATGTGATGATCTGATATTGACTTCAATACTCCTACACAATTGAAAAATTTGCACATTATGTCATCTTTTCTTTTATCAACATCTCATTGGTACCTAGATGAGCAGACATGACACACAAACTCATGAATGAGACGATAAGAAGCCAAATAAATCTCTATCATCTTTTATCATCTCATGAAAAGCAGTAATCTGGAATCAACTACAAAATCATTTTATCACAATAAAATGAATATTTACCTCTCTCTGGTAAGTCTAACAGACAGTACCAGGGCAGGAAAGGTGAATTCCAGGATGAACTTCTTCTTCAGGTTGTCCCATATAAGAACTGTGTTCTCTGCAAACTTAGGGGTAGCTCCTCCAGCTGGATGTAGAACAAGTGCAAAGCAAAATATTGAATCAAGTATCACACATGCCATGTTTTGTACTTATTCTAAAAATCTTTGAACAAGTAACAGCTACAGTTTGAATTTGTATTATACAGGTTTGAAAATTAGCAACAGTTAAATATTCCTCCTGAACCAAAATAATTATCCATCTATAAATCCACCCCTCTCTCTCTTCCTTTCCCTATTTACCATTCATCAATCTATCTATCAAACTGATTATTCAATCCCTCACTCTGCCAATCAATCTGTCGATGTGTACATTCATTAATGCAGGGTGGTCTACAAGGAGTTTAAACATGAAAAATCTGCAGGTATGAATTTTTATTGTACAGGTTTGAAAATTAGCAACGTGTTAATATCCATTCTAAACCATTCAATGAGCAGAATGCATCTAAGAACCTTAGAACCTTTAAGCAAGCCCTCAAGCCTGACCATGATGGACTTCATGTTTTGCATGTACATCAGTCCATACTCCTTCCTAAGTAAAATTTTACATGTTTGAATTTTTGTTCGGGGACCCCCCTGTTAATTCATAAGTCCATTAATGCAATACATACATTGAGAAACAATCAATCTTTCAATCTACATGTAATTATACATGTTAATGTGTCCATCTGTCCATCCACCCATTCATCAATCAATCAATCAATCAATCAATCAATTCATCTGTCCATCCATCCATCCATCCGTCCATCAATGGAAATCTTACCCACTACAGCTATGAGATTGGTTCTGTGAAGCATCTCAACCTGACAAACACTCCCAACATCCTCCTTGTCTGCAAAAAAGGACAGAACAGTGCTACATTAGAGACGAGGCTTCAATTAGGAATACAATGGATATGATAAATTTTGAAACAATAATTTTTTTTAATTTCTTAAAAATAATGCATATACATGATTGCAAGTTTTGATATTTTGGGAAACAACTTTCCCAAGGAAAAAATCTCAACAAATGGGCTATACACATGAGACAATGAAGTTAATAATAGTGAGTCCTAGGTGCTCCACTTGCACAAAATACCTCAGAGGAAAGAATGACATGTAGCCTCTTCTTACCATGTAGTCAGATGGAGGAGGGAAAAAAAAGTGGACTGGGACAAGTGAGACAAGAAACTAGCAATTCTTCTACTTGGCCTTATAAATGTTAGATATATATTCTTTCCCCGACACTCGAAGCAAAATTTCTGAAAAATATGACGGACAGAGGCGCAAATCCCAAATCAAGATTACTCTGTGAACTGAAGGCTGATAGTTCTCACCTAATCTTAACTTGAGAGCAAGAGGGTCTGCATTGTAGATAAGAAGTCCTGTCTCGGTTCCACAGCTGAAACAACCTGGTGGGGAATAGTTACAATTGATATTCTTTTTAAACGATTGTCTCACGATAAAAGTATGACATTGAACTGAATCATGGTTGCAGGGCAATGCTACTGGGAAAGTATATTTAAAAGGAATAACCAAACCAAATCTCGCAGCATCAAACTACCGGTACACCTTCCATCCACTTAAAACTAAAGTAATATGTACACCTGTATGTATTTCGCAACTTTTGACATGGTACCATCAACTGTTGAGCAATGTATGAGGATATTGTACTAAATATTATACTGGATGTCGTAAATGAAGCATACTTGCTGTCAAATTAAATTTTCTCAAAATCTCCAATAGGTAGATACACCCTTTTACGTTAACAAGAGTCCCATGCACTGACATGGGCTCCATTTTAAATTGCAAGTAACGCCATTTTAATTTGCGAGTAAACATTGCGAGTAACTTTGATGCAGCATGCAGAGACGCAACAATGAAAAATTGATGACGCAATGTTTACTCGCAAATTTAAATGTTGATCTTAACAGTGAAGGGGTGTATTCAAGTCTTGCAACCATACAAAATGGAGGCTATATAATTTGAGATTGCTAACTGCAATCGTAGTTCATTTTTAGAAGGGTTAATAAAGCACCAAAAGATGCTTTTTAGCAAAGTGCCTCACCTTGGTCTTGGTTGAATCGAAGTGACAGAATTCCTCTCGTTGCCATGGCGATGATCAACAGGGTTCTTGTGGTCCGGTGGTGGTGCGATTGAGTTGCTCGTCAAAGTTAAACCTTTTTCTGTTTGATCATGTGCAACTTACACTGTGGAAGTCCTTCCAACTGAAGGTAAAGAATGAACAAAGTCATGGTGTTAAAGTGGTCAATGGTGATATATGCTCTTGCAATTTGCAAAGATCAAGAAAAGACCACAAATTAAGACATTTTGCATGGGTAGAGACTAAATGTACCAACAATAATGAAAAGTCAGACGCTAGTTCAGAAGTCTATCCAAAATTTGACCCATAACTCCGGCGTGGATTCACAGCAAACTAAAGCGCAATACCATACATACACTGTCCCGACAGTCGGGTGCCGGTGCGCGCGAAGTTAGGGACTGTAATCTTAGTTTACGGTCGCTAACTGAACACACTCGCACGCCCGCTCCCCACCGTCGTAACGGTATGCAATTGTATTGTTCTGCAGTTTGCCATGAATCCCGTGAGAAAGTGCATATTATAAGTCTTTGTTTTAAGGAAAAATGCTCCGAAAAAGCTAAGAAAATTGACACGAAACAGGTAACAAACATATCGTCTTTTAAATCAAGCCCTTTATTTGGACATTTGATGATTAGACCTAGACTCTAGAATCTACAAATGACCTATTCTGGGTATGTTTTAGTAGGGTATCTCCACGCTGGAGTTACGGATGAAAGTTTGGATAGACTTCTGAACTAGCGTCGAAAGTCATTGGAAGGGTACAGTAGCAGAGTCAGAGATGTCAGAGTATCAAACAAAATTCTGGAAAAACGTGTGCTTGTAGAATCAATGAATTAAATTTAATCAATTGATATCAACATGGAGATGGACCGTCGAAATACAAACCGCAAATAGTCTACATCTTATTCTACACACAGACACAAACACAGTGGCATTAATTACTAGTGCACATACAGACAAGGTTGCAGCCAAAAACAACACAGCATCAATCAAGCAAGTATCCGAATTGGCCGACATTTTGAGTTGTCTCGCACAGCACAGGGGTGGTATTCTGAACATTGAATAACACAGCACAATCACGGAAGTGCCAGTCAGAGGTCATCACCATTGTGTAGAGATCGTGAATTCACACGGTACACGTGAAAAGAGAGCTGAGCTGTATCGGTCTGGTAAGAAAATTGCTTTTATTTTATTATTTTTACCTCCGATTTTTAAATTTAGGAGGTAATTAGGACTACAATTACAACAAAATTTATCAAAGCCACTGTCCAATATTGTTCCGGTCCGGGAAAGTGTGATTTTGGAAACATTTTAGTTGTTGTTTACCTACCTCTCCGTGGGACCCTATGGGTGCCGTTTAAGGCTCCCTCGAATAATATCATAAAAAACATTTCGAGGGAGTCCTTAAGGCTAGTTGACACGCCCATTTTTATGAACCCTACCAATCAAAATCTATTTTATATAAGCATGATAAGTAGGTCAACCAATAGGAATACTTTATGCCATATCTGAAGATGCGCCTAGCGCATACTAATCTTGGGCGTAATTAGTTATTTGAGCACTTATTACGCGCGTCATCATTATGCGCCGTTGAATGTGGATCATGAAGACAAATCACGCTTTCACTATATTGGTTAAGATGAAAGCATTAAAATAGTCATATCCTAGCATGTAATATCTTAGAAAGTTCTCATCTGTGATGTTTCCGGTCAACACACATCTTCTTCTAACTCGTCTATTGGCACAAAGTTGGTTCTGGGCAAAAAATATTGCCGCCATTATATCACCACGAAAGATACAACGTACAACCCCCTACCTAGTACCTGTTGTAAATTTGTTGTAAATACCATGCAAGATAAGATACGATAAAAGATGCAACAACTTTCAGAATACCAATTATCTCAACATATTATCTCCTGTGTGCATATGCAAATGAGGATAAAATGCCACTTTATTAATAGGTCTACGCACATTTAACGTTAGACTCTAACTTACAAGCGCACCAATTTATGAGCGCAGACGCGGCCAATAAGCAGATAAGATGAGAGAAAAGATGCAACAAAAGATAACACAAAAGTTACAACAATGTTCAAAATACCAACTTTATCTTATCTTCAAAGATACAACAATATTAGAGATAACACAGGGTTCAGAATACCGCCCCCAGGTTTGCATTGTCGTGTCTGCAAATGCACGAGTGTACCCAGCGAAACTCCAGTGTTCACCAACGCATTAGCGTCGGCAGCGATTGGTCCAGACGCCCCGCTGGAGCCTGTTGGTTGCGTCGTCACGAGTGCCTGCAGTCGACTCTCATGGTTCCAATCACACGATAAATTGACCATACAAGATATAAAATTAGCTCATTGTTTCTTATTGATAATCTTTAATGCTTTTTCAAAGAGAACATACCTTCTAATTGGTAATTCTCTGCTCTTCTACGATAGATGTTCGTTTTATTTCCAAACAAACTTCGCAGATGTCTATACATATTTTCTCCTGCAGTATTGTTTTTGTTTTTGTTTTAGAACAGGACGCCCTCTAATGAACAATACAGCAACTATGCAAGTACCCCAACCTTGCCCTATCCTAACCTAACCATAACCCTAACTCTAACCCCATATGACCTTTATTCTTTTTAGCAATTTCATAGAGACAGACACTGTTATATTACAAGAAAATAAACACAAAATTAAAAACTGTGAATCCATATCATAGCAATCTACTGAGTGCAAAACTAGACTGAAGATATAGGAAGAACTTATTGCAGAATAAGTTTCAAGTTGTAAGTTTATTTGATCTTTCTTTCAACATTTTGAAAATTACATTATAACATAAGCAGAAAATGCAAACATCCATACATGTCAACATGCATTGAAAAGAAAACTATACATTGATAAAAGAAGAGACAAGGAGACCTTGGGATAAGCTAGCTTGTAAAAGTAAGGTGCCTCAAAAACAATTATAACAAAAAACAGCTTTTAACAATTGTTGGTTAAAAAAAAATCTATAACTCTATAACTCTATAACTATAAACAATGTATGACCGGGCATGGTGGCTCAGTGGTTAGAGCGCCCGCCTCATGAACGGGAGGTTCGATCCCGGCCGGCCGAGTCATACCCAAAACTTCTAACAATGGGACCTTAATTCTGCCTTCTAGCTAGGCGCTCAGCATATTAGATTGGAGAAGGGTAGTAATAACATATTATGTTATGCAGGGCCCGCTGGAAGAGCAGTTTCATAACTAAAGTGGCTACCCTGGGTAAATAAAACATTATTATTATAATGTATTACTACTATTATTAGTATTATAACTACATGTTATTGAAGGTGGTAACAATACAAGCAATGTCAAAAGAAATACTGTAGAAATAACTATATATGATTATAAGTAGTAAAGTGGAATGGGAAAAGAAACCATAAACAAAAGGAGTATGTAAAAAAGAATCATATGAAATAAAAAAAGCTGGGAGAGGGGAAAATTGAAAAGGGCCCCTGCTATGTCTTCCCAGAGGACAGTGCCATTTTTTTTTTGTCTCTCTCATCACTCTCTCCTTCTTTCTTTCTCTCTCTCCTTCTTTCTCCCCCCCCCCCCTCCCTCCCCTCCTCTCTCTCTCTCTCTCTCTCTCTCTCTCTCTCTCTCTATCTCCCCTTCCATCTCTACTCTTCAGGTGGATTTAGACTTTAGATACTCATATTGTATTTGCAGGTGTACTTATAGTACATTGATATTGATCATGGTTACAGCACATAACAAGATAGACCAATGTTTTAATATAAGAAACGCAAGAGCTGGTTTGAATCTTTAATCAATCAATGCACTGTGTGTAAGCCTCACACAGAAATACATTCTCTCTCTCTCTCTCTCTCTCTCCCTCCCTCTCTCTCTCTACCTTCCAAATGAGTTTAGACTTTAATACTATATAGTAATGTGTTAGCAGGTCTATGGTATAGTCAAACCTGTCTATAGCGACCGCCCAAGGGAAACACAAAGAGTGGTCTTTGTAGACAGGTTCCTTTAGTACATGTTTCAATGAGAAACCATTTTCAAGGGAAACAAAACATGTGGTCTTTGTAGACAGGCGGTCACTAAAGCAGGTTTGACTGTACATTGATTAAATATTAAAGATAAAGACCAGTTATGGTCATGCGATTGCATTGTGAAAGAAACGTTGTGGAATCGGAAAAGGTAGATCATCTAGCATATAAGTATTGGTGTGCTGCAAGGTTCTGAATTCATCGGGTTTAGAAAGATGCATTATAGGACTACGCGACATGTGCGCGACACGTGCACGATATCTATCAGGTCCAAAAAGATATGCAGTAATAATTTACCAAATATATGAATTAGTAGGCGGTTTCTTTTGTATGATCATGTATTAGTCAAAACATATTCTTTCACATGATTGGTAATAAGAGCTTCCATTTCATTTGTTGAGAGGGGGCGTTTCCAAAACTGGTCTTTACCTTTAATCATGGTTACAGAAAATAACAAAATAGACCAATTTTTTAATATAAGAAACTCAAGAGCTGGCTTGAATCTTTATTCAATCAATCAATGCACTGTGTGTATGCCACACACGGACATACATCTACATTATACATTACTTTGACAAATCACAGTATGCTAAAGTGATCTCCAATACACACAGAAAGAAAATGCTATAATCTTATATTCATATATCATTTGTACAGTGTGTATACTAAATACAGAATTATACACCGTTATGTTACATATAATGTGACAGTATACACACAGCATATATTAAACAGAAGAGCTAGTTTAGCCACATATAATGTACCATTCTATACATTTTAAGTGAAAATGATAATGCTTGAATTGTGCATTCATCTATTCCAAAGTGCTTGAATAAACAAATGAGAATTTCCAGGCAATTTATTTTTAACTGTGTGTAAAAAAGAAGAAAACTTCTCTGGTTTCCAGTTAGTTATTCAAAGAGAACGAAAGAATGGTATTTGGTTATATCAGTTATCTTGCTATTCAAAACACTTTGGACTGATTTTGCATCCTAGCCCTGAAATAAGATAAAATTAGCCCAAAATAAGATGATAATAGCCCAAAATAAAATGAAAAGAACCTCCACAATGACACAAATTTTAAATAGATCTCAATTTCTTTCCCTTTTTCAACATGTATATATAGCCTCATGAAAAAGTGAAAGAAACAAACTGATTTGTAAGTTTTCACAACAGAATTTTGTTAATACAATATTTCTGAAAAAATATATAGTTATGTTATGAGAAAAAGGAACTTTAAATTGAGTGAAATGATTGGTTACTTCCTACTGGTACCCATTTAACACCTGGGTGGAGAGTGGCAAATGTAGATTAATGTCAGGCCAAAGGACATTAGTGCTACGGCGGGACTCGAACAGCGAACCATGTGGTCCACAGCCCAATGAAATATCCTTATATTCTATTACAGGAGTACCTTGACCATATTGTGTGTATTTACCAATGATAAGGGGCAGTGTGAAAATGGCCAGAAAAATAATCTAGAGGTTGGGGTCAATGTTTCACTGTGATAACAAGGCACCAAGTCTGAATTTTGAATTGTTTAATATTACTTATTGACATAAGAACCGATGTTCATTCTCTATCATGGAATTCGTTTTCATTTACCGGTAGTGACGATTGTTTGAGAAAATCGTAAGGGAAAATTACATGTGCACCCTTATAAACAAAAAAATACAAACTCAACCTAGTCCCTTTAAATCTGTAGCAATTATATCAACACAGAATTCTGGAATACTCTAACAAATATCCTTTTCTGGATAATAACAGGTTTGTACCTGTTTCAAAATAATTCAACTACACTAGTTATATATTTTTTTATGTTCCTTACAAAAATATGATTCAGTCTCTTTTTTACACTTGCATTGAATTCTGCTTTGAGCATTTCAGACTTACAAGTGTCTTTAATAAATGAAAATCTATTATGAATTTGCTGAGTAAAATATAAAGTTAACTCAAAACTTTTACTTTGCATACATATATGTATAAACCAGATACATGGTCACAATCAACCTTAAACATATCATCTGCGAAGAGCAAGATGGGCTCAGTGTTAATGTAGGTTTTTTTATAAACACCCTTTTTTTTAAACGCTCTCAGCAGACAATATTCTGTTGCATCGCTTTTTCCGATTCATCCACCAATGTGGTTGAAAATAATTTTTGGTCGGTCACAAAATTTACATTCATTCTGAGAAGTTCCATGGTAAAAAAAACAATGAATAAAAAATGAGCGATTTGAACAGTCTGGAACTGATTTTAAGTACGAAAAGCACAAGCTGCTGGTCAATGGTATCGCAGAGACAATAAAATATAACTCTGAGGGGGGGGGGGGGGGGGAGGGGGCGATTCATCTTTAGAAAGCCATTTTGAAGCATACTTCCCAACATTCTGCATAGCTGCCAACATTTAAAACATCTATCCAGGTTTCAACTGAACTTCTTTTTCTAAAATGTGCCTATTTCTATCGGTCACAATGAAATACTTCAAAGCTCAAACAAACATCAATGCAATAACTTAACAAGTACAAACAGAACACAGACATTTTTTTCGTATCAAGAACTCAAAATATGTCGGGCATTAGGGGCCAGCCCCTGAACACTCAAACAATGCCAAAATGTGTATCTTTTTTTTTTGTGTTGTGCAAATGAAATTCCATATTTTAAATTTCATCATGAAAATGATGCTGCCATTTACATAGAACATCCGAGTTCCACAGACCTTTGATATATACACTGTTGATTATATTTATGTTCCTACGTATAAATTGTATTGTTTGAACAGATGTCAAATATGTTGTCAAGTTGAATGGAAGGAAATAAATGTTCATTTGATTGAATTGAATTTGAATTGAACCATTTGATGATGATGATGGTGATGATTGTTTTACCTGACTGATAAGTGATAATAAAGCATATCCATGCTAGTAAGTTTACAACCAGGGGACCGACGGCTTCAAGTTTTTGAACCCGGAACCTCCCGTTTATGAGACCACTGCTATACCACTGAGCCATCAAGCCCAATATTCATAATATTTGCCTGCTGGGAGCCAAAAGGGCATTAAATCTATTAAAGTGTGAATTAATGACCCTCTGGCTCTAAGCACTGGATGTGAAAGATGTATTTAATTTGTTTTCTTCAATCAAGACTGGGTATAAGAATGCAATTATCCAAATTTTTGATCCCCTTGATCGTAGAAAGGTTGAGATACCAAAAACCTTCTGAAGAATTGCTACTTTACCAACCTGAATACATTTTCAATCAGAATAGAGGTAAGTGATCCCATGCTATCAAATTGGCAAGTCTGTGAGATGCCACCACTGTTCTGTATACAGATATATGCACATGTACTCATGTAATGATAATGACTATAATAACTAGAAGAAAACCTATTTGTGACCCTCCCACCCAAAACCATCTATAAAAGTCACAACTCAAAAATTAATATCAATGTACAGTGTGATGCCTCGACAAATGTTTAATTAAAAAAGATATATCAAAATGGCTATTAAAATATTGAAATATTGGCAGTTAAACAAATTTGATAATTTTCAGTTTTTTTTTTCTTTACAAAATGTAAATGGCTTCAATGAAGTGAGAGTGATCCACAGAAAATTGCTGTTAAATCAATTGAGTTGAAAGTCTGGACATGCCTCCTGAAACAGGTTAGACACGTGCATGCACAAACAGAGTATATTCACATTACCATCCATTTTGTATGCATTGCGGTGCCATGACCATCCGCTCTCAGGGGCATAATGCATCTTTCTACATTGAAAGTTGCAAAAACCTATTTTAAAATCAAAGAGGAATTTTGTGATCTTTATCCTCAAAAACTATGCACAAATCAGTACCAGAATTAGTAGTTTGAACAAAGATATTAACTAGTCCCCACCCCCAATCAAATTTATCCAACTGCGACTTTTCCAATAAATAATCTAGAAATAAAGAATTTACAAGATTCAACTGGGTATTCAACGATCTTATCTCCCCTAAGTTGTCTTTGATTACGGTACAATTGATTTGCTCTTGCTCTCCCTCTCTCTCTCCATATACACTTTATATATATATATATATAAATAATTTTTAAAAAGATACCTGAAAACAAAAGCAGGTAAACATTAAGAGTGCATATATGATATATCAAAACATTCTGAAAGAGTGACATAAATCAAAAAATGAACACAAAATAGTAACAATGTAAATATCATTCTAGAGGCATAAGAATTCAACTAAAAATAGCAAAATTTATCTCAGGTACATTACAAAGCTTTGCTTTTAGCAGCTGAAGGCATAAATGTTTTGTAAATTCTAGAAATCTGCATTAATTTGTACAATTCTTCAATGCGACATTTTGGTCAATGACATAATAGCATACAGATGGATTAATGAATATCCAATTTGAGACACTTCATTCAATTCATAGATAAATGCTGTACATAATGTTTTAATCACTCTTGTATGATACATATTTGCACATTCAGTTTAAAAAAATCAAGAGTACCTATCATATTTCTAATACAGTTCATATTTTGATGTATTTCACTTCAAATAGAACTTTACAATAGATGTATTTCGAGCAAATCATCAGCTAACCGCTGTATTCACAATGTCAAATACATTTCATGGACACACTGAGAACTCTAGGCTGTATTCCTAGCATCTAGTTAAGCTTGTTTAAGGTACACCTGTCACAACATCATGCACTGTATCCATACCGTTTGCTTGCATATCACTGTTTTGTATCCAAACTATTCTAGCCCATGTAACATAAGATCTACAATCAAATTTACAATTAAAGTGAATTGCGTTACTTTGGATAGTTTACATTCAATTCTGAAAATTGATCATTTGATGTTCTCGCAATCCCTGGCTGAATCGGATTTGAAATAATGATGGACTTTATGGAAACGGCTTATGCAAGCCAGAAAGGTTTAACGTCAAATCGGCAGCGGCTTGGCCAGTGAATTGATGTATTGACTGTGAGTTGGCGAGTGTGTCTTGGATGATGGTAGGATGATCTAATGGATGATCAGGTAGTTTTGCAGCTCAGCTCCGATTCCATAAAAGTACCCAGCATGACGATTTCTGCTTCATCAACCGTTAGCTTTCCGACAAATACTTTCCTGTAAAGATATGGAGAGTAGATAAAAGGAAAGACTTTTAATTGTAAACCAATAATAGACATAACGCTACTAAATGAATGTTATTCCAAAGATGAATCATAACCTCTTCTCCCCCACCTTTCACAAGAATTTCTAAATTATAAATATTCAGGGGACAGTCGCCCCATTTCCAGGTGGTCTATTTGTAATTTTAATACCATACCTAAAAAAAATCTTGATAAAAATTATCAACATTTTGTTTACCGCCTGCTCACTTAAAGAACGTAATTTGAAAGACAATACTAATTTAGAATTTACTTCAAAACGAAAGGGCTTGAAAATGGCTTTTAGTGAGAAAATAACGACCATTAGTTGTCGACTCAACTTAAGTGATTGCAATCACCTAAGAAATAGTCTGATTTTCAGACCCTTTTACCGAATGGTCGTACGTTTTGTGCTGCACAAAGATTCAATCAGTTTAATTTTGGCCATTACACGTAGTGGGTTATTGATGTAGATAAATGCTCATGTACCTTTTACAGCATTACCAAAGAATAAAAGATGTCAGTCAGTCACTCAATAGTGTCTGACAGTGAAGTTTAGCAAGTAAACGGGTTCCCTCGCATAATTTGAATATTAGGACACTGCTAACGTTTAAATTTCACACAGACATACATGACATATTCATAATTCCTGCAAAATTCTACAGAATTTGATGTTGGCTGCAAAAAGGACATAGTATTTTTAAGACAGGACACAGGAAAGTTTGACATACAGGCAATGAGACTGTGCTCCTCCAACCCCCAGTGAAATTGTACCCGTGCACCTATCATATCTGCAATGCTTGACTTGTACTTTCAAACGAATTGAAGAAATTGAATTATATTATCAAAATGTTATTGTTACAGGTGTACATACCTGTACCAAATCTTTTCTTGACTAACGACAATCTATAGAAGGTGTTGAGGAGTTCGATATCGACGCCTGACAGTGTGGCGCCCTCCCCGCTGAACTGTACTGCTAACGTGGCTGGTTTGCTGGGGCCCTCTGCGAGCTCAAACTTTGCTCGTAACGAGCCTGGTTCCCCACCCGGAGGGATCTCTCCTATCTTCCATAAAACTCTCTTGCTTTCAGATGACCTAAACATGAGCAAATATAACATAGACAGTGGATTTAATGCCAATGCTCAACTTGCTCTCTCTCTCTCTTTCTTTCTATCGCTCTCTCCCTCTTTCTTTTTATCTCTCTCTCTCTTCCTCTTTCTTTCTATCTCTCTCTCTCTCTCTCTTCCTCTTTCTTTCTATTTATCTCTCTCTCTCTCTCTCCCTCTATCTTTCTCTCTTTTCTCTCTCTCTCTTCTTACTCTCTCTCTCTCTCTTTCTTTCTCTCTCTCTCTCACTTACTCTCTCTGATCACTTGGAAGAAAGAAACAAGTCAGAAACGACTGTGTGATTCTTGATCAATCCCATCACAGTGGTCATGGAAGTGCAAACGGTTTTGCCTTCTGATGACCTGGGATAACAGTCCGTCAAAGATACTATGGGATGATTTAATCCATATTTTTGTAAAAGCATTTATGTTTGGCTCTTGATTACCGAAGACGAACAAGCAACAAAGATTGAATCAAAGTCAGCTCGAGTATCATGTAACTTTTCTTCAACGCTTCACTTCAACGACTGGGGATGGTAGTGATGCTGTTGATAAAAAAAAATTGGCTATCACCACCCATTTATGAGGCTCTGCAATTGCCCAATTACCATTACATTTTCAAGACTTTACTATCTCTTTTTCCCAAACAGGAGCTACAACACTGGAGTTACCGCCCCCCCCCCCCCCCCCCCCCTCCCCACCCCCTTTCCTCTCCCCTGGATCTCTTAGCCCTACTCATTTCCAAAATGTAAAACTAGGCCAGAAGGGCGCCCTCACTCACCACGTAGCTGCTGGCTTAGAATGCATGACCGTTACCCCTCCATCGACCGGTACTATCAGCGATACATTGGTAAGAGACTTAGCCTTGTCCATAGAGCCCGCGTTGTATGCGTAGTCCACTCTCAGGTCTGTGGTGGTGGAGTCGCACTTCCAGTAGCTACAGAGGTGCAGGGGCGTCGACTTGCCCTCCGAGTCCGCTTTCACCTGTAGATGAAAGAGCACCGGGAAATCATTGTGAGCGAAGCTTGCCATTACACCACATATTCTTCAAGAGTGATTAGGTGGCCATGATAAGGGCCCATTCTTGCTTAGTGCTATCATTATGCATGTACATGTACTCAAATTCATAGCATGAATTAACACTTGTGCTTAAAGGAATTTTTTTTAAAAACATGAAAGTTTGTCGTTAAGCCTCAAATAAGCCCAGTATGCATGTGGCCATATGGCCAATAATGTATGTTTAGCTTTAATGTAGGGGCACGAAAAGACGCGACCAGAACGCAAAACGCTTAATAGTTATAGTGATGTCGATAAATTAAATGTTCTTTTTTGACATGTATCTGAATGAAAGTTTAGCTAATATTAAGCCTAATCAAGATGTTACATGCATTTACCAGCTCCATATCCTAACCATGTAGTTCTACCTCTGTGTGATAAATTCACGATTTTCACCAAGTATGCAGTTTGTGTTCCGAACATGTGTTTTCTTGCGACTACATTTCGTTAAAGCTACCTTATTCTGTTCCACTATGGAGGTGTCAACCATGATTTAGCCCATGGATCAAATTTAAAATGCCAAAATCGAATTCAGTCCAATGCATCTCTTCATTCAAATTGAATTAATTGTTGAGTTCATTTGATTTAAGTATGCAGTATGAGCTACGTTCCTTTTTAGGAAGATTGCTTCTAAATACATATTTCTTTTTAGAACATATAGCTTCTTAATCCAAAATATATGGAAATTCTGATGTTTCAAATCCAAAACATGTGCATTTTTTGTATGGTTTGGAAGGCAAAGAGGACCAGAGGGCTGTTCTACTTAATGCATGAAGCAGAATAGTAATTGACCCCTCTAAACATGAGCAACACTTATAGCAAGACTGTTAAATTTAAGTTATGCCATGCAAAAAAAGCTTGTTATATTATTTACACACTCATGCATATATCACATTCGTAGTGTCACATGATATCTTCTTGACCAATAGGATACTCTCAAACAAATCTATGTTTAAAATAAGTTCATATTTCTTCACATAAGTTTTAACATTTACTGATTTTATCATGTATTCTGGACTGATTAAATCAATGATATTAAATGAAATCGAGTGAAAATTTGATTGCTTATTCTTTCTTTTTCCATAAAAAACACTTTTTTTTAATGCCCTAACATTTCTACTACATGTACATAATGGATAATCATGATTGTCCTTACTTGGTATTTGAGGATGTCTACATTGAAGTACGATGCTGCAGCATTCTTTTCTACTTGGCGTCGTAATAACGTTACAAGGTTAGACATGTTGAAGATGTAAGCAGTGCTCTCACTCGTCGTCTGGGTAGCGTCACTATGGCAACAAGAAAGAACAATGATTACTAGATGATATCTTGAATGTAATATACATGTATGTTTGAAGTACACATTGTGTTGATTGTGTGCATTCTACACACATGGGATATTAATGAGAGAGACTTTGAAAAAATCCTCCATCTATAACAGCAAACAAATATGCCTTTATATTTTCCCTACATTGATATAATTATGCTGACGTATAAAATATATAATGTGCATACATGTAGTTATAACAGTAAATATATAAATACACATGTAGCTACCAACAAGAACATTTGCTTATAATCACTTGCGGGTTTTGGTTAGGTAGACAAGTTCACTGACATCCCATTTGAACGTGTTTTGAATTCAATACATGCGTTTCAATAGGTTGTCGGCGAACTAATTATTATGTTAGTTCATGAAACCCTGCCCAGGTCTACATGTATGAGACCAAACTCTTTAGACTCCCAAGCCATCCGTCTATTCTGGCTCTCTGATCTTAGAATTTCAGGATAGTCATCAGCGGTTCCAGAAGACTGTAGGCCTAGATCTTGTCGTCCCTTGTCTATTACTGGGCCCTTGGTCTGGTGAACCCTTTAGCTAAATATCATCAGGTCTACATGTATGAGAGCACAGACTTTCGACTCCCAAGACATTGGTCTATTGTGGCTCTTTAATCTAACAGAATTTCAGGATAGTTATCAGCGGTCTCAGAAGACTGTACACCTAGATCTTGTGGGTCCCCTGTCTATTTGGGCCTTTGGTCTGGTGAACCTGTAGCTAAATATCATCAGGTCTCTACATGTATCAGACTAAAGACTTTGGACTCCCAATCCATCGATTATTATGGCTCTCTGATCTTAGAATTTCAGGATAGTTATCAGCCGTTCCGTAAGACTGTAGCCTTTGTTTTTTGGGGTCTCATGGACTGGAAGTCGGCTTGGAAGTGGGCTCATACACTTACACTGAAATGAGTTGTTTGTTTGGCAGAACGTCTAAACGATGTGTGTTCTTGACTTTGAAGGCAAGCATGGCAGGTTGGGGGTTACAGGTCAGCGCTTGAATGATGCCTGCTGGGAAGGACAGCATCAGGTCGCCCGTGATCTTCACCATACATCTGAGAAGAGATGAACAGAGAAAATAGTGTGAATACAGTGAATTTGAGCTTCATTGAATATCAACTTTAAAGATAAAGGTGAGTTCTGGTAATGCGATTGCATTGTGAAAGAAAGGTGTGGTATGGATCAGAAAAAGTTGATCATGTAGCATGTAAGTATTGGTGTGCTCTGCAAGGTTCAAAATCATAATAAATTTGGCCCAGTTTTGGTAAATTAACAAGCACTGTACACAGAAAGATGTACATGGGACTACACAAGTGGTGTCAGGGCTAGCTTACCTTGATGTCCTTATCTTTCTATGCTCATTATTCAGCCAGTATCCATTTTTTTCCAAAATCGTTTGGCACATGACATGTATACATTCAGTGTAAGTTTCGTTTGATTCTGTGAAAATTCATTTTCTTCTTTTTACTACAACTCAAGTTTATCTTTAATCTATACAAACATAGAGTTTACCAATTCACACTACATTACAGGACTCTATTCTATTCAAAATACTAACGCAGCTGCTTTCTCCTGATATCAAATCAAAGTTTTGTTACATGATCATATAGCTCTTAATAATATCTAAAATCACAAATACTTGCCCCACTGACATATCAAATACAGCCAAACCTGTCTTAGTGGCCACCTCTCTATAAAGACCACCTGTCTGGTCATCCATAATGCCTCCCTCTAAAAAGAAACATGTCTTGAAGAATCTATCTATAAAGAACACCTGTCTACAGTGGCCACTCTTTGTGTTTCCATTTCTTGGCCTTTATAGACAGGTTTGAGTGTAGACCCCTCCGATCCGGGTTAGTATGTAAACCTCTCTCTATTAAAGCCCATCTGTACTAGTTTACAGGAGGGATTAGACCACCCTGCAAAGTCACCGACAGGTGGTTATCTCATCAAATCAGCTCTCACTTAACATCCAAAAAAGAGGATCATGGGGGACCAATGGTCACCGATTAGGCATTGATTGCTATATAGAGGGCGCAAGTAGCTATAAATAGTACAGTGGGGCTTCAAACTTACTTGGATTGCTCGTTGCCTTTGAAGTAAGCATTGACAGACTCAGTGAAGGCGGCTGCTATAGGTATAGTATCATTCATCCCCAGTGTGAGGGGGCTAGGCCCCCTGGAGCCCCCTACGACCCCATGGGTGTTGAAGGGGGAGAGCCCAGAGAGGGAGGAGTTGCTATCTTGTCTGGGCAGGCCGGGGTTGTCACCACTGCTGTGGGTAGGCGACTGAAACAAAACAAAAATTCATTGGTGAATTCATTGCCTATTCATGTGCATTTATTTTTTTCTCGTTTATTTTAATCATCACCTTCAAGATCATCGTAAGCATTGTCAAGATCATCATAAAGATCATTGTCATTATCATCATCACTATCATCAATACTATCACCATCACCACCAACAGCAGCAGCATCATTATCATTACCATAATCATCCTCACCACCACCACCACCACCACCACCACCACCACCACCACCACCACCACCACCACCACCACCACCACCACCACCACCACCACCACCACCACCACCACCACCACCACCACCACCACCACCACCACCACCACCACCACCACCACCACCACCACCACCACCACCACCACCACCACCACCACCACCACCACCACCACCACCACCACCATCATCACCATCATCACCATCATCACCATCACCACCATCATCGTCATCATCATCATCATCACCATCCTCATCATCGACATCACCATCACCATCTTCATCTTCATCTTCATCTTCATCTTCATCTTCATCTTCATCTTCATCTTCATCTTCATCTTCATCTTCATCTTCATCTTCATCTTCATCTTCATCTTCATCTTCATCTTCATCATCATCATCATCATCATCATCATCATCATCATCATCATCTTTATCTTTATCTTCATCTTTATCTTCATCTTCATCTTCATCTTCATCTTCATCTTCATCTTCTTCTTCATCATCATCATCATCATCATCATCATCATCACCACCACCACCACCACCACCATCATCACCATCACCATCACCATCACCATCATCACCACCATCACCATCATCATCACCATCACCATCATCATCATCACCATCATCACCATCACCATCACCATCACCATCACCATCACCATCACCATCACCATCACCATCACCATCACCATCATCATCATCATCACCATCATCATCATCATCATCATCATCACCACCACCATCATCATCATCACCATCACCATCACCATCACCATCACCATCACCATCACCATCACCATCACCATCACCATCACCATCACCATCACCATCACCATCACCATCACCATCACCATCACCATCACCATCACCATCACCATCACCATCACCATCATCATCATCACCATCACCATCATCATCATAATCATTGCCTCCATTACCATCATCATCCTCATATTCTTCTACCGCCCCCCTCGCTTGAATTAAACCAACCTGCATCCCGCTGCTGCGAGGTCTTGACGGGGGTCTGGCTGGGATGTTTGGGATCTGCGAGCCTGCTGCTGCTGCGGCCGCTGCAAACGTGCTTCCTACACTGTGCCTCTGCTTGGCCGGTAGGGCAGGTGGCAGAGAGTCACTCAGCGTGGTGGGACTCTGAAGCAGATCTACTGGGGTTACAGGAAGTTTAGAAAGAAAGAAGGAAGGAAGGAGGAGAGAAGGTGAGGTAGAGTGATAAAGAGAGAAAGAGAGAAGAGAGAGGTAGGAGGAAGGGAGGTAGAGAGAGAGGGGAAGACAGATAAGATAGAGAGACGGAAGACGGATAGGAGGGAGGGAGGGGAAGAAAGAAAAAGAGAGAGAGAGGGGGAGAGAGAGAGAGAGAGCGAAAGACAAGAGCAGAGAAAGAGAGAGAGAGAGAGAGAGAGAGAGAGAGGGGGTAGATACAAGATGGCAGAAAATAGATAGAAAAAAATAGACAGAGAAAGTCAGATACATGATCAAAGAAATGATCAGAAAGAGAAATGCAAGTAGAGATAGATAGATAGATAGAAATAGAGACATATAGATAGACACAGAGAAAGAGAGAGAATGGAGAGAATGGGGAAAATATTCATAATATCTGAAGATCCTTGGTCACATACTATATATAGATGTAATACTCTCTCACTAATTAGCAGAAATACTATTTACACGTATCTAGAGGCCATATGAATGCATGACATGATGTTTGAATAGCGTATTACATAATCACTTACCTGCGGAGGGCTCCGGGAACTGAATACATTATCTCGGTAACAATTTCATAAAACATATCAATATATACAAGAGCTTGCTCCAATGTGGCAATCAAAATAGAAGTCGACAAAAAAGTGATGATTTACACATTTTCCTTAAAAATACATGAATAACTCCTGGGAAATTACTCTTTGCAAACATATAGTTTTCCATCATATTGATAATCAGAAACTCAGAATATCCTACAGTAACTGCAACTTGAATATTAACTGTAAATCTTTGTTAGCACTATTCATAGACTTTCGGAGATGGAAATACAGGGGATCATGACTAGTGCGCTATAGGAGAGTCTACAAATGGCAATAATTTATCTAATAGGAAGCCCTTAATTTCAGCAATAATTTGTTCCTCTTTCCCTAAATCATCTGTTCATCCCTAGTACGATATCACTTGCACATTTAACAACCCTACACCCCCCCCCCCTCCCTCTTCCCGTTCATTGTCTTAAATTAAGAAGCTGACTTGCGGCGAACCCAGTAAGGATGCAATAAATTAATTAGTGAATAAATTGAGGTGCAGATCGCCCAAAGGTTTAGACTCTCTGAATATACTGTCTTGCATAATATACACACAGTATCCAATAAAATACTCAGTTATCACTGGCATGCAAGTCAAATTGCTTAGTTTGTGATACACTTAAATATTATAATTTTGTTTTAATATATTTATTGTGCTCGTGCATTCTTTGATTAGTAGAGGAGACATTATGATTTAATCGGCAATCATGTCTCATTCTTTTAATCACATAAAGTTCCCCCCTTTTCAAATCTGTAATGTATTTGATACATGTACAAGCAGGTAGATTTGAAGAATTACATCTAAAAGCGCCTCGCAGAATAGAGAGTACACCCTTCATAAAAGTAAATAAGAGTGAAGTATCTACCTTCCCCTAGTACAGTTACAGAAGCCCAATACCCTATGATACTTTTATATACCGGTACATCTAAAAAGATGACATCTTCCAAGGAGATAGAGAATAATGTATGTTTGGAGCCAAAAGGACGTTAACCCATGATATCTCACAGAGAGTCAACTGATATAATTACATGTATGAACTGCAGAATTTAAATACATTCTTGAATATAATTTAATACAAGTAGAAAAGAATTACTGATACTGTATATCTATCAAAATCATATCTACAGATTTATTATCTGAATTTTGTGCGGTCAGATTATTAAGAGGATTATGATTGGCCAAAAGAAACAAAATTAATGATTAAGTAGGGCCAAAAAAGTAGTACAGAGAAACAAGAAAAAAATGATATCCACTGCACACTAAATATATAAATATAAAATACATACACAGTTAAAATCCAGCATAATACAGAATTTTTGTGTTTGGCATAATTTTGTCTCATCATTATTTGAAAGCTATACATGATAATCAATATATTCCCTTTTCTGTTTCATTTCTTAATTAACATCTTATATCAAACAATTATAACACGTTCATTAACCCTTTTAGCTTCACATGCCAAAGTTTAGGAATTTAAGGAAGCACAAAATTCAAGAATTTAGGAAACAAATATGGAAACACTTAGAATGGCCAATTTGATACATACTGTACAATATTTGGGGATTTTTTAATTTTTATTTCACATCAATTTTTTTTTTAAAACTCTAAAAGTGGCCTGTTATGCATGTTCGGAAGAAAGGATCTAACAGTATAAAATCAAAACATAATATACAGGCATAGTGAATGCTAAAAGGTCAAATAACTGAACAATATGGTCCTTGCAAAGTGCTATATATACAGGGATTGCAAATTTATATACAGATTACATATTGCTTGCAAATTTATAAAGTCCAATTAACCAATGGGGAAAAAGAGAAACATAGAAAATATCATTCAAGTTTGTAAATTAAAAACAAAGTTAAACCCAGAATACATTAAGGGAAAATGATAGCAATAATGATAATGCTGATACAAGGAAAAAAGAAAAAATATTTAGACAGAAATTAATCAATTGACCAAGTTTTTCACCAAATATATCTGACCAAAGTATATCGGGGGCAAACATATAATTTAAACAATATTTGAAATAGGAACTACAAATAGGTTATATGATAGTTATTCTCATACCGGACTTTGGTTTAATTCATAAATCTACATGAAATGTTATCCCTGATCATTTTAACAGCAAATAATCTTTCGTAAAATCTATCAAATTAGTGAGTCTTAACAGTTTTTATTTTAGTGTATCAGCAAACAATGGCATACATAGTTCCAATTTTACATTATTATAAATTGTTGAATAGATACTCAAATGAAAGGACCAATCCTCTATTTCAATGAAACTAGATAACATAAATACTGAATTAAATAACCCTTTTAGTATCAGCATGCCCCCGTAACCATTGCCACTTATTCTGCCTTTGTAATACTAACAAGGATTAGAAATTCAACGCAAGTTGCCAACCCCAAATGATACAAATTAGAAGAATAAGTAAAGAGCCCAAGTTTGTTAAAAAGTTAGTCATCTACTATGCATAAGGAAAACCTAAGTCTGCAAGGCCGATCGAATACCGCTACAATAAAAAAGAAAATCAAAAGTTTGGTCAAGATATAAATATATATGATACAGTAACATAAAATCATATGCACTGATACTACCGTCTACTGCGTAATACATAGTCCAAGAAAGAAAAAAAAAGGTAACATAAATCGGAATTCCGCGCAGCATGCATTCATCCAAGATTATTGCGAGTATATGGAATCAAACCAAACCACATATAATTGAACAATGCTTCTTACTTGACGTATGCGATCGCGGTCGGCGTACATATTCACGAGAATATCTGAAAATGCCTTATGAGAGATAAGAACGAGGACACACAAGTTGAGACAGACATAAAACAAGACAATATCTATTTGCATTCATTTGCACGAAAATGGATAGATTTTCATGCTACAAATGATTTTTATCTATAAGCCAGTTCGAAGAAACTACCTGTGAATGGGAAGCTGTAAAGGTCATTTTGAGAGAATTGTAAAACCCACCAAGATAAATTTGAGTCATTCTAGCCATGTGTAAGTTATGAACTGGTCTATTGAGAGAGAGAGCATGAAACAAGACGACATCTATGTGCACCCATCAATTAATTCGCATAAAAAGGGATAAGTTTTCATGTTGCAAATCTATCTATTGTCTGTCTACATAAATTGATAATCACAACTAAATGACCTTTGCTGGTACTCCCATGCCACTTATGTGAACAGACAACCGTATCATGACAAGACTAATTGGACATTTGTAAATCTAAAGTAGATCTAAAGTATCGTAATTCTCTTAAAAGAAGAAAATGAAGATAAATATATTGTTTTTATACTCCAAAGATGGGTTAACATATGAAATACAATACAGTCTAGGTTATAATTCTCTGTTGTAACAGATAATGGTACAGGTAACAGATAATGGTACAGGTAACATGTACATGGAGTTAGGTAACATGTACATGGAATTTGCTGTAACAACATAATGCAGACTGAAAGGGTTACAAGTGATAAAGATAAATGAGCGATTGAACTTGATAAATGGCTGAAGAACACTTTGAAATATATAATAAAAGTGCACACAAGAGAAAAAGAATCACAATGTATACATGTATGTTTAATAGGATCACAATAATATTAAACAAACAAACAAATGTATAAATATATATATGTGGGACTACACTTCAAAGAAAATGGAAATGAACCACATATTAACTATCAAGAGCTAGAAGGATGTTAATTCACTGCATTTTACATAGAGTTGCTACTATACCCTTAAGGCTCTCAGAAACAAAAATATAACAATAAAAGAATGAGTGAAATTACATGGTTTACACTGCAACACTACAAAGACGAGACACATTTTAATAGACCATTTTTTTAACCGTTACCAATTTTGTACTAAAGTGCCTCGATACAAATTATTTAATTCACCTGTTACATATAATTGTATTTCAATTGTCAGAATGCTGATTGCCTACATTACATATTGTAAGGCAGGGCAAGCCATGATGTTTGTCCTACCTAGCAACAACTAATGCAATTAGAATTCTGACTTTTTAGATACCTTTATTCGTAACAGGTAAAGAAAATAATTTGTATCGAGGCGCTTCAATAACGCATATGCATACATTTTGTTACATTATGAAAATGGGCATTACAAAAATGTAGTATATATATATGAGTATATATTGGTAATTTTTGGCTGGTTAAACAAATTGGATGTAACTTGTATGATAACATGCACGTTAACATTACCATGTATATAAAACATGCTTACGTTATTGTTATGATAAGCAATGATATGATATAACATGGATATTACATGACAGATGTAAACAACATCATGCGAGGCATTTACGTAACCTTGCTTCAAGGCAGATCAATTTTGTCTGTACTTTTCCCGTTCTTTACTAAACTAGAATGCACCGAGTCTGAACGAAAAAATCGCTGCAGACTATCCCTCTACATCTCATTCTCATTGCATAAGAGTAAGGAAACGAGAGTGTATAGTCTATACATTGCAGACTCAATGGTATGTATTTTCATGAAGTCAGGTACAGTTATCTTTCTGCCTAGAAGCAAGGCTATTCTGTTAGCAGCCATTCATGCACAATGAGTTATGAAGTAGAATCAGTGCAGCAATATAATCAAGTCACTCATCAGCTCCGCTCCTAGGCTCATACCAAACTCTGGCATGGCGATATAATTATAGAAGAAGAGTAGGGACGATTGCTGATTTGCTTTAATTAAAGCCTTAGAGAATATTATTCCACAATATCTTAGTGAAAGAATTTCAACCTCTAGATTTTCTACTGTATTTTTGTAAAAATATGAGATATATATTTTTCAAGATTAGTACAAGGAACCACTAATATTTATGTCTGTGTCAAAACAGAGTATGTACATGTATCTGTGGACTGGAAGAAGAATAAATCTAACTTTTGAAAAGGAGGAATATTTTTCTTGACATTCACCCTCTCCTAATCCTATTGACTAAAACAAAAGATAAATTGTAAATTCTGAATACCTAGTCCCACTGTGTAACAACAATTTTACCCTCCCCCTCACAAAAAAAAATTATCATGGAGAAGAAATATTAAGGGCAATATTTAATCAGGGGCTTACAGAGTCTACTTTAAAAGTGGGAGGGGGATAAGCTACTTGGGAGGGGGGTAGGCTACTTGAAAGCCTACAGTAGCTACAGCTAGGCCTACATATTTTTGTATAGTACCCAGGCAAATTGGCCTCATGTACAAGGACATTGATGAGGGCTATCACGAATCGCTTATATTGCTGCACCGATCTTACTCTTTTTTTTATGATTGGATGTTTTCTTACATGCCGAGTGAGGGCGTGCTGTAGCTTCGCCCGCCGAGGAGGCGACCGGGGTCTGGGGGCTGGGACTCGCGAAGGAGTCTCCACCGAAACTGCTGCTAAAAAGGTCAGGACTCAAGGCGCCTGAGTGGTGTGGGCAGGGGTTAAAGGTTAGAGATCAAAGATCAAAGATCAAACATGCATGCATTAGTTAACCTTCAAGAATTAAAACAAAATGTGTTAGGTGATGAAAGTTCAAATTGCATACACATCATTCACTGCATAGTCATTTCAAATATACAAGCTCCTTAAAATGGTGGTCTCAGGAAAATTTACCAGAATTTCAAAAACAAAATTCAATGAAAAATTACGATTTTTTAAAATTTGGATAAGGCCTCAAAGCTTAATGCCACAAAAGAAGAATACATGCACAGTTTTCTTTTCTTTTCTTCTCTATTACATGGACTTTTTAACATTTAATGTTGAGGGACATGGCTACATACATTCCCAGTAAATGGAATTGCTTTGTTTCAATAAGATAACTTATTCATAATCAGTGACCTAATGCGATCATATTGATAACAGCTCAAATTCATCCATTGTACATTGTAAAAGAATTGAATCTGAACATCTTGGCGTCACATACAAATTAATGGAATGTGTTAATTATGAACTCAGCACAATCTATGATTTTCAAAATGTAAAGAAAACAAGCAATAGTCATAAGTTAAAAATATTTTCTCAGAATATGAAGTTGGTTGTTCTTGGCCCTGTAACACAAAGGTTTGCAATAAATTGCCAATTTAAAACGATGATTCTGATTGGTTAGTGGTCAGCCTTTTGAATTAAATGTGCATGCAGCAATGATCTTGATTGGCCTTTGCCATTTTGTGATTAATAGCAGCTTTAGTCCGGTTGTTCAAGTAACATATCAGAAAGCCCTTCTAGAACACTGGTTGGCCAAATTATTAACAGGAGATTCACTTTACTGCACCCATGCACATGCATACATTAAATCCAATTTCTAACGCAGTCATACAGTTGCAGATTCAGTACATTGTTTACACTCAAAATCAGAGAAATTTCAATACAAAATGTCTTTAAAACTGTTTTGGCTGGTATTCTTATTGAAATTGTGACTGTTCAATGGGCAAACTTAAATAAATGTGGGCAAAATATGATATAAGGGTATTCACACCCTTGTGTGAAAATTGAAGAATTTAAATTGTATGGATACAATTTTTCCTTTTTAAAAAACTCTGTTATAATTCTATATAAAAATTGAAATCTTTAAGAAACGAGTACAACTGTACTAAAAGTGCATTGTTTTTTACAAGCCTGAAAATTATAATGATAATAATCTGGATTTATAAAAGTGCTTTTAAATACCATCTCTGTCATTGGATTCGTCCACGCACAATATTTGAATTTCCCCTTCCTGGGGAGTATTCCTCACATATGGCAATTACTAACACAAAGGCTTTCATCATCCTACCAAGTTCCTATTTCTCTCCTGGGTATGGAGTGGCAAATGTAGAGTAATGCCTTGCAAAAGGACATCACATACTTGACTGTAAGTTACTGAACCAAAAGTGGTATAGAATAACATTCACATGAAATAACTTTCATGGCAAGATGTACATTACGAGTGAAAATAACTCGTTGAATTTCTGTCATGATATCAAATCCGTAGTACTCCTTTTATACATGTAACTAGCATCATTATTGGGAAAATATAAACGTGACTTTACTCTGTAATAGACATGATTATATGCAGGCATAATTTACATGTAAACGATGTAAATAAGACGTTCACATATTGGCATCTTCCCTTCCTCCAAAATCCTTGCTCAAACACTTACTCAATATACAAATACATCACCATGACATGAACACATTCACATATGTTTACCATCGCACTCATCAGACTTCAGTCTACAGCGAGCAATAAATGGCCTGTGAAACACGAGATAAACCCTACTTACAACTCAATTCTGGCCAACGATGACGTGAAGATGACAATGTGCTGACCCTTTCCCCTCAGTCACTCATGTCCCACGTTAATACTCCCGTTTTCTCAACGACATTACTTGGATTTGAGAACCCGTCAGCTTTAAGCCGTTAATTTATACCCTGTGTACATGTCCATGTGTACATGCGAGTCGTCGCAGTCTAGTCTGGCTTCAAGTTCCACTAAGGGATTTTTTTTAGTGTATGTGTGTGTATGATAATGTATCCAGGGGTTGATCCAGGGGTTCGAAGCAGATGCCTTACCCCATGGCAAAACAGAATCGTGGATATTGGAAACGAATATTAAGTACAATAACTAAAGCCGCCCCCCCCCCCTTCCCCCTGCCTTACTGTAACCCAACCCCTTTCTTGAGCAGTTTTATGCCCTTAGAGGCAAATGCAAATGTAATAACATTTTTTTCTCATCAGAGAATTACAGCACCTTTTTCTTTCTATTCAAATTTTTTTTCCCTTCAAAGTAGTGCCCCCCCCCTCCCTCCACCACTCTCCGAAAAAGAAATCCTGGATTTATCATTAATGTATGTGAAAATGCTTCATCCTGTACTGAAATATCCTTGCACAGAGAATAGAGGAGTGAAAGTCACAAGAGAAGCGCTTTCTGTGCTTGCACAAAGCATTTCAACCTCCTATGAAATTCTATACCTCCATGCCTACAAGCTAAACAACTGCTTTGATGGGAAAGACGCATTCAGAAGCTCCTGCAAATGGTGACTGCGCAAACTTTGAGAAAATGCAAGAAGCCACTCAACACTTCTAAAATTCTATATATCTCTCTAACTACAGATAATTATATACAATTACTTTGATGAGGAAAGATCCAATTAAAATGCTCGGACTGTAAATTTATAAAATGCACACAAAAGATCTAAGAAATCTTACATTTCTTTATCTGTCTAATGTATATAAATATTCAAATACTTTAATAGGAAAGACGTATTAAAATGATCCTGTACATTTAAACGCAGAACAGTGTCAAATTTACTTCCATAATAATCAATCTACATGTACATGCATACAGTATTTCTAACTCTGTCTTAAATGTTTTCACAGGTACAGGTAGAATAATTAAAGTCCTTTCAGGAAATGAAGAAAATATTTGTACCTGACAGCCTTGAAGCAGAACTAATCTTATGCAAGACTTTGCCCATTAGTTAAAAATTAGCCCCACCTTGCTTCCGTTGCCTGGTGATAATTCCCTTAATGAGAGAGTTTTTTCCTCATCCCACTCTCTCTCTCTCTCTCTCTCTCTCTCTCTCTCTCCTTTCTCTCTCTGTTGCTCTGTCTCTCCCTCTTTCTCTCTCTATCTATCTAAATATGTACATCTCTCCTTTCTTTCTCTTTCTCTCTCTCTCTCTCTCTCTCTCTCTCTCCATACATATATCTATCTCTTTCTTTCTCTTACTCTACTCTCCTTCTCTCTTCCCCTCTCTATCTCTCTTTCTCTTTGTCACTTCCTTTCTCCCTCTTCTTCCTCCCTCTCTCTCTCTCTCCCTCCCTCTCCCTCCCTCTCCCTCCCTCTCCCTCCCTCTATCCCATCTCTCTATCCCTCCCTCTCTCCTTCCTTCTCTCTCCCTTCCTCTCTTCCTCTATCTTCATCCATCCCTCCTCTCTGCCACTCTCTCTCTCTTTCACTCCTCATCTCAAGTGTTTATGTCTGCTAGTGCCTGGCAGATGCAATTTGCACAAAGATTAATCACTCAATGTACATGTAATGGATTCACTGGCGTTCTATATATCTATCCCTCATCACACATATAAGCAATTTTCCCACTCATTCTATATCTAACTTAGATTATCTACTTTCCATTTATTCCATATCTGACTGAGATTATCTACTTCCATTTATACAATACCTGACTTAGATTATCTACTTTCTATTTATTCCATATCTAACTTAGATTATCTACTGTCTATTTATTCCATATCTTACTTAGATTTTCCATTTTTTGCTTATTCCATATCTAAGTTAGATATTCTTTTTTATGTTAAAATGATTTGAAAAGTATTATTTATTTTCCATTTCTTTAGATAACCCTTTTCATTCTCTACTTTCTCTTTTTTAACTTTAAATATCTACCGATAATTTTCCTCTTTCTTCATCTTTCAACCTCTCTATAATTTCCTTTCTTTTCTTCTGTCTATCTGTTTGTGTGTGTGCTTGTCTGTCCCTCTCTCTCTGTCTCTGTCTCTGTCTCTGTCTCTCTTTCTCCCTCTTCCCTCTCTCTCTCTCTCTCTCTCCCTCCCTCTCTCCTTTTCTTCCTCTCTCTCTCTCTCTCTCTCTCTCATCTTGACATGCTCTATCTGTTCCCTAATTACACTTGCAGCCCCGGTAAGCTCATTAAGTGTTCTTCTTCTTCTTCTTCTTCCTATCTTCATTAAGCTCCATCAGGTTTCCTCTCCTCAACGACCCACTGAACGACCAACATATTCCTAATGATCAGCTTCATTGCATGTATGCTAATAACGTGCGGGTACATATTAAAGATGCTGATAAACCCTTGTACCATACTACCAGTAGACATGATTATAAGCATGCATACAAATTTATCTTAAAGCCCCACTGTACTACATGTACTTATAGCTACTTGCACCCTCGATATAACAAACAATGCATAATCAGTGACCATTGGTCCCCATGATCCTCTTTTTCTTATGTTAATTGAGAGCTGATTTGATGAGATAACCACCTGTCCAGTGACCTTGCAGAGTGGTCTAATCCCTCTTGTACACTAGTACATATGGGTGTTTAAGGAAATATTTCTGGTTGGGATAATGTATATATCATGAGAGCATTGGTCAAGAATCAGGACTTCTGAAGAACTAAATTAATTTCTTTTTTGCTCATATCTGAGTTTCTTTTTCTGTGCGTGCACATGCTATGCTCTCGTCCTTGTATACATGTACATTTATGACATATGGCTACATCTAGATGCAGCATCATAATTGACATGAATTACATTTTCATGATCAGCCTTGCATTCTAATTCTTATTTTCCATTATTTTATTAATCAAATCTCTTTTTTCTTCTTCCTCCCCCCCCCCCCCTCCCTTTCTTTTTAAATAGCAAAGGTTTCATCTTTTTCTTTATGTCAATTTATAAATTTAAATCCCTCCTCGAAACAAACTTGTTTAAAAGAATTTTTTCTTAGCGCATAAAGACACTACAGTAGTGATATGCCCTATAAAAGCACTGTATTATTGTTTATCATTATTAAAAACTAAATATCAAGCAAAAAATTATTCATAACAACTGATCACAGGTTTTTAACAAAGCACAAGGTTAGTCTCTCAGTCTCAATTGCTTTGTTCAAGTTGACTTCAAATTAAATTAATTAATGAGTACGTCAATGATATGCAGTCATTAAAAGTTTACAAATTAAAAAGGAATGATTAATCACTATTCACACACAAGCAACAAAACACAACCTTCATCATTCATACATGCACCACACAGTAGCCTGAACACACAATGCAACTGCAAGGGTTTCCCCAAGTATCTTCTTAAGTTTACATCAATGATTAATATACAGGCCGAGGGTGACTACAAAAATACGCATTAATCGCTTTTGCTGAAGATAGTAATACAGGTACATATATTTTGTTAATGATATTTGTTTGTTTGTTTGTTTTATACTTTGGTGTAGAGTGCATCACTGCAGATATGGGTGAAAACATATTGCACAAGTACACAATTGTTAGTCTCTCAAAATACACACTGGAAACAGAGAAAGCTCTTGGAAGAAAAGCGCACTCTGCTGACAGCCAGAAAAGCATGAATCCTTTCTTACAGAGATAATGCCCTTCTGGCTCTCAGAAGAAGTTAGAAGAATTAAGATTCGTTTCAAGACAACCAACAAAAAGAAATGCTTTGTTGCACAAATTATCAACAAATTTAAGTTAACATAATTATATTAACACAAGAACCAGAAGGTCATAGATAATGTCTCTAAGATTCTAGTCATTTCCCTCAGCATTCATTTTAAAAGATAACTATCAAATTCTGATTGCAAAAGAGCAGAAGAGATATTATTGTTGCAAACTACTTGCAACTTGAATAATAACCTTGTTATTTGCAATACTGAAAATAAAATGTTAAAACTATTCGAAATGGACACAAAGGACCTTGTGATTTGAAATCGTACTTTGAAAGAAAGAAGGACTATTTCTGCTCTGATAAAATGCATTACAATTCTAGTTGCATACCACATTGCACTGCATACCACAAATCAACGACAACCACCTGTTGTAGGTACTTACTGTCTGGTGTTGTGGCATTGCTGGTGTGGTTCCGTGGAGGACTGGAGAAGTCCAGGTCCAGGTCTAAGAGGTTCCCAGCAGAATTGGATTGGTTGCTGTTAGGGACAAAATTCAAATGGAAAATTATGATGAGATTCTGTCAAAGATCCTGGTCCTATCCTCTCATTTAGACCAGGAATGAGCCTTTCAACAAATTTATTAAAAAAATACCACCGGTATGGTGATATAATAGTGGGTTTACAGTTTTCGCAGTGATAGCATAAGCGTGTTACAGAGAAAGATGAAACGAGATGAAAAGAGATAACAAAAACTTTGAAATAAAATAAAAACCAAAGAGCAAAGAGAAGGAAGAAGCATTTCATTGCATAACACTGGACAAACCCTTTACATGACATAGCTTCATTCAGTTCATTGTATTTATAAAAAAGTTTAAATCGAATCCATTCCCGCCAAAAGCATTGACTAAACAAGAATTCCCATCGTGCTGAGAAAAATACATTAAATTACAGTGCCCTGCAACCCTTCTTATAAAGAGTTGCTATTAATCCAAAGTCATCCAATCAATCGCAAGTTTAAGTGTCTTATTTCTTAAGTACATAGTTGCGATTAATATCAACTCTTTGTAAGACGGGGTACAGGTTCATGATCTTTCGTCTAAGAAAAGTTATTAAATGAAAAGTTTATAGAAAGACAAGCCCACACAAGATACAGAAACAGAAAGTCTATGCATGCATATTTACAATGCATGTCACATTTAACTTGCAACACAATACTTTCATTTTCCACTCATAAAAACATTTTAATGCTCTTAGAATATAATGGTAAATACATGCCTACACAAATCATATCAAGTCCGAATCCTAGTTGATAAAATAATATTTCAAATGTGCATGATCTTTCTGTTTGACACAGACACTATGTACATGACGGACAAAAAAGCGGACAAAATATACAGTTCCTCATTCTACCCTCAACAACTACTGTGGTAGACAAAGGAATATCCCTTCACTGTTATTATGTAAATATGTGTAGAACAGGTGAATATGCATGTGACACCTGTTCTACACATTTTTACATAATAGCAGTGAAGGGATGTTCCTTTGTCTACCACAGCAATTATTGAGGGTAGAATGAGGAACTGTATATTTTGTCCTCTTTCTTTGTCTGCCATGTTCATAGTGAGACCTATCTTTCTAAAAAATGATGTAGAGTTTATCATGTGATAATTATAATCATGTTGGTAGCTGAGTATGGATCTACATAGACATGTTCCCTGTAAAAAACATTAATGCCACTAATGACATTCTATGTCAATGTACATTGGACATGCATACCATTCACAAGTGCACACCATATCTACACATTTATCATGCTTACAAAACTATATGTGCTTATAATTTTTTTTTAATGAAACTTAGAATTTATAATAATAATAAATAATAATAATCCATTTTTTTATATAGCGCTCAATACACCGATCCAACGATGTGCCTAAGCGCTTTCCAGATATATTATACATGTAAATTACATGCCAATATTGAATTCTTAATGCAGAAATCATTTTGTCAATGTAGTATTAAAGTTATTAAAAATCTTTGACATTACACCTACTCCAAGCAAAAACAATGTATTCAAAAGGACAACATTCATGGCTACTAAGCTATCTGCTAGCTTAATACTACAAGAGAATAACCGAGAGATATATATGTGATTGAAACGCTTTTTACTGCTTTAGCAAGAATTCATACTAAACTGCAGATTATTCACATGAAACTAGGATGTACACAAAATGTGTTGATTCTACTCTCGCTAGTATGATCATCAAATAAAACCAGAAATGATAAATGTAGTTGAGTAAGATATCAAGTACAATTTCAATCAAGTTTTAAAATGTTCAACTATTCATCATTGGAAAATACAAAGACTTGTTAGAAACATTTATGTTTTTGAAGTAAAAGATTATCTAAATGTTAAAAGACGAAATGATAAGATATAAGAACTTGAAACTCTAAGATTATTTTAATAATTAGCATTTACTGTAACTGGGATGATACGGGCTTCTCCTGAAAGGGGGAGGGGTCTAAGATCCCCTCTTTTTATCTTGGCCATTTAAATTATTTTGTATTCTATTGTCTTATATGAATTAATTGTGTAAGTTAGTTTTTCAATTCTGTCTTTTCATCAGTTTTAGACTTTTAGTGATGATTTTTCATAAATACAGAGTTTTAGTTTATATTTCCTTTTGATATATTTCTCAATTTAATGGTAAAATATAGAAAATAACAATGCTGCATCTGTTATCACAAATAAAATAAAGTGGGAGAACTGCACTTAAGAACATTGGGGTGTACCAAAACTTTAACACAAAGTCATTCTCCTTTCTTTTGGTGCAAACAAAATATGCCAAAAGAAATGAAACTGGGGTATAAAAATACTATAAATGAGACAATTTTTGTGCCTGGTGCATTATTTGGTGAAGACAAGTGATAATAGGGACTTTTCGATTTGCACGTTCACTAGTGGACTGCGACGTATGCGGGTTCTTTTGAAGCAGTGCGCATGCGCATCGATGAGCTCATCGTTCGTAGCAGAATTCTCGAACGAGTTCGCTCTTGTTTTGCCATCGTTCGCAAACTGTGACGATACATGTTCGTAAGCAATCTTTTGTAGGCACGAAACATCACATTGAAGTCACAAAATGGACCCAATTGACTTAATTCTAGGACCGGAGAGTGGTGGAAGCGTGAATTCTTTTAAATGAACACATTTTTGTGTCTGTAATTTCCCTTAAATAAAAATTGTTGCAGAATAATTCATAAAATGAACACATTTTATTTGTGCATCGCAAATCTGTTGCAGCATAATTTTCGAGATCAGTCCCATGCCCCGAATTTGGTGTGTTGAATCTTTAGCTTTTCGATCGAATTTCGTGCTCACTAAGCAGAATAATTCATAAAATGAACACATTTTATTTATGCAATGCTAATCTGTTGCAGCATAATTGTTGAGAACAGTGCCATGCACCGAATTTGGTGTTATATCTTTAGCTATTTGATCGAGTTTCGCGCTCACTAAGCGAGCGTCGTAGTTGTGTAAAATCGAAAAGGTAACGAACAACAGTCAGCGTGCCTCGTCAACCCTGCTTAGATTGACCGCATACGTCGCAGTCCACTTATGAACGTGCAAATCGAAAAGTTCCTATTGAAGAGACAAAACGGAGAAGAAATAACGGACCTGAATCGTAACCAGGAGTTACGATAGACTCGTGAGTAATGAGTAGGCGAGATGCCCAAACTAGACATCACAAAGTTGGCAGAAAATAGAACAGTAAAAAGAAAGATTTTGATAAAAAAAAAACAGGATGAGAGGGGATAGTGAATGAACACAGATAGAAGTAAAAGGTCAAAGATGAAGTCCAAAGATCTTTACAATGGACTTTTCTAAAAACTAAATTTGATTGCTTAATGTTGACACTCTTTTTAAGGATACACTGTATACATGCATGTATATGGTCAGCTTGCACTGTACATGTACAGTATATTCAAACATTTTCATGAGCATCTCATTAAAGAAGTCATAAGTTCTCGTAAAAATGAAAAGGCACTTAAAAAAGAAAATACACATTTCGGCACAGCAAAATTAATGATTTTTGCTAACTGATTTGATATCAGATTACACCCAAGTATTAAACTATCGAGTAAGAAGTGAAAAAAACATTTAATTCAATTTAAAGATTCTATGCAACATATAGGCCAAATATAATACATAATATCACTCACTGCATATGTACAGTATGTTGACATAATCGAGCAAATATTCCCTATTGAATTAACTTTCAAAAGTCCTAACAACCAATTTTACAGCATGATAAACAATTCAGACAAACTATTTGACACTTTTTAAAACAACATTTTCAATATGTAAATTCCCAGAACTTGTGATTACTTTCATTTTAATTCTGCCAATAACATCTGGGGAAGATGAAGAAAAATGCAAACATTTACACTACTTCTACACCGAGTATACAGCCAGATTATCGGCTGTCATTGCTGAAATCAAATGCAGAAGTTATTTCATGCACAGGTTAATTTCAAAACAGATCAGTAGCAGTTCTAGAGGGGTTTTAGGGGGCTCAAGCCCCCCTCCCTTTCAAAAGGCACTTGTAGAAAATCAATGCAAGAACCCCTAAGCCCCCCCCCCCCCCAAAAAAAAATCCTCTAGAACTGCTTCTAAAACAGATGCGGACAATCGGACAAGGACACAAAATCACAAAGGCCTGTATTCCACTACAAACAAGACAAACTGATGCTTGGTTTTAGTGCAGTCTAAGTCACGTTTTACAATAACTGTTTGGAACTCGGTCTAATATTTTAGGTCACTTTCATAAAGAAGACCATTCATAAAAACAAAAAGTTGCTCATTTTTTTATTTTTTTATTTTTTTAGGGGGGGGGGGGGGTGTTTACATTGATTTATTCAAATGATTCATTTGAATGATTCATTCAAAATATCAGGTTCAGCATTACTTTTGTGAACAAATATTAAACACATTTACTCAGATATGCAATCAAAATTATGGTAACAATTTTTTTTTAAACCATGTAAGTAGACTGGTCAACACACCCTCATAAAATCGAGCACCAATGCAAATTGAAATAGAAATTCTATAGCTTTTAAGTTAAGTTCCAAGCTGGCCGTAACATCAAATGTTTTTTTACCATTAAATGCTCTTTAAACCACTTGAATATCTGATATCAAAAGCATACCATGTTTTCATGTATTCCTATGAAAATCAAGTACATGCTCAATTCTTTTTTTACTGGTTGGTCTCCTTTAAAATTGACTTAGACTGAGCTAGAACCTACTAACAGAGTTGAATTTTCAGATTACGGGCCACAGACTACATCTACATAGACATACAAGCAGGGAAGAGAGACAGCAAGAAGGAGGGAGGATAGGGGAAGGGGTCTTCTACAACTACTGACATTCACAACAGGCTGGATAGAGAGGGGAGGGGTTTAGGGACTGTCAATCATTCGTAACCACACCTTCTTGGTAACCATGGGTTATTATTCAACCGATTGTACTTTTTACAGTACAGGTTGAAATTTGGAGATCTATGACAGAGAAGAAACAGGGCAGATTGAGTTGAAAAACATAGTAAGAGAAATGACATGAAGAAGAAGTACATATACATGTATACAGGTATAGTCAACTACATCTACAGAGGCTACATAGCACACAAGATCAACACTGTGGCCCGAATTCACAAAGGAGGTTTGTCGACAAACCTAGGTTTATGTCGCGTTTCAACACGTTTTTACAAACCTTGGTCTGTAAAAACGTGTCATATGACGCACATAAACCTAGGTTTGTCGACAAACCTGTAATTTTGTCTTGCAGGCCTGAGAAGTCATCTGAGGCTTCATAAAACTGACAGAACATGAGACAGACAACCTAACATTTCTGAGGGTTCGAAATAGTAACATTAGGGACTTTTAGATTTGCACGACGAGAACGTGGACTGCAAAGTGTGACATCCTTTTAAGGCACTGTGCAAATCTAAAAGTCCCTTTTGTCAGTTCCTTGGACCGTTGGCTACTGGAATGCTTCCGAGTACAGAAGCCTTACAATGGAAACAAGAAAAGTGGCCACTGTAGACAGGTGGCCTTTCTACACAGATTCTACTACACACATTTCTCTTTGGGACACGAAGGTAACCACTAACATACAGATGCACATCATAGAAAGGTGTCCATTAAGGTAGCGCAAAATGGCACGACAACAAGCATCCCAAACGCAAAAGCAAAATGACTACGGTAATTTCTTAAAGTCATTTTTTGATGGCATCGAGGTAGAGCCATATCATTTACTGCTAAATTGGTAGGGCTAAAAAAAAAAATTAAAGGCTGTCTGTACTAGTTTGGCCAGAAGGGATTAGACCACCCAGCATGGTCACTGACAGGTGGCTATCTCATCAACTCAGCTCTCAATTAACATAAGAAAAAGAGGATCATGGGGGACCAATGGGCACCGCTTAGGCATTGTTTTCTATATAGAGGGAGCAAGTAGCTACAAGTAGTACAGCATGGCTTTAAAACGACAATCAAATATGTCAAATTATAACTCTTTGATTGACGATATTAGCAATTATTATGCCTTTTGCGTTCCAGATGCCTCTTTTCTGGCCACCATCTTTCGGTTCTAACTGTAGTTGATTGTTCTGAGGACCAGGGCCCAGTTTCATCAAACTTGTTATCAATAACAACTGCCACAGATCTATGACAAAGCTGCTCACAGCCAATCAAATTCAAGGATTTCAGTAGCTTATAACAATGAATGTATCTTGTTATTGATAACAGGTTTCATGAAACAGGGCCCTGCAACTGATTCAGTTCGATCACAACTCTCTTTGAAAACGGGACCCGGTCAAACGAACACTACTCTACTACAAGACCTTCCATACTCTAAAGTAAACAGAGTACCGGATAAAGTAAAAACAACATCACACAAAGAGGTTTTCTAGACATCATCAACTGGCTTTGCAGTTGCGACGAGTTCAACCTACCTGCTTCTGTTTAATGCCGTTTGTCTTCTGGATTGTAGATCACCGTCTGGAAACAAAACAGAAAAACCCGAGATGAGAATCTGCTTCTATTTCCTGCAGATGTTTCTTCACAAAGATTTCTTAAATGCTTCTTGCTATCTTTTCATCTCCTCTTTAGAATATGCTGTACCTAATGAAATATTGGGGCTATTTTAGCTTTCGTTATATATGCCTCTTCCTAATGTTAGACATGTATGTTGTTACCTTTTTTTTCCCTTAAAGAAATGTGGAAATAAAACTTAAACTTGAAATTATTTATGTGTACATGGCGACTGCATTACATGTATAAATGGGGTTTCAGTGACCACATCTTGCAGTGCGGCGGAACAGGTTGCACAGATGAAGACCTGGCCCTTGTTAATGAAACGGCCATTGCAGCAATCGGGCAATGCAAGAACTTAATTTAATTTTATTTTATTTCATTAAGGAACTTTACATAACTATCTTGATCTAGGAGACACGAACGAACGAGTGATCAACTAACTTTACAAATCATTCAAATTGATAAGAAGAAACCAAATGAAATGCACTAAGTTCTTTGGGCTGGACACTAGGAATGTGAAGCAATGGACTTTGCCTCCATCGTCGTATATATCTCGTCTACCATGACAGCTGATCTCTTTGAAGATGATGGTGAGGTATAAAATTCATCGACTGGAATGAAAATACACGTAATCATCAAAGACTGTCTGTGCCTGAAAGAATTGTGCCTAGTGGATCAAATTTTACATTTTGACCTGGCAAGTTCTATTTTCTTTTACATCAGTCACCTTGCAATATTTTCAAAAAGAAGTTCATAATCACTTCAAGTTTTTAGATTTTGACTACCAGTATCTGTCAAAGCAATTCAGGAGGATTAACATGGAACTATTTAAAGTGTTTACTCACTTGTTTTTTCTCTCCGCTTCTGGGGAAGAATAGACAGCAAAAACAAGGAAAGGAAAGACGTTAGTGATATGAAAAAGACTTTACACATCTTGATGATATGTAATACATACATGTAACATCAAGTACACTGTGGCTTTGAGTAAAATATCATCAAGTCACTGAGTAGCACAGTGTATAAGGCATACCTATCATACCTTTTATTGCGCAGTGCCAGCTTATGGTCTACTTGCCAACAGTGCATAACCCAATACCTAATTTCCACTTCGCAGACAGAGGACTCAATGGGAGAACCAATAGCGCAGCTAGGGAAGCAGCTAGGGAAGCAGCAAGTTACGTGACCATACAGCTCCAGCTGACCTGAAATGGCGCTAGAGGGGATTTTGCAGGGGTATTTACACAGTGTGGCTTTAATAATCAATAAAATCTAAGAATCTCTAAAATAGAGAATACCTATCAGACAAAATGAATACAATGTGTTCCAAGTTGACCCTAAATTGATTTTTATGCCTAAATATATCATGTAGGAAAGGGTTAGTTTACAGCTCAGATATTTCAGAACACTTTGTTAGGCATTATGACTGATAGAGGTTTATGCCTTCAATACCTCCCGTCCCATTGCCAAACTGACCTCCGACTGACCTGAGACTGACCTCTGACTGACCTCTGACTGACCCCAGAATGACCCCAGACTGACCCCAGACTGACCCCAGACTGACCCCAGACTGACCCCAGACTGACCCCAGACAGACCTTCGACTGACCTCAGACTGACCCCAGACTGACCTCAGACTGACCTCAGACTAACCCCAGACTGACCTCCGACTGACCTGAGACTGACCTCTGACTGACCTCTGACCGACCCCAGACTGACCCCAGACAGACCTTAGACTGACCCCAGACTGACCCCAGACAGACCCCAGACTGACCCCAGACTGACCCCAGACTGACCCCAGACTGACCCCAGATAGACGTTAGACTGACCCCAGACTGACCCCAGACAGACCTTAGACTGACCCTAGACTGACCCCAGACTGACCTCAGACTGACCTCAGACTGACCTCAGACTGACCTCTGACTGACCAGAGACTGACCTGAGACTGACCTGAGACTGACCCCATACCGACCGATGGTTGGCTATTGTGTGTAATGTAATTTTTGGTTCAGTTTGTTGTATGTCTGATGTCGGTCACGATTGTGTGACTGATTCACAAGAGTTAGCACCGCTACATTGGCAAAGTATTTATTGATGCATCTGATATATGAAGTGAATTTCGTTAAAAGCGACACCTTTTACAATAACCTCCAACCATATTACGGGTTCTGTATTCAATGGGTTGAAAACAATGACTCGTTTGGGGAATACCCTACTCAGTTGCCAATTTACAGGCGTCGTCGTTGTAATAATTATAAAAGAATGCGGCTCACCTGTGCAGGGGATAACGTTAGGCCACCCAGTGACTTCTTGATTTCATCTACCGTAGCTGTCGTCTTGGGGAGGTTGGCATCCCGTGGCTTGATTTCCACCCGTATCCGTCTCGTTCGATCCTCACTTTCTGAATCGGAGTCGGACTTGTCAGAGTCAGAATAGAAATGATGATGATGCGGCTGCTGATGCTCAAGTGGAGATGACCGCCAGTCAAGGAAAGCTATGCTTATGTACATCAACTCAACTCAAACTCAACTCAAACTCAACTCAAACTCAACTCAACTCAACTTAATCATAAATGGCTTTGCAGACATAATACAGGGATGCCAGTAAGAATTGATCAGAGGGCCTGAAAATTACCTAGAATGAGCTAGTTTGTACACAAAAAAGCCTAAACTATGGTATGAAAATAACTCGCCTGAATTCAGGCTATTGCCTGAAAACTGGCATCCCTGATAATAATACTAACAATAATTAATAATGATAACAAGAACAACAACAATATTTCTGGGCTTATGGAATGAGATTTTGCAAAGTATGCTTCATATTTCTGTTTCTTTAACACAGGTGATAATTTTATTTACAATAATCTGCAAATTTAATGGTTTATGAATAATCACCGGGTTTTATTTTCTGGATTTATTTTCTGGGTTATTTGCCTGCTCATATCAGTTTGAATTTATTCATACATGTATTCAAATAGTACGTAATACTAATGAACTTGCTTTTGCAAAAAGCCATGGACAGCTTGTGTACTGAATATCTTTTGTGAAGTATAAAATAATCTTAGTGAAAGATATCTTTTTAGATGTATTAAATACATCAAATTAAAGAAAGGATATCTCGATTGTCCTCAGGTTTGATGCTGAATCCTTCCTCATCCACTTGTGGAGTGCTCTGGAGGGAAACAAGAAATAAAAGAGCTTTTTTAATATTGAGTACTTATAGAGAAATATATAGCTTATGAATATGAAACAATACTGTTTAGAAAGTATTCCACACTGCAGTATGTATGCAATAATACAGTATGTGGCTGTACAGAGAAGTCATATCATGAGACTGAAAAATCTTGTTGATACACTACATAAACTATAAGGTTCAAACACAGATATGCATATATGGGACAAGGATTAAACCAACAGCTAATATGACATGTAAAACAGAAATGAACAATTCTTAGAGTACAATTGGTAGGGTTTACATATCACATGGAAAGATTCCACAGAGCTGTCTTTTCAAAACATGGGCAGGATTTTACTGCGAGAAAAGGGTTCCAGTCTTGTACATATAACTTACATTATAACAAAAAGGCAGTTAAGTTGAAAAATATTATGGAGAGCTAGAGCAATGCATGTGCTGAGTTTGATAGTTTATCTATTTGACTAAATTGCTACCAAGCTGTGGCTTGTAAAAGGAGAGTGCCAAGAACTTGTTGCAAAGTGATTGAAATATGAGTGCTAGATATGATAATTGGTAGAATTTCTTAGGCTCTTGCACCTAAATGAGCTGCATAACCTCCCCTCTAAAGCACACAGTAATGAGCACATCTTATATAATAAATGATAATAATGAACAAATCACAAAATGAAGGGAGAAAAAGTAGTATGAAGCACAATATACCACATTATGACATTGATTAACCTTGAAACTGGACATTATGAAAAGCAGATCACCTTAGCAAATCACCAACGATTTAAACACGGAATAATGAAGGTAAAATGAACGTTATTAATGAAATAATGTCACAAATGTCACTGACACAAATATAAATTATGTTCAGCGAAAGAAAGTAATTTTACATACATTAACACACAACCAATACTCATTCAAACAATGCACAGGCGATAAGAACAAGTTAAGAACAATATTACAAAGACTTTGCCACAAAAATAAGATAAATACATCATAGAAGAAATAAATTGCAGCATCTGTACTATGCTGTAAATGATACATGATTACAAGCATGTAAATGCACATACTTGTCATCATGACTTCATAGTATTAGAACATTCAACATTTACAATCAAACTTTAATGAGTATTCTTGGATACAAGTTTACTTTAAGTTTCAACATCAACATGTCAAACCTATAAACGATAAAGAGTTAAGACATAATCTTTTAAAAATCTGCACAACCATAAATGTGGAAAGTTTACATACATGTAGGATCTTTAAAACTAATATACTGTTTATCACAGTGGGCATACAATGTACTAGAAGAAATACAGACAATTATTTGTTTGTGAATACTACAAACTTAAATTTTGCTGACTCAAACTAGTCAGATATAAGTCAATATATGTATAAAAGTACATTTGTCTATCTTTCAAAAAGTACGGACAACTTCCAAAGTATAGTAATTTCTCTTTAACTATGCATATATGCACACATATTGAGGTACATCAGATTTCTATGATAATCTTCTGCTTGCAAAGATCCAGTTGATCTACTAAGAAGCCTGTTCATTAATGGTAACTTTGTGGTATGACAATCTTTGAAGACATGTTGTCAAAAGCAGAGAAACTATCAAAATATTTTGAGCAAAACAGGATTTTTTTCTTTGCAAGCCCCTTTACCCCCACCTCCTTAAAAATTGCAGACCTACAATTTTTTGTACCTGATGTACCACCTGTTCAGGTTCCCCAAAAACGTGAATAATAAAATAATAAGTCTCTACACATTTCAATGTGTTTTACTACATGGTGTTAGTATCTACATTGGATCCATATAATCAAACAACAAACTCCATGCTTAGGATACAGTTTGACAAATCTAAAATACATGTAATAAAGGGGTAAGGAATTGTAAAGGCACGTTCAGGTATGACACGGCAAGACCGCTGCATTTTTAAGATGACATTAAGTGTAATAGAGGTGTTGTGGTCTAGTGGATAAGTCACCCGACTGCAGATCACAAGGTACGGGGTTCAAGTCCCGCTGCGGCACTGATGTCCTTTGGCGAAACATTAATCCACATTTCCCTACTATCCACCCAGGTGTAAATGGGTACCTGATATGCTTGAGCGCTAGATACTTTGGCAGCTCGGCTGTAACCAGGGTAATATGTGTAAAGCGCCATGAGCATCAGAGCCTGGCGGATACTGGCACTATATAAATATCCATATTATTATTATTATTATTAATAAGCTTCACGTTTCTGAATCTCATAACATAGAGCTAAGTGAATATATGCCAAGACTTTTGTGTTGCGTGCAGTTGCCATTCACTTTACAGGTTAAAAAATGCCACTAAATTTTTTTTTTTTTTTTTTTTTTTTTGGGGGGGGGGGGGGCAGCAGGTTTATCGCGCCATATCTGAACAACCCTTACCTAGGGTTTCTATAAAGGATGGGCACTGTCTCACATTCTTGACACAAGCCTTACAAACACACAACATGCATAACATCTCTCGGTTTGGCAACACCGGTTTCTATCCCCGCTTTGGGTTCGTTTAAAGCACAGTCACACCATACCGATATCAGGAACTATAAATAGGAAGGGTTCTGTTAACCAGACAAAACAGAATGCAGCTATTTTATAATAGATGGCATAGCATGCTAAGTTGTAATATAAGGGTATGATTGGAGTACCGATGGACGTGGAATATCGGTATAAGTCTGGTTTAAACAAATTTTGAGAAAGATGTCACTGATATAGAAAATTCAGTGTTGGTCTTCTACAGGTTCGACATCACTACCAGGGACCCGTTTCACAAAGCCTTTTTTCAATGACAAATGACAAAAGTCAGTGACAAATCTGCTGATAACCAATCAGAAGCAAGGATTTCAGTAGCTTATAACAACAACTGTCATTTGTCACTGATGACAAGTTTTGTGAAACGCCCCCCAGGCCTCGTTCACATATGAGGCGGTAAACTGTAGTGGTTTTTTAAAGTGGTTTTTCCAAGGTGACGTAAGTGTTACACGCTTTGCATTCTTGTATCTTATGACACAGAGCTCAGTGAATATGCGTCGAACTTTTGTTGCTCATAATCGGTATGATGTGGCCCATAGCTACTTGAGAGAGACAGTTGTGCCAAAGGAAGTTGCTTCTGCTTGGTCAGGCATTTCATGAAGCTCCAAAACAGTTCCCTCTCATAGACATTGTACATGATGGGAGGGAACGATTTGGCCTATGACCTCTCTCGCGTAGATACGTGTGTCGCAACTATCTCTCTCAATATGCTACGGTGTTAGCTAGCTATATGATGGGTTCGATACTGGACAATCTAGAAAAGCCTTACATGCAGCGATTGGAGAGAGGAGAAGAGAGTCCGCTCATTGGAATGCTTTGTATGAAGAACCTTACGCAAGCAAGCCTGTCATCGGAGGAGGAGGAATAGATGGATGGATGGATGGATGGATGGATGGATGGATGGATGGATGGATAGATGGATAGATGGATGGATGGATGGATGGATGGATGGATGGAGGGAGGGAGGGATGGAAAGATTAGGTTATACAATGAATGCATATATGGAATTATAAGGGGATAAAGAAAACAGCATGGAAAGATAGAAAGCCAAAATGATAGATGGATAGAAAGATTCAGTTTAAAAGTTTCCATGTGGTGAGAAAGAGAGAATGAAAGATAATGGAATGGAAAGATAGAATTTTGAAAAGATGAAGGGATGGAAAGATTGGTTTGAAAGTATCATGTGGTGAGATGGAGAAAATGAAAGACAGGACGTTGGAAAGATAGAATGTTGAAAAGATAAAGGGATGGAAAGATTGGTTTGAAAGTATCATGTGGTGAGATAGAGAGAATGAAAGATAATGAAATGAAAAGATACAATGTTGAAAAGATGAAGGAATGGAAAGATTAAGTTTTATATACAATGAATGCATATGGAATGATAAGGGGGTAAAGATAACAGCATGGAAAGATACAATGTCAAAATAATGGAGGGATGAAATGATGGAAGGAAGGAATGAAAGATCCGGCAACAAATCATAAGAAAAAGATAGGAGAATGAAGGAAGAGGAAAAGATAAAATGACAGAGGAATATAAAATTGTATAAAGGAGAGAGACTGATAGTTACGTTAAGGATGGACAGATAGATGAAATATGATCGGTGGATGGATGGAAGGTAGGGTGGAATATATGGAGATAAGGACATAACACAGAATTATGGATAAAGAACATGTGGATGAGAAAGAAGATGTGAAAAAAAGATGAGTAAAATGAGGTAAATAGTGGGTGATTAACCAAATGTATGCTTTCTACAAAAAATATAATGAACAATTATTTCTAACTCTATGCTTTTCTACATACTAAGAAGCAGTGAAAAGTGGCCACATTTTAAGCCCCCTAAAAGATCTGTTCTAAACGATTTTAAGAAAGTAAACTAAACAAATACATTCATATTTAAGAATTAAGATATTGTAAACGCATGATATGGAGCGTTTAAAGTGAAGTGAGGGGTGATATGAAGTGCCATATGTAACGTAGGCTGTAAGGAAGTCTACCTAAATGACAAATTCCCCCTTTTTGAAGTGAAATGGTTCAACTACAAAGCATCAATTGAGAGCCAAAAGAACATTAACTCAGTTAGAATTAATGTCCTTCTGTCACTCAACAGCATACTACTACATGTACATGCTCTGCAGCCAGATGCATTCTATTCTACCATGGCAATGAAATTAAAGATTGTATTTCCACTTAATATAGCGAGGATAGGCTCTATTCATGTTCATTCCCCATCCCTCCCCATCCCCCTCCTGCCCTCCCCCCCCCCCCCCCCCCACTCCCTCCCCTGCGTTTCTCATACTTCCAAAACCCTAAAATGATGTACAGATCCTTGCATTTCATCTTGCTACCTAACAATTCAGCATTAACTCTTGCTATCTCCTCATGAATATCGAAATATATAAGGAAATCGTCTGTTTAGATACAGAAGGGGCGTTAACGCATGATTTTACACAAAGTTAACGCCCTTCTGGCTCTGAACAGACCAAATACTCAAATTAAACATTTCAACTAAAAATGCATCATATATGTAAATATTCAAATCAGGAGAGAACCAAGTTTATATAGGAATACTGTAAATATCATGGGATCAAATGCCAAATCATCTAATATTCAGCTCATCTCATTGCATTTCAGTTTCAACCCAGTTTATATATTTCCATGAGGTCTAGTCATCATTTCATCTACTCTTCATTTTCCACTTGCCAGTTAGTCTAATGACTATTTGATCTCTAACTACTTGGTTTAAAAATCAATTTGGTCAAGTAAACAGGGTGCTGGCGGAGGCAACTGGCCAGTGGACTTTACCAAGGGGAGCTAAATGTAAGACCAAATATGTAACAGACAAATGATGAATGGATTTGGTGACATTTAGACTTTAGAAGTAATAATAAGAATAAATGAAACTTTGTCAAACTGATGATGTAACCACATGGAATATAAACTGGGCCAGACAAAATTAATATAACACCAACACACTTCTATAAATCTATGTTCTTGTATCGACATCTCCATGCACAAAAGTATTACAGTTAAACCTGTCAAAGTAGCTACAAAAAATCACCTTATTGCCTCTTCTAGGACAAAAACATGCAGTGAAGCCTATCTAGAAGGGTCACTTGTATATGATGGTCTAATTTTCTACATCTCTTTGGTGATCTTTAAAGACAGGTTGACTATATCTCACAAGATTTAGGTTATGTAATACATGTACCAAACTTGTCTTGAACTCAATACGGGTTCACATGCAGTAATACAAAACAAGGAGGAATGTTATAATAAACACCAGACTATAAATCATTCTATTTATTACAAACATCATTTTAACAAAAAGTCCTTAACGACCTGAATTTCATTATCATTGCATTTCCGAGGTAATGGCACCAACAAGGAATGCCAGTTCTGATTGTGGTCTTAAGAGCCTTTTACATGTACCTCAAATATTTAAAAAATAGTATAAACTGAACTTCTTTTTAAAACCCCAAAGAGGGAAAACCATCAAGCATGCAGTAATTAGCATACCCAGAATGCATTGGGTGACAGTTAAAAAAGGACAAGTGAGACGGATACATCATGCGACATCTGTGCATCAGAGAAAGAAGAGAAGTAGAATGGACTGATCATCATCTGTAGTTCATCAAATCATGTTCATAGCCAAAAGGGATTTCACTGTGTATCAAAGTACATGAATTGACACCATTCCGACTCCAAGCAGATGAAATCATGATAAAGGATATGAGTAGGGTAGACACACAATGGAAGGGTTTGGATGCTCAAATAAAATGATACAACAAGCAAGGACTTTGACAAATTATTTTGAAAAGGAATAAATGGAATAAATAAAATAAAGGATTTCAAAATTGTTTTACTCAGGGTTCTGTTTTGTCCTGAATATTGTTTGGGGTTAAAATTCAGATTTGTATATATTTCTCTTTCATAACCTGAAATAATTTGAAATTGAAATTTATTTGTTTTCATATTCTTTTAAAATATTCCTTTTATGGTTAAAAGCACTTATTTTCTGTTTCTAATCCAAGTACTGAGATTTTTTCAGGAGTGGTTGATATACATTTTTTTTTTTCCACTGAGTGAAATCTACTTAAAGCTTTTATTTATAAAAGTAAACAAGAGATTATGTTCAAGAGGCTGGTGGGAGGGTCCATTGTATTAGCATGCTTGACATTGTCAAATCATAGAGAAACACAGAGTGAGGGGGGAGGTAGGGGGTACAATCATACAGACAAGACAGTGTAGCGGGAGGGGGTAACATGGCATACACATCAACTTCATTCTTCAGTTCATAGAAAGAGAGAGAGAGAGGGGTGGGGCCGGGCGGGGTGCTGAAAAGTGACCAATCCTGCATGCGTTGACCGTGATCAAACACTGGACGAGAGGGGGGGACGCACTCACCACCGATAGATCCCGAAACGATCCCATAGAATACACACTGGGGCTGGAGGAGGGTGCTTGAGACGGTTGCCCCGGCGATGTGGTTGTGGGCGTGGTCGTGGGCGGGGCTAGTGTGGTGGGAGTTGATGTAGAGGTGGTGGGGGAGGTGGGAGTAGTTGTAGTGTTGTTAGCGGTTGTGGTAGTGGTGGCAACAGTGGTGGTGCTGGTAGTTTTAGAGTTGTTTGTCGCTTTCTATAATTTATTCAATATTTATTAATAGAAAGAGGAGTGATATAATTTTTAGGGGGCGGGGTCAAAGGTGTGTCGGAGTGGGAGGAGAGGAAGTGAAGCCGCCGCCCATAACCATGATGAAGGAAAGCAAAGATAGGATAAAAATTGCGGTGGAGAGAGAAAGAGATGGACATGAATGATCAGAATAAACAACAAGAAATGTGAATGATACATGAATTTCAGAAAAATAAAAGTAAAAGCTTGAGTGATAATGAATACAGAAAAAAGTGCAGTATCCCAGACTCTCACCGAAGTGATACACTTGTCTTTATGTTACACTTGTACCTGAAATACCATTGCATTTCTGCAGCCATTTAAATATTCAAAATCAGAAGAATATTTTCTGTTTGGAGATAGAAGGGTGGTAATTTGTATCATTTCACACAGATTTACTGCCCTTCTGGCTCCAAACAAACGATATAATTTGCTCCGGTTAGAGATTTGATCTTAAGGTACTGCTTTTGGGGCAGCCACTCTGCACAAAGAACCATATTACACAATACATTACAACCCAAACATTTGTCAGTCATCATAATTCTGATTCGATATTTCATAGGGCATCGTGTCACAAAACCGACATAAGTTCAAGTTTGCTGGCAACCCATTGCAATGCAATTACTAAATTAAACACGTGTCTCGATGGGATGTCGGTAAATTCGCATTTATGACGGATTCATGAAACAATGCCCTGGGTTTTTTGTGTATGTTTAAAAATTAAAAATTATGATTCCTAAAACACTCGTACATGTACATCTTCCATATCACTGGATAGTGTAGTACCTTTAATGTTTCTACTGCTTTAACAATGTTTTCCTGTCTTGACGAAAGAGACCAACAGCTGGCAGGAGATCTTTGTTTACAAGCAACAATGTACAGTTTGTTTTCAAACAACCTCAGAGTAAGAGAGGTTGAGGAAAGGATACACATGTGCAGACACAAGGCCTTCTTATCAACACTGGAACTCAGGGAAAAAATTAATATTTATTTTTCGGGGGCTACTTTTCAACCTTGCCTGCATGAAAATAACATTCTAAAATTTGTTTTGCATTGAACTCTATGCAAATTTAAGGGGCTCTTTTCTGATTTTCGGGGGCTCTTTTGGGCATTTCGGGGGCTATTTCGCCCTGAGCCCCCGTGTATTTTTTTCACTGCTGGAACTCACATATATCTGAAACTTACATTACATTGAGATCTTCTTACTGAAGGTTGCTCAAATATACTTATTGATTACATCGGGTATCTGCCATGGGCCATTGTAACGGCCCAAAGTTCATACTGAATTTAATAATAATAATAATAATAATAATAATAATAATATTTAATTTCTATATAGCGCTTAATACAAATGTCTCTAAGTGCTTTACAAATATACTATTACCCCGGTCATTGGATTCAAAACAGATTCCTTAATTTGTTACTTTGATATCATTCATGGAACACTGTCCGAAACAAGATAAAAACATGTAATGAAAACGAGAACCCATAACTTAAACCAAGAGTAGTCTCATGAAATTTAGATACATGCTTGTATATATAACTTGTTGGTACCATAAAGATAAAGTGTCCTGGGTAACAATCCTTCAACAAACTCCTTTCGATATTTGATACTCCTCACCAAAAATGTGACATACATGTATTCCAATCCTTTAAGACACACCTTTCTCAAAGCACTAATTTTTTGTTGTTAATAATGTTACCTATAACAGAGTTAAATTTCATTCACCGGTAAATGCTATTTTTACATGACTACTAAATTTTCCCCAGACACCAATACATTAGCTTGACTTCAGAGTATATACCCTTGCGATTGGCCTTATCTCAGTAATCAAAGAGAGTATTTTCGGCTGCATGACGAGTGTTAATCCTTCCACTTAATCCCTATGATTAGTACAAGCCATTCGCTATGAGGTATAGTAACATTTAGTTGAACATTCTCTTGAATGCTGGAAAGGATCGAAGGACAAAGATGCCTATTTAAAGGGCATTAGACATACTCTTTAAAGATAAACTTGAGTTCTGGTAAATATTAAAAAATAAATTCTCAAAGCGAAGCTTACAATAAATGTTCAAGATTACAAATAAATGACATATATATGCCAAAAAAAATTGGTAGAAAATATATAGTGGCTGAGTAATGAGCATAGAAAGAAAAGGAAATCCAGGTAATTAGGCCGGACACCATGTGCTTTTTAAACACAGGTCACTGTGTCCAAATGGAAGTTTTGGTTTATATCGAAGATGATGCCCAGTAAGATTTTTTTTGCTTTCATTTCATTGGTTCAAACAACAAATCTACTGTAGGACAAACAATCCAGAATATATCATAGCAATTTTTTCTCAAAAAAAGGTTCCTATACCAGAGCTCAAGATTAGCTTTAAATTGTTGGAGTATAAATTTAATACACCAGAAAACAATATTGGACAGCGATTTACTATTATTTATGGCAGGTAATCAAAAGTATAGGTAAGTGAAATTTATCAACAGTTTAAATGCTTGATGCTTTATTCAAACTCGTACACTGTATGCAATATTGTCCATATATCTTAGCGCTGCTTGCATGACCTTTGACCTTTATGCAAATAGAATGGCAGGAAGCTACTTGCCCAAGGGGACCAGAGGAACAATGAGTAGGCCCGTCTTCATCAGCTCGAGTTTGCCAAATAACCCGCTATTTCAACTATCCCGATCACAAGTTAACCAGTTAATTTGAATCCTCATCGGCCCGCAGTTGCAATTGGTGGGATATTTGGTTGAGAAAATATCCTGACAAATCTTGGTCCTGTTTCCAAAATATCCCGCTATTTGGGAAATAGCGGGCTAATTTGCGCCCATCCGAGCTAGTTTGTGATGAGCGTATCGGTCTGGTGATGTGAGCTTCGGGATAATATCCTGAGTCTGAAAATAGCGGGTTATTTGGCAAACTCGAGCTGATGAAGACAGGCCTATGGAGACAAAAATCACACATGCCCAGTAGGGAAAGCAAAGGGAAATTCCAACTTCCCAAAGTGGGTAAACAAAGCACATTACTGTTATACAGAGTGAACATGTAAATTGCCCGCTTCCTGCAAGAAGGCTACTACTGACATTGACAATGCACAGCTCTTGTGGCTTTCCTGTACGCAGCAGACGAGACGCTTTAATAATTGGTTACGTACAATTTGTAGCAAGTGAGATTGACATTAACCCATGAGTTTTTGTGACCAACTCCCCCCCCCCCCCCTCCAGGAAGAGGAAAAAGAAATGATTTTGAACCACCCATATAATATTTGTCATCATTATGAAGGAAATGGTTTGGAATGGTGCCCAAACCTATCTCTATGAACCATTACCATACCATAGCTTACAAAAGATCAGTCAAGAGATGGTCACCATCCATGCTGAACTTGGAATAGAGCCCAATTCTTTCCACATGGTCTACGGACAAAGCCATTTCTGACCATAGATGCAGCCATCGCAATGGCCATCAAAATGGTGAAGAAATCAAAATGTTAATGTTTACCCCCAAATGATGAGACTTAACACTATATCAAATACATACAAATGATACACAACATAAAGTGGAAGTTATTGAGGTTCGGAAGTGCGATAGATGCGGAGCCAGCAGACAGCACCAAAATATTAAAAGATGAAGTGTTTCCAGAAAGTGAGACAGAAATACATACAACCAGTGACACTGTAATTAATCCCTGCTTACCTTTATGTTACCTTTTGCATAATATACATTTTTTTTTTGTAAGGGCGGGAGGGGGAGCGCAAAGATTAGAAGGCAATATTTGAAGCTGTGCCCCTGTGTGTCTTGTATGGATATGACCTTTTTCTATAGATGTTCACTACAATCATAACCCAGGGAATAATTTTCCTGGTATCGCATCGCAATTTGCTATGCATTTTTGCATGACTGCTATACAAAATATCTTTTGTGTAGCAGTTTTCTTCCATAGAAATGTACAGAATTTCATTTGAAATATTTATCCATCGGCTGAAATTGCTAATCAAAAAATTTGAGGAAAATTATTCCCTGTAACCAGTGTGAAAGTACTAGTGAGCAGTATCACATGATCTGAAACATTTGCGATATCATTACAAAAGTGCTGACATGAAATATGATAGGCAATACATCATCTGTGTGGAACCACAAGGGCATCAATACTTTGTTAAAGCAGAAGAATTTTAAGTGGTATTCCGGTAGCGCCTACTAAGTTAGCGCATACTAAGTTAGTTCACACTTTTATGGAGTGCCTGTTGCCAACCCATTTACCCTATACAGATGATTTTAATCCTGCAATGAAAAGTGTCCAAAAAATTAATTTTGCAATGAAATGGGAAAAAAAGATAATATGAGTGTGAACTGAATTTCAACAAAGTCCTTGGTTGATTATCTTTGTCATGAATATTGAAGGAGGAAGATGACACCTAGCATTCCAGTGTGAACTAAAATTCTTGTTTAGTCTGGACTTAGTCCCGGCTTAACTTATGAGAATGCCACCCCTAGTGACCCAAACAGACAATATAATTTACTGCTAAATATGGCAGAAAGGGACCTGGAGGTTGTGATTATAAATGAGAATGTTGACTGAAAAACAATCATTCCCCGTCTAAAGAAAGTGTGATACAGTTTTTTTACCAAAAATTGGTCTGGTCATGTATATCTAAACAGAAAAAAGTCATATCCATAGCTCGCACAATACAGTTAGATGCAGTGAAGATATTTGGTTATACACTGAATGTTAAGGTACGATGGACAAAAACAAAGATTTCCCTCAAGAATATCAAAGCCTCACCACTGACACGCAATCTTTAAAAGATCCTAGGGAGGCATTGCCGATGCTGCCAGAGCGATCGGAAGAGTTGCTACTCTGTTGCTATGGAGACGATCGATAGCGTTGGTTGGTGAGAGAGGGAAGGCGGGTGGTGGTGGTTAGATAACACAGTTTGGAAATATGAAGATGAGATCAATCATATGAAGAGATATTTTGACTAGATATAGGACTATTTCTTGAAACATTCAACTAGACTATCAAGTCATGTATGAAGTGTCTCTTATCTCTTTCATACCACTAATAAGATGTAGCTGATTTAAGATGTGGTATATTTGCCAATGGTAATGACAGTGTTAATATGACCTTTTTTCTGTGGTGGATATTTCTCGGATGTTGTCGTAAGACCACCCTGAATGACTCTTATAATAAGGCATATGAGGTACCTGTAACACGCTCCTAACACTCAACAGACCATTTTTATAACATAAAATACATGGAATTGTGTCTATACATTACAATATTTGTGATTGTTGATTAAATACAGTGTACTTGTATTCTAGATGTATGTAAGAAGTGTTATGTAGCAGAGATGGATGATCAGGGGAGTGTTTCACAAAGACTACGAACAACTTTAAGTTGGACCTAACTATGGTAGGCCATTCATGCCACTGGTTGCTCTCACCATTGGTCTCTCAATTACAATGTATGATCTTTAGATAATATTTTTCATTCAATAATGAACTATCAAAAAATATAAATTCTGTAGGTTTGTGACCATGATTTGTACATCCTTTGAGAGACCAATACAAGTAAATGGTGAGAGCAAACAGTGGCATGAACGGCCAGCCATAGTAAAATCCAACTTAAAGTCGATCTTAGTCTTTGTGAAACACTCCCCTGAGTTTCAATGATATCGCCATGATTGAATACTGTGATACTGGTATTGTATGAACTACATGTATGAATATGTTTAGTCAGACGATGCTACAGTTCTTTGATGTGATGTAAATCATGATCTCTGACCTGATAATCTTGTTTTATTTAATTTACTAAAGAAAAGAAAAGCACAACTTACCATATCTGGCGAGTTCCTGTGGTTGGTAAAAACAATAGAAAGAATACAAAATGCATCATTTGGTAATCATAGGTACATACACATTATAATTGTCAGATTTGTTTACCAACACAAAACACTGTAGCACAGAATTATTCCAATTGTAAGAAGTATCATACCTCAATACAAAATATACTTTTAAATGTATAATCCTGTGGTTTTGAAGGAATCATCTTTCTTTTAATTTTATCATAATACAGTGAAACCTGTTTATATAGACGAGCGGGAGACATGAAATGTGGTCTTTATAGGCAGGCTGTCTTTATGTACAGGTTCCTTTAGTACATGTTTCAATGAGAAACCACATATAAGGGGAAAAAATAAGTGGTCTTTATAGACGGGTGGTCACTAAACCAGGTTTGACTGTACCAATTTTGTATCACCCCAGTTCTTCCTTTAGTTAAAATCTCTCTGCTTCTCGAATATCTTGATCTTCTAAACGAAAGCACCAGACTTTGTGATGTTTGTAATACTTACCCTGGCGATTCTCCATCTTTATCTTTCTTTTTCTTTGCTTTCTTGACTTTTTTCTTCTTCTTTGTTGTCTCTGGGTCTGGCATGGGTATGTTGGATACATCACATTCCTCAAACTCTAATAATACTAGAAAAGAGAAAAAACAGAAGACAACAAAAGGTTCATTAAAACAATCTAAATATTCACATATCTGATCTTTAAGTATACACCTGTACAAGTATACAAATATACAATTCAATCATTTTGAGAAAAATGTGAGATTAAATCTTTGTCTTCTTTCTATCATTTTAAACCAAAATAAATAAATAAAAATAAACAAATAATGTAAAACTACCCTTTACTGCAAAATAATAATAATAATAATAATAATAATAATCAGTAATACAGTCACTAAACGCTTTACAGATATTACATGTATTACCCCTGTTACCGGATTCATTCATGCACAATGTGCATCATCTCCACTCCCTAGAGAGTATTCCTGCCATATTACTAACACAAATGCTTTGGTCATCCTGGGAGGTGTTTCACAAAGATCATAAGTAGAACTTAACACTAAGTTGGACTTAAAAATTATGGACAGCCATTGGAGCCTTAAAGTGAAATATATTCAAAAGCAGAAATGCAAGTATTTTAGACTTTTTATAAATACCACATCCAGAACATGAAATCTCCTTGATGATAGAAAATATGAATGATTTGAATCAACATTTTATGCCTTTCAAAATAACTTTAACAAAATATTTTCAAAGATGCTAATGGCTTTCCATAATTTTTAAGTCCAACTTAGAGATAAGTTCAACTTAGGATCTTTGTGAAACACCCCCCAGGTCCCAATTTCTCTCCTGGATATAGCCAGTTCTTACATGTACATGTATGTATATAGCGCTTTTTAGGACCGAAGGCCCTCTCAAAGCGCTTTACAGATATATATATATTATTTCCCCGGTCATCGGATTCAGGCTTACCCGCACACAATGTACGCACATTCTCCACTCCCTGGGGAGCATTCCAGCCAGGCATCATTTAAACAAGCGCACACTTGCTAATCTAAGCACATTTGCTTCCTACCGGGCACCCATTTAACACCTGGGTGGAGAGTGGCAAATGTAGATCAATGTCTTGCCAAAGGACATTTGTGCCAAGGTGGGACTTAAACCAAGGACCTTGTGATCCCCAGTCTGGTGACATATCCACTCGTCCACGACACCTCTACATTAGTGATACATGTAGAATGCATGATACATACCAGGTCGTTCCTTGCCGGTACCCTTAGACTCTGAGAACATTGAGATGAGTTTGACTTCTGTTAGCTCTTCACATTGCTCTGTGAACTCTCGCTGCACCTATTTCACACAAAAAATACATGAAATGATTAAGCTTTGAAGGAATCAGATATTGCAATATTATTGTTACTACACAGTATTATTATTATTATTATTACTGCATATTATTATTACTATATTATCATTACTGCATATCATTATCAAATCATATTATTATTACTACATTATTATTACTACATATTATTATTACTTTATTATTATAGCGATAGCTCAGTCGGTAGAGCAGTGGTCTCGTAATCCTTTGGTAAGGCATTAATCCTCATTATCAGGTCCCTCAGAGAGGACCTTAAGCTGTCAGTCTTCTGGTTGCTTACTAACAAGCATTTATTGCTTTCTTAGCTGTCAGGTAAAATAACCACCACTATCAATATCAATACATATTATTATTACTTTATTATTATTATATCTACATACATGTACAGTATTATTATCATTACTACATGTTATTATTACTTTATATTATTTCTAATCAGTGATAAAAGTCTAATTCCAATGACAATTATAGGTGGAGTAAACTTTAAATTGTTGAAAAAGAAAATCAACATTATTGAATTGAAACAAATCTCAGTTCTATGCTCTCAGAATTACATGTACAATGTGTACAGGAGCACTGAATCTTCTGAGACTGAAGAAACCTACATTAAATCACTGTGAATATGATTTATTGTTTAGTTAGCAATGGATAAAGGAAGGGGAGATAATCAGAGCAGACAGATTGAGAATGGGAGGGAGGGAGAGAGGGAGGGAGGGAGGGAGGGAGGGAGGGAGAAAGAGTAAAAGAGAGAAAGAGTAAAAGAGAGAGAGAAAGAGAAAGAGAAAGATAGAGAAAGAGTGAGAAAGAGAGAGAAGAGAGAGAGAGAGAGAGAGAGAGAGAAAGAAAGAGAGAGAAGAAAAAGAAGAGAGAGAAGAAAGGGAGAGAGAAAGATACATACATGTATAGATAAGAAAAGAGGAATACAACTGTGAACAGATGAAGAAAGTGAGAGGAAAGAGAAGGAAAGAGAGATAAAGTGAAATAAAAAGGAAAGCAGAAAAATGAATAATACACCAAAAAGAAAAGAAAAACAACTTCAAGAAATAAAAAAATCGAGTCACCTCCTCCTCTGTTGGCTGTATTCTCCTATAGCAATTTCCCATGATTCAAGTGAAATGATCAATTAGAACGGGTCAAACCAAACCAGATGAGACGAGACAACTTCCTTTTAATTACTCTTGGGGGGTAATCCAATTAAAGCCCATCCACAAAGCCAAAGCCCATTCACAAGGAAGAGAGATCAGCAGACAATTAACACTTCCACCCCTTTAGCAGTACAAGAAGTTGAGCATGATCACTTAACAAGGCCATGAAAGCCCTTCAATCGAATCTTTAAGAAACTATAATAACATGTATATTGTGACATCCGTTGTCAGCTTGCTCTTTTTTTAGCATTATTCCAGGATAGACTATGAATCCAGACTTCAACTTTGATCACATCGGATCCTCATTGTCCTGACTTCGGATCAAAGTGTATACGTCTCTTGGATACAGGAGTGCTTGATCTCAGCTGCTTTGGGGAATTTCCCTATAAAGTCCTCATATTCCTCAAACAAGTTAATTTCCTCAGGCAAACTTGCGTATATTCCTAATATCCTCAAGCATTTCTGTAGAATCCTGAATTATATCCACTCATAAGAGAAATAGATCCACAAGAAAGAGAAACTCCAAGATTTCTTCAAGTTCAATCCATGCGAGCAAAAACAAGACGCCTTTGTCACCTTATAGGCATAGCTCAATGTAAGACTCAACGTAGAATCCTTATTATATCCCCTGGTAAGTGATCTAAAAGAAGGGAACGCCAGAATTTCTTGAAGTTCAATCCATGCGTGTATAAATAAGAAGCCTTTATCACCTTATAGCTCAATGCATTAGAAGGTTTAAGTTCCAAACAATACACTGTACATTCCCTGCAGGAACCTGAGCACAGAGATTCCAAACTTGCTTTGTTTGTTTGCGCTCAGTAGTAAATGTTCCTATCTATCAGCTGCATTTTGTAAGGTCTACAACGATCTACAACGCTGCACTTTGTAAGGTTCCAGTCGCAAGGTCTACAGCACGACTTTCATATTGTATGATTCCTACGCTCACATTCAGTCAGTCATGTCCCGAATGTGCCCACAATCACAGAACGAACATGACAGAGGCGGAAATCAAATGTATCTGTTTTCAAGGATAAAAGCCAAGAGTCAGTGCACAATCTGACAAACCCGGCTGTAATGACACTTAATCTGCTAGTCCTGGAACGGATTACACCCGCTTTTTTTTTTTTCCTTCTGCGAGTCTCACCGAGGAAAAGAAATCAAACCGACAAAGGCAAAGACAAACGTCGCTTGGCGGGCATGACTCTGAATGGCTAGAGCATGTGATGAGTGGGCTGGGGGCACCGAGCTCTCGTTGGGGCAGGACTTGAGGGGGGAAGTTATATTTGGAAGTCAGGCATTAGTTAGTAACCCTTGCCATCAGAGGATACGGGTGTCCTGTGCGTTAGATCCTGCCTAGCAGTCGGGGAGTCTCCTCGCTAACATTCATGTTCAATTAACAGCTGTTCAGACTTTGTTTAGTTCACTAATCATCCCCCTTCCCCCTCTCTCTCATGAATGCTAACGAATCGTCTCCATAGCAACAGTGTTGTTCCAGTGCCCCACCCCCCAGGGCAAAAACCCCCATTACTGGCTGGACCGTTCCTTAAAAAACCAACAACTGGTTATTTACATGTCGTAAGAATAGTGAATTCAAAATTATATTGATATTAAGTACAAACATTTCACAAAAAGCAATTTTAAGATAATATTTGTGATTTTCTTTTAGGGGGGAGGGGGTATAACAATCCAAGATTTATATTTGGGATATTGTTTTTAGGAGGGTAGCAATTTAAGATTACATTTTCCTGCTGTCTACTGTAGGATAGATAAATTAGTATTCACTCTCCTTACTTTTCTTCCCCCCCCCCCAAACTTGGTCAATAATAGCATATGTAATTCAGAATTAAAACATTTTGAAAATGTTAATTTGTAACACAGACTGAGAACTACACTGTAGCTTTATAATAGAATTGTAATATTTCACAAACAGGATTTACTCTCAGCTTGTGGTTGAATACTCGACAGCAAAGAAAGGACATTTAACCCCTTCAATACTGAAAAGTCTCATACCCATAGGCTTAGTACAGTAACTAACCAATGCCAGTATTTAATGGGTTAAAAATGATTTGATCCATGGAGGGAATACTAATCTCTTGTTGTGTTGGGGATGACGGCAGCTGTTCGATGTGAAACCATAGGACATTGTCCTTTAACATTCAATGTATTAGTCATGAGTTCAAGAGTTTAACCAATTGAATATGATTTGATTTCAATATGACTTCAATATCCACAGAACTACAGTGCAAGTTATATGTATCTCTGGCCTTTTTCGAAAAGTATTTGGAATATAAACACTAAGAACTTCTGGGTTTAAGTCAACATTATTAAAATATAATATTTTGCTAATTATTGTGACAGCATTTTATAAGACACTTCAGGCATTATAGACACTTTTAAAAACTCTCCGTCTCTGTCTCTCTCTCTTTCTCTCTCTTTGTCGCTCTCTATCTTTCTGTATCTCTCTCTCTCTCTCTCTCTCTCTCTTTGTATCTCTCTTTCTCTGTCTGTCTGTCTATCTAACTATCTATCTATCTATATATCTATCCCCCCCCCCCATCTCTCTCCAGATCCCATTCTCACTCTCGCTCTTTCTTTATCTCTAGTCTAGTCTTTGTATCTACAAAGGATATCTATTCCAATCTCCCTCCCCGTCGATTCCCCTCCCCCTCTTTACCCCCACTGCCATTCGCTTCCTCTCAGTCTTCCTCTGAACAAAACAACTTGCCTCTGTGTCTAGTGCCCTTTAAAAACCTTGGCACACAAACAGCGCCTCACTCACGAAACAAACAACGCAAACAAGAACGGCGGCACGTGCAACGGAAGGACACGTGTTCGGTGGGAATATCAGAGAAGAAGCGGAATGATTCCAAACACGTGAATGTCGGGTGGGAAGGGCCCTATAAGGAGCCCTCGCTGGGGAAGTGGTTGACAGCTTTATTACTCATGGGGAGGGGGAAGAGAAAAGGTTGCTTTTTGCGTCACATGATTCAGTCTATTGACGTACATGTAGATGAGCTACCCCTAAAAAAAAACAGAGCCTGCAGCAGCTGACATAGCACTATAAATGGACTAGCATCAATGGCATAGCTACAAGGGGGTAAGGGCACATCCCCCCCTTCCATAAAAAGACCCCCAAAAAAGAGAAAATGAGAAAAAGGGAGAGAAAAGGAAGAGGGGGAAAGGGAACATGAGGAGAAACTGATACAACCCTCTCCTACGCCCCCACCTTAGCCATGTCAAAAGGGCTACCCTGTCAAAAGATTAGAAATAAATAGATAAATAAATAAAATGTATAAAAGACTCCCATCTCCTCCTCTCCCTCCCCCTTTAATGCCAGTGCACACTCCATAACTCCATAAATAAAGGATTACTACAATATCTCCTCAAAGATTTATTTATAAAAAAAAGGAATACCCATATATCTTTTAAACAAATAAAGAGATGAAATGAAAATCTAAACAATATCAACACACTGTCTTTTTTTGCTAATAATCTAAATGTTTAAATCAAAACATTACATGAATAGAGAAAGACGAAGGAAAAAGAATGAAAGAGGGAGAGATGAGAAATTCTGAGAGTTTTTAGTGTTAAAAATATAAATCCTACATGTATCTGAGAGAGTTCGAGAGCAGACGACCTCATTATAGGGATAAATATTTAGCTACTGGGAAGGCATAAGTGGGAGGGGTGAATCAAAATTAGCAGTTTGTGTATTCTTGTCATATTTTCCACACCTACTATAATCTTGTGGTCTGAAAGTCAAATGGTTTTAAAAACCCTGGAATAATCCTGATAAATCTACAGGTCAACTCTCAAGGCTTGAACATCGAGAATAACCCCTGTTGATAAACAGTCATACGTGTATGCAAATATCCTTGCGTACTGTGTGGCATTACATATATTTCAAAGGTACATGTACATGCAGATCTTACTGCATAACATTTATTCTTTTTTCTTTTTCAAATGTAAACAGTACATACATCTTTACAACAGGAATTAATTGGAAAATTTCAAATCAGAAGTTTAAAATGCAGTGCTTAAGAATAGAAGTTTGTCTCTTTTGTTTTTCATACCCATGCCGTCTCTGATTGGTTATGGACTTTCTACCTTCATAAAGACACTTAACCCACAGTACTACTTTGATTGCTGTTGTCACTCAAGCTCTTAGCACCGCATTTCAGGGCTTAGCAATGAAAAAGTGGTGATAACATTGCTGTTTAAGAACCATGCTTTTACTCCAATGGTGTACTACTTGATGAAATCTTTAAGCATTAAAGGCATCGTTTAACAATGTTAAATCTGAGATGCATGGCCCTACGTGTTATCAGTGTCTGTGATATGGTGTAATATTGAAGCGCTAAAAAAAATTGTGCTTCAAAATGATCATGAAGTGCCTCAAAAAAGTAAAAATCTTTGAGTGACCGGTTTTACCATACTAATTTCCCCCAATAGACTGCAGTGTTATAAAAACCGTTACATTAAAGGCATCGTTTAACAATGTTAAATCTGAGATGCACGGCCCTACGTGTTATCAGTGTCTGTGATAGGGTGTAATATTGAAGCCCTATAATAATTGAGCTCTTTGAATGACCGGTTTTACCATACTCATTATCCCCAATAGACTGTAGTGTTATAAGAAAAACGTTAGGAAAACAAAAAAAATGAAATTTTCGATTTCCCATCATAAATATCTTGATAATCAGACAGGCGATCGGCTTGTAAAGGTCATGGGATTCCTGACTGACCAAAAGGTTTATAATTATGATTTCAGCATGGGCTAAATCCAGGATTTTGTTTCAGAATCTTACCTTTTGTACACTGTTATGGCAATCCTTGATGGCGATGTTGTACTGCTTAATGAAGTCTTTGAGCTGCTGTAAGTGCGCTTCTTCTAAAGCTTCAAATTTCTAGGAGACAAAGAGAGAGAGAGAGAGAGAGAGAGAGAGAGAGGAAGAAAAAAAAATTACATCAAAACTTTGATCAATGCAAATGCTGCTCATCTTTTGCTATGGAGACACCATGATTATCATCATTTGAATCATAATTATTTGTTGGAAGGAAAAGTAGAAGGTACTAGACCGAGAGGAAAGCCGAGAACCAACCTGGAGGAGAAAATAAAGACCTGGAAGTGGAATGACACAGTTAGAGTGCTCTAGAATGGCAGATAAGAGAGATGTGTGGAAAAATGTTGCAATCAACCTCCTCCGAGCTGGGAGCAGATACCAGGAAAGATAAATAGATAATAAACCAGTGCAATTAAATTCATCTTATTCTTAAAGCTAAGCACAGTCTTTCACACACAGAAGGCCACAGATCCAAGATCAGACATAGATGTGTCATGGTCTAGTGGGTAAGACATCACACTATAGATCATATGACCAGGGTTTGAATCCCTCACACAGCACTTAGGTCCTTTGGCAAGGCATTAATCTACATTTGCCACTCTCCACCCAGGTGAAGTGAATGAATACCGGTACCTGGTAAGAACGAATTCTATGAATACTAGAGTGCCTCGTTATGTTAACTCAGCTAAACTACAATAAGAAAAAAGCAGTAATATTTGTACTCTCAGGAAAAGAAGAAAAAAAATCCAACTATTATCTTCACGGATAGTCAACCTGTTCGAAACGTCGAGCCACTCCCGCCACCCATCCTCTCCAAGCGCTATAGTTCTCCTTAGAACTATAAGCTAAGAAAGATAACCAACAGTCTTTTTTAAGACTACACCAACAGTCCTTTCAGAACTACACATCCTCAAGAAAGATTACTGAGTCAGAGTCCTTTTCAGAACTCCTCAATCCTCTCTCTCTCTCACATGGTGCATCCACAAGCCTACTGTATATTATCTTCATTTAATAATAATAATTTTGTGAAAAACTTCAAAACGGTTTTAATCTTTCATTATTCAAAAGAGTGCACAATCACACAACTATCTTGTATCAAAGATAAAAGCGAACTTTAGTAGACACTAATTTCAAGACAAGCTTTCTATCGAGTTACAGAAGCTGTCTGGCAATAGACCTCAAAACGATCGCCTTCTTTCGCAGACAAATGATCTCAATCAATTATCCTAGCTTAACAAAATATCATACAAGCACTGTTTTGTTCAGCCCATATTGCAATTGGAAACATTCTTTACAGATCCTTTGTCCCATTCAATAACAAAGTCTCATACATGTAGTTCGTGGTTTGGCACATTAAATAGATTCATAGTCCTAGAAGTTGTGACATGTAGATAAAGCAAAGACTTCTGCACAATTGTTGAAAATCCTGAAAGTGGCACCATTTGAAAGCTTAAAGGGATAGTTGAGTTCTGTTTTCAGACCGCAAATGCCTTCAAAGTGCATGGTTATTGCTCTTATTCTTATCTATGACATTTCTAGTGCCTTTTTAGAACCTAAAATTGCTATGAAGGTAATTTTAGACCCCAAAATGTGTGAAATTTAGCCAATACGATCATACCAATTCAGCTCTACTTTAAAAAAATATCGTTAAATAATTATTTAATTAAAAATAACAATACACTGTACATGGGCCGGCTGGTTGTGCGTAATATAACCAACAAAAAAGCCGAACATCTGCATTGGCTGAAATACGACGTAAAAGGCTATTTCGTTTTTTTTCAACGGCTTTTTCAAACTATCTAAAATTAGTGGTGGTACACAAGTATTAGAAATCGTTATATTTAAGGATATTTCAGCCATCTCTGAACCGATTTTGATCAAACAAAGATGATTTATGTTATTTTAATTGTATGTTCTATCATATTTGACACTCAGTTTTTCATTATCCCACAAAAAAAATTATTTTGTGTAGCGCCCTCTGCAACAGAACTCAACTATCCCTTTAAAAATATGTACATTCTATGAATTTTCCTCCAATAGATTTTTTACTGAATATTTCTATACCAGATACACATACATGCAACTGTCTAGAAAATCTAGCAATAAAAAGAAAATTACATTATGACATTAGAAGAAAAGCTCAATGACTATACTTTTTCAAAACATCCATGGGTTTGATTAGCTTTTATTACAGCAAACTCAGCTTTCTATGGCTATAGATTGTATGGAGTAAAAGATGAAAGCAACGTGAATAGTCGGAGAGAGAAAGTGCTCCAGGCTGACAAATAATTGATACTATCTGCCAGACAAGCTCATGATTTAGCGAACAGTAATATAATCTCTATCAGTCTCCTAGCCTAGGGCTGAAACACAGGAGGCCTGTCCTCATCAGCTCGAGTTTGCCAAATAACCTGCTATTTTAACTATCCCGGTCACAAATTAGCCAGTTAATTTGCGTCTTCATCAACCCGCAATTGCAATTAGTGGGATATTTGGTCGACGTTTCCAAAAAAGCCCGCTATTTAGGAAATAGCGGGCTAATTTACGCCCGTCCGAGCTAGTTTGTGATGAGCGTATCGGTCTGGTGAGGACGCAATTTTGAGCTTCAGGATAATATCCAGAGTCTGAAACTGGCCAGTTATTTGGCAAACTTGAGCTGATGAGGACAGGCCTAGGAATTCGATCTCGATGCTTGTAATATACCCCCAGGTCGAAACAGAAGGTCCCTCGAACATTGGAAAAGCTTGCTTCATCCTCAATATTCACAAATGCTTGTAGAGATTTCCGTGTTGTTATGTTTACACTACCTTGGCAGAGGCTTTGGTTGCAAATATATTTCATTTTCGTTTCATTTTTCTAATAAATGCTGAACTTAAAATTACATGTAGAATAGCATCTGCATTGTCACTATTGTCATCCCTTTGTTACATTACAGGCATCGTTTAACAATGTTAAATCTGAAATGCACGGCCCTACATGTTATCAGTGTTTGTGATATGGTGTAATATTGAAGCCCTATAAAAATTGCGCTCTTTGAGTGACCGGTTTTACCATACTCATTATCCCCAATAGACTGTAGTGTTATAAAAAAAACGTTAGGAAAACAAAAAAATGACATTTCGATTTCCAACCATAAATATCTTGATAATCAGAAAGGCAATTGTCTTGTAAAAGTCATGGGATTCCTGACTGACCTAAAGGTTTATAATTATGATTGCAGCATGAGCTAAATCCAGGATTTTGTTTCAGAATCTGAGGCAATGTTACCGTGTCATTTTAAAAATAAGCTTGAGTTCTGGTAATGATGAAAAATAAATTCTCACAGAATTCAACAAAACTTACACTGAATATTTAAGATTACAAATAAATAACATTTGCCAAGCAAATTTTGGTAGAAAAATAGAAAATGTATAGGGCTGAGTAATGAGCATAGAAAGATAAGGAAATCAAGGTAAGTACTGTACGCCCCACACCATGTGCTTAACACGGGTCATTATGTGCAAATGGGAGTTGTGGTTTTTATTTAAGATCATTTCCATCAAGTTTTTGTGAGGTTGTGTTTATTTTACTGGTTCAAACAATCAATCTACAGCAGGATAAACAATCCAGAATGAATTATTGCCATGTTCTCTCGACATACGATGCCCATACCAGAGCTCAAGAATAGCTGTAATGTAGCTGCAATCTTACTATTTTATTATGTCTCTGCTTACATGGTACTTGTATGAAAATTGGTAATGTGTTTTGCTTTCAGTGACTGGATGCAAATAAAACAATATAGTTAAGACTAATAATTATAATTAGTATCTAAAAATAAAGTCCAAAAAAAATGGTCTTAAGTTGCAGACTTCGATAACAATTATGATTTAGGAAGAATCATTATGAGTAAGCAAATAACTACCGTTGGTGAAGGTGATGGGACAAACGATCACTTCCGAGGCGATCTGGATGTAGCTATCTTTCCAAAGCGAAGCTGAGGAAAGATAGCGTATACATTCTGATCGACGAGGAAGTGATAGTTTGCCATCGCCTGAAACCAAAAGGTGATTATTTGCTTTATATTCCACATCTAAAACAATTTAACTACAAAAAGAAAAGGACGTTTATGCATCTACATAAAAGACACCATGCCCAAATTCACACCAAAAAAGTTAAACAGTAGTTTAAAGGTAATACAAAGTTTTGGGAAATTTTGAAAATTGGGTGGATAGTGATTATTTACAATTTTGTTATATTTGGATGCCCCTGTGGATGTATTATAAGCACTAAAAAATTTATCCCCTGAAACATTTTTACTTTCGAGAAAAATTGAATATAAAAATTTACCGGTGCTCCCGGTAAATGTTGATAAATTTCAAATAGCGCTTACGGCCGTACAATGGTAGCTGCGACCATGAAAATCTCAGAATATGTTGTTGTGATATGTTATTTTCAAACGGGAATAACCGATTGGTCAATTTTAATCAAGAAACATTGTTTTATGGCTTAATTCATATATTGACCTTGAGAGGGAGCTATACAACATAAAGAGTTTATTATTTACAATTTCATAACTTAAGACTCGATTTCAACCGCGACAATGATCACTGAATATTGTTGGATCGCATATGCTTCCAATATGTTTATTTGAACCAAATTCATGACCCCATACCAAAACTTTGTATTACCTTTAACCCAACCCCTTGAGTGTACGGTGCGCGCATGTGTTTGTTTTAATTGCGCTCATTGGTAATGCGCGCTTAATTACGCCTGTTTTAGTGCGCATTTGGATAATCTTCAGTGAAAGTGCGTTGCCCTTTGTAGATAGTAGCTCTATCTTCAGTGAAAGTGCGTTGCACTGTGTAGATAGTAGTACTATCTACACAGTGTAACGAACTTTTTGCTTCTCCTATCAGTAATGGGTGATCTATCTTTCATCACGTGATTTACTTTTGACCAATCGTAGAGCAAGATTCTTAGTATGTGGAATATAATACTAAATATCTCTGGAGTGCTTGTGCCATTGCGAACACCAAAAATGCTTCCAAAGAGGATATTGATCGCACCTGAATACTATGATGTACCTTATAGTTGTGTATTCATAGATTTGCCTGAACCAAAAGGTAATTTGCTTACTGGAAACATGAATAAAGTACCATCTGTGATTCAGATATGTGCATCTTTTTATGTTTACATCACAGGAGGTATGATGGCTCAGTGGTTAGACAGTGGCCTCATAACCGGGAGGTCCCATGTTCAAAACCACCTGATGTGCTAGTGCCCTTTGGTAAGGCATTAATCATCACTACCAAGTCCCTCAGAGAGGACTTAAAGCCGTCAGTCCCCTGGTTGCTTACTTACAAGCAAGCATACATGCTTTCTTAGCAGTCAGGTAAAACAAACGAACATCAACCAAACCTATTTGCTCCATCTACTTTTTTTCTTCATTTAAACTTCCTCCTTGCTAAATTTGTCTTTCATTTTCTATTTTGCACGAGACAAGTGCCATACTGACTTCCTGAGGAGAAACATGCTAAACTTCAAAAAGCATTTAATCGCTTGCTGCAAGAATGCTGGTAAAACCCTTCACTGTCTTTCTACTATATCTTAAGAGGATGCTCCAAAACTGAAGTACATACAAAGTACTTAGCAGCCCTCTTTCATAAAACTCATTAACTATTGCAAGCTCAAACAATCACTGTTGATCACAGTGAACTCATCTATCAGTAACATGTATCAGTTCATTTTAAGTTCAATGTTTTAGCTCTACTGATTAAATGTGTTTGTCTTTAAACATGTACAGGTATATTCACTATGAACATCACAGACAAAGAAAGCGGACAAAATATACAGTTCCTCATCCTACCCTCAACAATTGCTATGGTAGACAAAGGAACATCCCTTCACTGCTATTATGTAAAAATGTGTAGAACAGGTGAATATATTTTGTCCACTTTGTCCACATGTTCATAGTGATTGTTATATACCTCACTTAAGAAATCCAGCCATCTGATTGGTCGAATTGCATTCATAAACTTCAACTGTTCCTGTAAAATTCTCGGTAACCATGCATAAAACATTTCAATATTTTTAATAACCATGGTTATTAAAAAAAGTTGGTCAGCCTCCATGGTTACCCCATAGGTTTACATGTTAAAAAATGGTTTGAGCGATGGAGGATGCCGTATGTGTGCGAAGGATTGGTCGGTAATTTCAATACAATTGAATCTCGATCGATCTTACCGACAATTTTATCTTGCATTGTTGACATGAAGACGAAAATAAACTTCCCAAAACAAAAAAACAACATCTGCCGATAGATCTTGATCTAAGTTCGTGCCAATATGCATTGCAAAAGTAAAAGAGGAGTCCGTATATGGAGCTTTTGCGAAGCATTCATCACACGCGAAGCCGGTTTCAATCCATTTTAATGTATATATTGGAGAAAACTGCCAAGCATGTTACCGGTGCCATAGCCGAGTGGTCTAAGCATTGGTTTTCGGTACACCTCTTGTTGTACGCAAGAGTTCGAATCCCGTCTTCGACTAAAGTGATAAATATTTTTCATTTTTCATTTTTTAGTCTATTTTTTTTCGGCATATAAAAGTATTAATGACTGCTTTAATATTCGAGAAATAGTTGTTTTCATACGCTCTCGGGAAGGTTACAATTGGGCTATTCCCCTCGGCAAGCCTCGGGGAATAGCACAATTCTAACCTTCCCTTGAGCGTAATAAAACAACTATTTCTCTCAAAGCAGTCATTAATACTATACTATGTTTTTACAGAGATGTGAATAAATGAAATAAATTTAGGTGAAATGAAATTATATACTCTTCTGCAAAAAAGTTGCCCTTGTGTCACCTACAATGTATTGCTATTACCTTGGCTTTAGCTTAACTGCTCTACGGCACTGGAAAAAATTGTGGAATTATGACCTTCAAGGTATCCACAGACTAAACCTGGGTTGAGAGCGACAAAAGAGAATTTAAAACATTTGTGTCTCGTGCCTGAGACTTGACCACAAACCATTACATCCGACTCCCAGTAGGTTGCAATGACCATAGCCAATAGGAAGCAAGTCCTTGAATCCTGTGGACTTTCTAGATGAAAGGTTGTCTACTAAATTTCCAAGTTTGGTAGAAGCTAAGGGACATGCTATGATCACCCAACCAATTAACAGTTTTTGTAAGTCCTTGAGTGCTTGCACACACACTAATGACAAAGCTCATCTACTTGGGGCTATTGATACATGTGTCTCAGATTATAAGTCTTTCTGCGCAATGTGTTTTTTCTATCACATTTGAGAAGGTGCGATGGCTCAGTGATCTTGTAAGCAGTAGGTTCCTGTTCAAAACCAAGAAGATGCGCTAGTACCCTTTGGTAGGGCATCAATCCTCATTACAAAGTCCCTCAAAGAGGGTTCAAAGCCATCGGTCTCCTGGTTGCTTACTTACAATCATAACCATGCTGTCTTATCAGTCAGGTAAAACAAACAAACAAACAAACAATGTATTATTATTACCTGACATGTATCTGTCATCTTCTTCTGGAAGTCTTCTCTCAGGTTGCCATACTTGTCAATCAGGTTCTTATACTCCTCCACTACACAAAAACAAAAAACAAGGAGAAATGTTAGAAAACATTAATTGAACCAAAAAAGTTAATTCATCACCTGAAAGATACATTTCTAGATAAATATAGCTCTTACAGATTTTAAAACTGTTCTGAAAATCTTAATTATAGTCTTGAAACCTGGGGGTGTTCACAAAGACTAAGATCGACTTAAGATGGATTTGAACTATGGCAGGCCATCCATGCCACTGGTTGCTCTCACCATTGGTCTCTCAATTATGATCTTCAGATAACATTTTTTTCTTTCAATAATGAACTATAAAATAAGCTAAGTTCTGTAGATTTGTGACCATGATTTGTACAACCCTTGAGAAACAAATGACAGGGATGGTTAGAGAAGGTAGTGGTATGAACGGCCTGCCATAGTTCAATTCCAACTTAAGTCGATCTTAGTCTTTGTGAAACACCCCCGTGGTATTTCTTTTTTTATGGAATTAAATTCAGGAGAAATTACCTGAAACTGATTCTCAATTTGTTCTATCACACAGAAAGGGTTTCGATTTTGAAGTTGTTGTTGTTGTTGTTGTTTATTTGTGTATGTCTGTGTTTGTTGTTTTGTTTCCTTTGGTCATTTTAAAGATATTGTGTATTTACTACAAAAGGCATTTGGCAAAGTGTTCATTTTCTTGAACATGCTGAGGAGATTTGGTTTCATTCTGTGACAATGTTTTCCAACAGTAACAAGGATTCAATTTGGTCTTTAAAAATAGACATAGGAATGAAAATAAATAAGAACCCTGTAAAAATCCCACTGTTTTGTACAGTTAATTTAAGAGCTACCCTGCAAATGTACTTAAGTGCTACTTATCAGTCGATCACATTACCAGGAAATAGCACTTATTTTCATAATGGGATCAAATTATGTAAAGCAATCCATGGCAATGAGGTATTAAATAGCCAACTATTTCCTCATGAATTCGAAGAGACTTAGAGAGAAGTTTGATCGACAGTTTAAGTAGTGAATAAATCCATGTTAATATTACTTAATTATTTTTTTGCAGGGAGCAGAATCAGTTTCAGGTAATTTCTTGTGAGAGAACAGATCAAGATCAAGGCATGAAAAGATGTTTTATTAAGAAGAAGAGAGAGAGGGAGGGAGAGGGGGGAGAGAGAGAGAGAGAGAGAGAGAGAAGAGAGAGAAAGAGATAGATAGAAAGGAGACATACACATATATTTGTGTATATATATATATATATATATATATATATATATATATATATATATATATAGGGAGACAGAGAGACAGAGAGACAGAGAGAACGAGAAGGAGAGAAAGAGAGAGAAAAAGAGAGAGGGGGGAAGAGAGAGAGAGAGAGAGACTACTTAACAGAAAGCTGTGACGGAAAGCAGGTATCACATGACACACAGTAATATGAAAACAACCTGAGGCATCATGCCACGAAAGAGGATACCGAGATAATGAGTTGGTATGGGGTGATACAGGGGGAACTGTTTAGGGGTGTACAAGTTCTTAAATCATCTCTTATCATATGATTTACCTACTTAAAAAGCACTTTTACACACAAAAAAAGGAAGAAATAAGAGTTCAGACCTTGAATAACATTGTAAGGTCAAAGTTCAAATGCCACCCCTCACTTTAATCTTACAATTTGAGTCTTGCTTTATCAATAATAATGGTTGTGGTTTGCTTGGACATTTGCAACAGGCCACAAGAAGCACTCAAATACCGTTATATTCAATTCAGGAATGTCACAACAAAGTTTGCACTTTAGGACTAGCAGATGCTACTTCAGTTCTGATTGCAGAAATAAAGATCATCTTGGAAACAAAGCTGTGTATTTCTATTAGTGTGGTTCTTTTGAAGTCAAGCACTTTGTTTTTATTGGCATTCTGCCCTCTGTTGTTTGAAAGTAGATATGTTTAGGTACTTCCCCCTACACGGTTCCCCTATGATCACCCCATATCAACTCATTATCATTCATATCCTCTTTCATGGCATCATGCCTTGGGTTGTTTTCATATTACATCTACATTTCGTCTGCTACTTGCTCTCCCTCTCTGCTCTCTCCTAAGTAGTCTGTTATACTTTCTTTGGATTCCCTTCCTTCCTTTCCTGCACGCTTTCTTTCTCCTCCATTTACATGTACCGGTATCTGTATAAATCTCCCTGTTTACATTGTTTATAATCTCTCCTCTCCCCCCCCCCCCCCCCCCCCCATCTCTCTCTCTCTATCTCTCTCTCCCTCTCTCTCTCTCTCTCTCACTCACTCCCCTCACTCCCTCCCTCCATCTCTCTCTGTCTCTCCTTCCCTTTCTCTCTCTCTCTCTCTCTCTCTCTCTTTCTCTTTCTCTCTTTCTCTTTTTCTCTCTTTCTCCCTCTCTCTCTCTCTTTGTCTCTTCTTTTCTCCTTCACTGTCTCTTCTTAATAATACACCTTATCATGCCTTAATTTTGATCTGTCCCTCCTCCTCCCCCCCCCCCCCTCCCCCCACCACATCCCTCCCCTCTCTTTTCCTACATTCTCACATGTTTTCTTATACTTGGTTTCTGCTTTCTCCAGCTCCTTTCCAGTGATGCCTTCCCTCTTTAACTTCTCAAACTCGATGCATCTTGTGTTGTAAAGTTCCTTGGCCTGTAAGGAGGAAGACAGATAGAGAAAATAATTGACCTATCTGACATCATTGGTGTTACTATGTTGGACTAAAGATGTGATCCAACCAATCAAAATAACCCATATATATATATTAGTATCAAACACGTAGGTTGCATTAAAGAAATCTGATGCACTTAATTGAAAAGAGAAATGGTGGAAGTTTCATCTTTACAAAAATAAGTACAACCCTAAATTCAATAATAAATATTTCCCTAAATGTTGTTAAATAATTTGCTGATAAAGTTGGACGACTCTTTGACGACAGAGGTGAGAGCATGATTATTTCCGGTCTCCTACTATAAGGAAAACGATGTCAACCATCCCCCCCCCCTTCTATCTTCTTTCTTCTCCCTTTTCCTCATTCGAAGTTGAGGAACTATAATGAAAACAATTCTTGATCTTCCTCTATTTAATTATGGACGTTTTGTAGTACCAATATACACATACAAGTACTATCTTTATAATGTCTTAAGAAGCAATGATTAATAAAAAAATCATTGATCTGTTTTATTAATCACTTATACTAGTATAAAATCAAGGGTGATATCAATCAAGAGCCATGTATTCTCTGAAAAAGATGCTGTACACTTTTTTGGGGGAATACTTTTATTCAAACATTCAAACATATTTATTTGCTATTTTTACAGAGGCTATACAATTACCGTGGCAACAAGGTCTGTTGTCCTTTGAATATTTGTGACCGTATCAGCTGTGCCTTGAACTTCAATCTTGACCTGTATGGCAAGGAGGAAAAAGAAAGAGAGAAATTATTATATCATTCAATTCATATAAGTTGAGAAGTCATGAAATTTAAGTAAACCTTGACAAATTTTGGTCAGATTAAAAAACCTACTCCGGAAGAAGCAGAAAGTCAGAGAAGTAGACTGGTGAAATTTTGAATGAAATCCGACAAAAACTGAGGAAGTTATGAATTTTTGAAAGTTGCAATCACTAAAGGTATGGGCTCTTTCAAGTGGCCAAATCTTTAATATCTCTGTGATTTAGTGGCGGACAAATTTCACATTTGTTCCAACACGAAACAATGAATAAAATTTTAATTTCTTCAAAAATGTATGACTTGGGATGGTCTTTTTTTTTTTAAAGAGGACCTGTAATAATATACTCTCAATAATAAATGTTGAGTAGTGCCCCAAGGGTGAAGGCACTTGGGAGAAATACAAATATTAGTGACATTTTTTAACACGACAAGGGGAGAGTTGAATGGCTCTACATCACAATCCACTGACAAAATTGCCAATTTGAGATTTCACATAGCTGTAGTGATCTCAGAATTCAAACATTCATAACTTTCTTATTATTGGTTCGATTTATTTCAAACTTTCACCATTCTGTTTTCCTAATTGTTCTGCTTTCACTCAAATTAACTAAGTACAAGGGTTGGATGGACTCATCCAGGAACGACAAATAATGATTTTACCAGTTATTGATATTATTTTTGATTGATTTGATTTTATTTCTGCATTTTTTCCATATATAATATTACTGAATAACAAAGAACATATAAATGTAAGGTATAATACAACATAAACAAACAATAATTTCTTCATGTCAAAATGTTTTTTTAAATAATATATGTACATATGATAACGAAACTTAATATTTCCATAACATATAATCATAAATTTAAAGTATTATCCAAACTTTTCTATTGGAAAAGTGCAGGAGACCGCAATCATAAGCAAAGCTTGACAAGGATGGCGGCCTCAAAAAAAACAAAAAACAAAACAAAAACAAAAACAAAAAAACAAAAAACAAAATATTAAAGTAAACCTTAAAATGAAAGTGTTCAGATGATCTTTGTGTATGAGTTTGTGAGTGTGTTATGATACTTTCCAATTTCCCCTGACCTCCTTTTTCAAAATTTGTATCTTTAACCCATTCCGCTTGCTCTATTCTAAACAGTAAATAATCATTATAACGGTTCCAATGTCATAATCTGTATTTATTCTGTTGAAAAACGCCCCCTACTACAGTTTCAACATCAATACTTGGGATGTACTTTAAACAAACAGCCATAAACACTGTTCATTCAAATAATAGATACCGGTAATAGTTTCACCAGCTATGGATACTATCACTGTTTCCTCTTTCCATTGAAACTTTACCTTGAAACTAAATCCATATCATATTTCAGATGTACTTTTTAACAGATGTTATATGAAAAATGAACTCATAGTATACTCCATTCTCTACTGAGAACATTAACCTTTCAATACTTTTGAGAAAACCCCTTAAAGACCTACCAAGTTTAAGTTTATAATGTAAAATGCATAGAGAACTAAATTTGTACTTATTAGGCGCTATACAAATGTAGCGTTATTATATAATAAAACTATGAGGAGCAAATCCGGCAGACACATATACATGTATATACAATTATTGTGCACATACATGTATGTTTTTTTGCTTTTCAGTGGATGCAATTTCCAGCACAAATTTGTTTGCTTTAATACATACATGTACATGAACATGCTTACATACATGTAGATGTAAACGAACATGCTTTTCCTGCTTGAAGCAGGAAAAAAACAATATTAACTTATATATACCCCCATGCCTCATCATACACTGGTAATCACCAAATGTGTGAACACGACGATTAATTCAGGAGTTGAAAAATTGTCACCTATGGGCCTCTACGGAAGCTGTGAATCTTTGATGTTATGATTGCACCCAAGATCTGTGTTAGCATTCTGGTATGCAATATGGAGTGTGAGGAAGGGAACTACATGTACATGTAAATGTAGCTTAGTGGTTGGAGTAGTGTGGTCTCAGAAGCAGAAGGTCCCCGGTTCAAAAGCATTTAATGTACATGTACTAGAGCCCTTTGCTAAGTAAAATTTTTTTAAAATGTTTCTTTATTACTCAAAATTCGCAATACTTGAGGGGCCATCTGTTAGCTCATTGGTAGAGCTGTGGGCTTAAACCTTGCAGGTCTCAGGTTCAAAACCCAAGGGGGATAGTACCTTTTGCTATATTAAGAAATCCATGAATAGAATTTAAAGTGATAGGTCCCCTTGTAGTTAATGACAGTATTATATGTCTGTCTTATTGGCAGACAGGTACAAAAAAAACTATTTTGACATCTTAATATCAAGTAACTCTCTTCCATTCATACTGTGTGAGAAACTATATTTTATTTACTGGTAGTTGTTGCTTTCAAAATATATGATCAGGAGATCAAATTATGGATTATAGAAGTGTTACACGTAACAGAGGGGAAGGCAGCAAAAAAATTACATGGGAACGGTGGGCAATTTAGCCGTTGAAAGCTTAAAAAGTGCTCTGGTAAATCAAAAAAGTGCTCTGGTAACAAAATAAAATGAAATACTTTAATGTCGCAGTGAGAAACCTGCACTTATACAACACAAAATCCTAAAAAGAGCTCCAGCGAACAAGTGTTTTTTTAATGGGGGGGGGGACGACTTTTGTGTTAACATATAAAGTGTACAACTCAGCTAGAAAGTCATGTTGTAAGGAACGCATTATCATGTCATACACAAATGTCAAATCCATTATTCAATTTGACGTCGCATATTGAGTGCAGCTAAAACCTAGCTCGGAAGATGATGTGCTAGTGCAACGCTGTACATCACATTTGGATGAGCGCATAAGCATGTTGCACATGCTTTTTGCTTGCTCTCCAAAAGAGCTCTTATTTGCCTGTATTTACTTTGTATATCAATTTGTGTTGTTACCAGTAATTTATATAAATCAAAACTGAAAACTCACTTGTTCATATAGTATGTATAGCACAGCATTTACGAGCTCTTGCAGCGCAATAGAATAGATCCACATAGTTATTGCGCTTTACAAATGAATATTATTATTATTATTATGTAGAATGCTCACATCATGACGTACAGTACATCATTTTTCTTTAAAACATTCAGGGATGGGTTTTTTCTTAGATGCTTGAAGTCAAACGAATAAAAACATCCACTGCCAAGACATGGAGTGGTATCTGAAAGCAATGTTACCGGTATATTTCATGTTAAAAAAATATGAGAATCGTCAAAACAGATCAAAAATTAGGACAAGCCATTGGTCAATATTTTCGCTAGGATGGCTGTGTTCGAGTAAAGTTAAAAGAGACATCTGCACAAGTGCTATTTAAAGGGTAAATGTGTTCAGTTTGTTGAGACAATTAACGTTGTTTTCCCTGACATGAAAGAATTAGCACTTGACCAAGCCACCTCGGTCTACTCACAGTCTTGTGTTTCTTGTGCTGCTCGTCGCCATATTTCTGTATATCTTTGACGATATCCTGGAGTTTCTGAACAAGTTTCTGATGTGAGGCGGCAAGTTTGTCAGTGGCAGCCTTGAGCACCGTCCAGAAGGGAGCAAATGTTCTGTTCGGAGAAAGAAATGTGAAATTAGTAACTTAGACTAGACGATTACATGTACAAAATATAGGACATTTACCAATACAATCAAATTGTTGGATACCCACCACACCCATAGCCCTGATATTTCTACTAAAAAAAAAAAAATCTAAGGATAAACAGTGAAAACGTTGCATCTTTACAATGCTTGGAAAGGTATTCTTTACTTTACAAATTTTGGGGCAAATTAAATAGGTGCATAAATTAGTGCTGTAACATCACGGATATCTCCAATTCCGTTTAACCGCCTGTCAAAACCGGACGGTTTTCGGTTAAACGATTTATTTAAAAAATAAAAAAATAAAAAAAAAATCTTCTTTTTTTTTTTTTTTTTTTTTGGCCGTGTGAAAAAGCAGGAAGGTGATTTAACTGAAGGCGCCGATTTGTGCTTGTGAACTAGTCACAAATAATAGTAACAATGTCGTTTTAGAATAATGTGTAAGATCATTAAAGTAAATTAAAAACAGTAGAGGACCTAGGATAGAACCTTGTGGTACACCATGTGTTAAACTTGGATGAATATATATTGAGATCTATTACAAATATTACTTTCAAACCAAGATGACAGACAAATTGGAGTGTTGTTCTAGTTTCCAAGTGGTAAGTCATCACACCGACTACTGAGCTGGGAGACATTGTCAGGCATAGTGCCAGGTGGAGGGGCATAAATTGAAACTTTAAAAAAAAAAATAATAAATAAAATAAAAAAATAAATAAAAATAAAAAAATTATAAAAAATTATAAAAAATATAAAAAAAAACGGGAAAACGAAACCGTCCAATTGAAAACGGAATCCGCCATGGGCGGTCGGATACCGGACGGTTAAACGGTTGACTACAGCACTAGCATAAATATTCTACTGTAAATATCCTACTGCATCTTTAGTACATGCTCGTAAAATTTTTCTTTGCATTTTGGGGAAGTAAAATTGGCATTAACATGAAAGTAAGGTACATGTACGTGCACAGAGTATTTGTTTTAAGTCTGTTACATGTGTGTGCAGTGCACCATGCACAAACATGAGCGTAAGTACAGCAAACAAGAGCAGTATTAAAAACAACATTGTGACATTACCATTTTTTATTGTCAGGCACATGCAAAGATCCAAGTAATTAAATTCAAGAAAAGGGAATATATTAAAGACTTCTACTTTCCTATGTAATCTATTTTTAATTGTATCATCACAGTATAACTTTTCTGTCCTCACAGATCCTTTCAAACTTCTTCCCTAAAAGCATTTTGTGCTACACGTAACATACTTTGCATGTACTGTACATGTACCTTTCCAGACATTCTACTAAAATTCATCTTGGGTAATTGCTTATAAATTATCAATGTTACAAGCATAGCATCATTCATCCCCTTAATATCAGTCGGAGTGCTGTGTAATGGAAATCCATCAAGAACATTAATTATGGACACGATGTAAATTAATTATGAGCATATCCCATAATCCATGCCCACATTCATTCCACTGCCTCTGAATGCTGTCTGTATACATTAGGCCTGTCCTCATCAGCTCCAGATTGTGAAATATCCCGCTATTTTCAGACTCGGGCTATTATCCTGATGCTTGAACTCGCGTCTTCACAAGACCGATACGCTCATCACGAACTAGCTCGAAAAGTAATCTCAAGATTGAAGCATGCGCACTTCAGAGACCGGCTGTACAACCAGCGAGCGGATTTCAAATTTTACCCGCGCTGTAAAACGTACACAAGTACCGGCTGTGAGCTGTGCATGCATGCAGCACAGGTTAGAGCATGTGCTACAAGCTAGTTTATTCACACACATGGCAAACAGGAAATCGTTGTGCATGATGGGATCGGGACATTTGACTCCGTACTTCGGTCTGATGAAGTTGGGCGCAAACAATCCCGCTATTTGGGAAATAGCGGGATATTTTGCAAACTAGACCAAGATATCTTGGGATATTATCCCGACCAAATATCCCGCTAATTTGCTACTTCGGGCTGATAATGACGCAAATTAGCTGGATAATTTGCGATCGGGATAGTTCAAATAGCGGGATAGTTCAAATAGCGGGATATTTGGCAATCTCGAGCTGATGAGGACAGGCCTATTGTGATAGAATATGGTTGCTTCCTTGTGGTTTTTAATCAGGATATTGTTGTTGGGGGTTTATAAAAGGATATTAACCATCAAAATTCCATGAACATGGTGGTTTGTTATCACTGAAAGAATATACATAATTAGTGCAGGAATTAGCCACTAAATTCCCACAATTTCCTTTCTTTGAATTTTTTGCAGTATTGAAAACGAAAGGATTTTTATCTTTGTTGCCTTGTGGTCCATTTAATATCGGACTCGATCAAACAACAGCATCGTACATGTACAATGTAAATGTATGTACTACAAACCCACAGTACCATAAACATAAACCCAATGAAGACAGGGATTTTTAAGGATTAACATGATCAGCTAACGTTCAAATTGGCAACAATTTTTTTTTTTCTTTCACTGTTACTTTGTCCCATGAAAAAAGTCACATATCTGCATGGTACATGAATATAGGAGGAAAATTGTGTTTCTTTTTCTTTTATAAACATACGCAAGAAAGGAAATTTTAAAACTATACGTCGACACAAATATACACAGATAACCCCTTTTGACATTCTACTGAACTACATACAATGTATGTACATCTTGTTTTAATATATCACTTTACAACAGGATATGACTTATTTACAGCCCTTAATTACAGGTGAAGTTTTCTGTCTTCTGGGAAACTGAAGAATGTCTCATTAATCAAACCATAGAAAGAGTGGAGAGAGCTGTTAGGATTTGCCATTACAGCTGCACTCAGCTAAACAAGTCTGAATACATGTACCCCCACTCATCCATCACGAAAGGGGACAATATTGACTCACTTAAACACACCAAATTCCTCAAATGAGGTTTAAAATTAAAGGGATCGTTTAACAATGTTAAATCTGAGATGCACGGCCCTAGGTGTTATCAGTGTCTATGATATGGTGTTATATTGAAGCCCTAAAAAAATTGCGCTTCAAAATGGTCAAGACGGGCCTCAAAAAAGTAAAAACCTTTGAGTGACCGGTTACACCATACTTGTTTTTCCCAATAGACTGTACTGTTATGAAAACCGTTTGGCAAACGCAAAATTTGATTTCGATTTTCAATCATAAATATCTTGATAATCAGACAGGTGATCGGCTTGTAAAAGTCATGGAGTTCCTGACTGACCTAAATGTTTATAATTATCATTGCAGCATGAGCTAAATCAAGGATTTTTTTAAAGGATCTAAGACAAAGTTAATACCGGATCCCTTTAAACCAACGTCAACAAATCATGACGGCTCTGATAAATGTTTCCAAATATTTTGATAGAAGTACTCACAATCATGTCAATACATTAAAAGTTTCACTGGAGTTTGATACTACATTTAAAGGGAAATTCGTGATCGACAACGCAAATCTCAAGTTCTTGAAGGAAAACTGAATTTCTGAGAGAATTGTTTATTATGCAGTAGGTGACCGGTGAAATGTAAACAAACCAATGAAGGCTAGCTAGGAATCAAATCCAATGAAAAACCAAATACACATTTGCAAAAATTTGACAAGTGTGCTACTGGTCAATCAGCAGTCAGGATGACCAGCTCCATTTCCTTGTTCAGTTGAACCTTGATAAAACAAACTACTTGGGTGAACATGAGGTGCGTCTTCATCATCTCGAGATTGCCAAATAGCCCACTATTTCTGATTTGGGAAATAATCCCGAAGTTACCAATCACGTCTTCATCAGCTCGAGGTTCGACCTCGAAACTTGAAACTCGACCTTGAGAAATAAACTCAAGATATTTTGCTCAGCGTTAGCACATAGTGCGAGTCTTCGGTCTGGTGAAGACGCACAGGACAAATAGCTGGATATTTTGCCAAATAGTGGGATATTTTGCAAACTATCCCAAGATATCTTGGGATGATAATCCCGACCAAATATCCCGCTAATTGCTACTTCGGTCTGATGAAGACGCAAATTAGCTGGATAGTTTGCGATCGTGATAGTTCAAATAGCTGGATATTTGGCAATCTCGAGATAATGACGACAGGCCTAAAGATACCACTTTCATTGAAACCTTGTTAAAATTTTATCTAGAATATGAAACAATAGAGTAGGTACACAAAAGTGGAACTGGAAAAAATAACAATTTCATAAAGACCAGCTGTTCAGTGTTCAGTGTTATAACAAAATTCTACTAAATATGCTATACCCTTTTCTTTTTCTTTGTATGTCACTTCTTTTGTCTGTAACATTCAGTAAAATTTTGGTTTGATTCAGATTATTCTGTGTGCATTTCATCATCATTTTCTGTCAATATAAGAACTCGGGAATAATGATACTAAAAGGTCACCTAATTGTTTTTACTGCATGTGGTTTAACACCTCTGTAAACACACCTCGTGGTTTTTAAAGAGAAGGTTGAGTTCTGGGAAGAGGTGAAAAATAATTTGTGAGAATTACTCATTCTTATTATGCAAGTGTGGAAGAACATCAGTTAAGACATGTTCCCTGAAAAGCATGGCTCTTCAAATGCCTTCATATTCTAAATATGCATGTAACATCGTAAAAATCGGGGGGGGGGGGGGGGCCGGCTTTTTACACCACGTGTTCGTGTAGTCCCATATACATCTTTCTGTGCAAGTGTTTGTAACTTTACCAAGACTTGGCCAAATTTCTTATCATTTTGTTGATTCCAGAACCTTGTAATACACACAAATTCTTGTACATGTACATGTATGCTAGATGATCAACCTTTTCTGGTCGGTTCCACACCATTTCTTTCACAATGCAATCGCAAGACAAGAACTCAACTTCATCTTTAAGCACTAAAAACACTTCCAAAATAACCCGATATCTAGCCGAGGAGGAGGAGTAATGAACTAATTATCTGTCTTTTTGGAGCTAGAAGGGCATTAACTCATTTACTCTGACAAAAAAGTTAGTGCTCTTCTGATTCTGAACAGACATAATAATCATATAATTAGAAGAAAACTTTACAACGCTCTACTTTAATTAAACCAAGGCGGGGAAGAGCTTATCATGTCTGACAAATAAATTTGGGAACGGAGCAGACGCTGCATCATTAAGTGGCTCGTAATAAACGAAGATCGTAAACATTAGACAACAGCCGACGAGTTAACCGCTGCGCACACTTACCCGAGCTGCGAACAATTACTGGTGGACTTGGCCAATTTGCTGACGCTCTTGTGGTAGGTATCCTCGATCAGAGACCTGGAGGAAGGGAAAGAAACGAGAATACGATCAATTAGCCACATCAACTCTGTCAGGGTTAATGATAATGGAATATTAATTTGTTTTACAGGACACAGTGTGAGGGACATGGATATGTAGTCAATTCAGAAAAGAAGTGTTGGTTACTCTTTCAAATTCATGTATTAAGGGGGGAAAATACATGGGGGCTCGGGGCAAATTCGCCCCCGAAATGCCAAAAGAGCCCCTAAAAGTCATAAAAGAGCCCCATTTTTTTTTTTGCATAGAGTTCAATGCAAAACAATTCAAAATTCAAAAGTATTATTTTCATGCAAGCCACCGAAATATTTAAATAGTTTTTTTCCCTGCATGTACATGTACATGTAACAAGAAGCAGATCTTCACAGATCTAATGCGAAAGAATCTCCAGAGACTTCTGAAGCATATTTTTAATATGTCCTGTCCTCTTCAAATCTCTCTCTCTCTCTTTCTCTCTCTCTTTCTTTCTCTCCATCTTTCTACATCCATCTCTCTGTCCCTCTGCTTTTCTCTCACGTTCTACCCCTCCCCAACCCCTCTTTGTCCCTCTGCTTCTTTGGGAATCCCCCCCCCCCCCCCTCCCCCTTATTGCTGCATACTGTACAAAGTATATGCAGCCGCAATTCTCAGACTTCTTCAAAACGGGCATAATATTCCTACAAATACACAATTTGCTGACAAGAAAGCTTGGGAACATTCTTGAACATGTGTACTAAAGAAATAGCACTTGGGTTTCAAAAAGGGCGCATGGTGTTCGTACCGCCCCCCCCCCCCCCACCAAAAAAAAAACTGCCAGTGTTATCAAGGGGGTACAGATATAGAATTGACTACTGTCTTGCAGAAATAGGCCACTAAACCCGTCCCTGGTTTCCGCTCTTCTTCTAGTTTGATCTGATATCTACATCTAACGACATCCTGAGACTGAGGAAATTGCCTTGTGTTTATTGCTCAACAGAGTTCCACCAAGTCTGTGGTTAGAGGAAGTGGAGGAGGTGGAAGAGGAAGATGGCTACCCGTGATAAGATAATTATAGGTCAAGAGTAAGGGGTGGTGAAGGACTTGTCACTGAGGTGGTCACTGGACCAAGTTGAAATTTGTTGCATGTTCAAAGAAGAAATTTAAGTAAATACACTTTTTTAGAGAGAAAGGAGGTTGTCACTGGACCGAGTTGAAATCTGTTCTATTTTTTTTTTTAATGTCAAAGGGAATATACTTTTGTTGAGAAGAAGGAGGTGATCGGTCGATCGGTCGACCAGTCTTAAATCCATTCCATGTTTCATGAAAACATTTCAGAGTGAAAATACTTTCTGGAAAGAAAGGAGGTGGTCATTGGACTAAGCTGAAATCTGGCCCATGTTCAAAGAAAATGTTGACATGAATTTACAACCAAACACAAAGTGGTTTCCCATGTCACGTGCAAATAAGCCACCAGTATTTTTCAAGGAGTGTATATCTGGACTCCTTGACCGAGCATCTCACCATTTCCCTTCATCATCCCTGTTCTGCTCTATATCTTTATGTCAGTATCAGATATCGTTACGACTTGTGTCATGTGACCCAGATCTATCAGGTGACCTATTACACGCACCACTGTTTCCTCTGTGCATGGATCGATAGCAAAGATAAATGACACACTTGATCCTCCTCTCTCTCTCTCTCTATCTCTCTCTCTCTCTCTCTCTCTCTCTCTCTGATATTTACATGTATAATAAATAAAGTATGTTTTATGTTTCCAGCAACGTAAATAATTGGTCCTTAGATGATTTGTTCCATTTTTACCCAGTCCTTGCTCATCAAAATCAATGACACAATTCCTACATCCATTTCTATCAAATTTTTCACCTTGTTTCAACAACAAAATCTTCTTCTTATCCTACAGGTGTACCTTTTCACGACATGAAAGGTCAAATAGATGAGATACAAATATTGTCTGCTGATCGAGAGCCATAAATGAATTTTACTCATATCCCTTTGAGTTTAACACCCCCTCTCACTCAAGACTGAATATTTATATACTGTACATGTTTACAACATAGAAGAAGTACTACATATTGAGCTCCCTCTGAGCTCAAGAATATACACAAAAATAATGATCCTCCGTACATTGTGCATATTACATTGCAGCTTGTGTACAACTGTTAATTAAGGATTTAATTAGGAGGTTAGGAGAAGTGTCCCGAGATAATCATGTAGAAGGAAGGTTAACACATGGTTATTAATATTAGTACAAATCTACTTTCTTTTACAGTCTTTTACAGTAAAAAAAACATTACAGCAAGAAAGAAACAAATGATAATAATCACACTAGCAAAACAGATGCTATCCCTGTTTGATACATTTAAATATATATTGCATGTTTGTTTCCTTTAATACTTGTTTGTCTGTTTGTTTGATATAATTATCTATGTATTGTTCTTTGGGGGTCAGTGTACTACAAGGCTATTTGATCTTTTTGTTGACCCCCCCCCCCCTCCCCCCCCCTCCCCCCCCCCCCCCCCCCCCCCCCCCCCCCATCCCCCATTCTCATAATTCGTATTTGTCTATTTGCTCTGTATTGTTTTCTATTGATGATGCTCTGCTTTGATATATATATATTTTATTGCTGTTCATATTGAGAGTGAAAATAAAGACTGAAATGATTGATTAAATTCCAATTTCACTTCAATTTCAATTTTCAAGAACATGGCCCTTTGGCTGATACTTATTGATTTCCTTTAAAGTGTTTCCATTTGATGAAGCCCGGAGTAGGTAGGTACAGTAGCTCACTGAATATTTAACCTCATTCCTCGCAAGATGCGCATGAAGTAGCAACAGACTTGAGCAGGGAGGCAGGAATACCTTTACAGTGTCCATGCGGAATTCATAACTCTCAATTTTAATGGATTCAAAATCATGCTCCAAAGTGGCAATTAACTGAATTGAAATTTGAGAAGTCTGGATATGCCCTATGATATTTTCTCAAGATATCTTCTACAAGATTGAAAATCAATTTTTATTTTATTTTATTTTTTGGTGCAAAATAATGCTTGCCTGATATTAAACTTTCATGAAATAAAACTGATTTAAAAACACTTTGCTTTCAATTTGTTAGGATAAGTTTTAAATCACGGTGCTTCGTTTAATTGTTTATATTTTGATATACATGTATGTGTGTACATCATAAACAATATCCAACTACAAACCTGATAAACCCATTTTTGTATTTCAAAATGATAAACATGCTTTCCTTTTTCCCTTCTTCCAAAATATCATATTGAATATCAAATATGGAAGGCTGTACCTGTAGATTGCAGAAAAGTGAGTCAACCGATCAGTATCATATTTTTCTGAACTTCTTCTCTATTTTTTTGCATGAAAAGTATACTTTATCTTACAAAGGTCAATTCTTAATTTTGGAACAAACAATCTCTTCTTCCTTGTTGCATCCAGTCAAGACAGATGGGTTATACGACAAATGAAAATCAGAGCAGAAAATTGTTTTCATGCACATACATGCACTGGACAGAATTACGGGAGAGATGAGCCCCAACATGACTTTTTAAAAGGGCATCCACTGAATTAATGAATTCATAAAGAGCAGACGAACTTCGTTGTGCTTCTTTCATTTATCATTTTGACTCCCAAATGCCACAGGGCAAGCTGACATTTTACTAATAGACGGATCACGGATGCCTTTTTTTGTTTATAAAAAGTGCACATGTTGTAGGACCTTAATTTTTGTTTCAACAAGTCACAGACGGTCACATACTTTCAAGAATATTTTTCAAGGTTTACAAAGTGCGCTACCACACCTTTAATAATATGTACGTTGAAACTACTCGTATGCAGAAAATGTGAAGAATGTTTGCGTCATGACCATATTAACATCATGAAAGTGCTCAATGATCCATGAAATTGGCTAATTAATCTAACACAATATTAATACGCATGAAACAATTATGCACATCTCCCCCAAACTGCTTTCTTTAAATGTTCTTTAATGCCATATAGCGCACATGCCCATTTTGCTAATAAAGGATTTATATGTAATTCTTTAAAGCTACTATATCCATTTGCATGCCAATAAAATGAAAAGGTTAAATTCCAACGGCATTCAAATTTAAAAACGAAAGGGTTTAAAAGTGGCTTCTTCATACAACGATTCCTCTCGTCTCAAAGGGCTTTCAGATCAGTCTAGACCACTCTCATTGTGTTTGTCACTGGCAACAAAGTGACTCACCCCTAAGCTTATCTCATGCACAAATAACCCGTCTGCGTCTAGATGCTGCTCTTCAATATTAAGACTAAATTACGTTTTGTGCGTTTCCTGAATTTTTCATCACAAAGATGCACTCCCCGGGTACAGTAAATGCTTGGAAATTGTTCATGCAGGGCCTAATACCGAATGCATTGACTCGCTATGGAATGCAATATGTGGAGGAAAGATATTCTCCCAGCATACCGTACATAGTAGGATAACATTGATCGAAGATCTCTTATTGTGCAGAGTCGCATTATTCTTTTTAAAAAGCATTGTCTGCGCTAGCTTGCCAAGCGTAATTTCCAATGTGTAATGATGCACACAGTTTCATAGCTTTTTTCTTTATTCTCCCTCATTTTATATGCATTCTTGCACCGTCATGTTAGTTTAGAGCTGTCATGTTCTCTAGAGCTGTCTCATATGTAGTTCTCTCCGTCTCATATGCAAATCCTTCCTTACTTGCTTATTAACGCCTTTCCAGCTCCTCTTATGTTGTCTGCCAAACCTCATCAGCCCCCCCCCCCTCTTCTCTCTCTCTCTCTCTCTCTCTCTCTGTCATTGTCTCTCCTCTTGTTTCCAATCTTCCTTGAGTAGGTCTGAATTGCGTCCACATTAACATCCCCATCTTTCTACAAGTAAATATTGCTTAGTGCTTACACACTTCGTGAATTTTTTTCCTCTTCTCTTCTCTTCGTTTCTCTTCTAAGTGTTCTGTTTTCACACTAAAGAATTTGCCACAAGAATATGCAGACCTGTATGATTGGGGATCGTGTGTCTGCCGTCCGGACGCTTAACCAAAATAAAGCCACCACTTTTGCCTTTTGGATTTAACAGAATGTATACATGAAATAGCACTAACCATCAGAAATATTGATCCCTTAGAATTTCTTAAACACAATTCTTAAATGATTTATGATATATATTGCGAGTAAACTTCTTCAAATTACCATTTTCAATCAACTGTCCGCATACACAACCTGTCTGGACAAACAACGTCTGGGTATACATGTACTATACAGTATTATGTACATCTCCAAGTACACAAAGAAAATAGATAAATTTCCTTACATACACTGACCAGCACTGTCCAATTTATGTATATTTATCATGAATTTCTACTTGGTCCGTATCTCGATGCAGATCTGAACTTTCTTTCACCGTTAGGTCCACTCCCTCTACCAGATAAGTATCAGAAGCCTACGTGTTTGTACATGTAGTCCCAGTCTACTCTCCCACATGTAACTAAACGTCTACCACTCCTAGCTGCATGCAACCTTGAATATTCATGCCTACATCTCACTCCCACTTCATCTCCGAGACAGTTGCCCTTTGCAGCTAACCAACCAAGTTTCCGAAGAATATATCAAGCTGATAAAAATACACCCATCAATGCCACTTTGTCACTTAGTGTACCCCCTTATACATGTTTCAAAGGCATGTTCACAGTCAAAGATGGATAAAACTACAGGTTGAAAAAATTCTGTTTATTATCATGCATTGGAGCATCTTTCAAATGTGTCTCATCCTTATCTTAAAGCCCCACTGTCCTACTAGTAGCTACTTGCTCCCTCTATATAGTAAACTTCCCCAATCGGTGCCTGTTGTACGTCCCCCATGATCCTCTTTTTCTTGTTAGTTGAGAGCTGAGTTAATGAGATAGCCACCTGTCAGTGACCTGGCTGGGTGGTCTAATCCCTTCTATCCCAGTAGTATTGACGGTCTTTAATACATTATCAGTCATCAGAGCGACATGGAAATTGGAAAGAATTGTGTTTAATATTATTTCACATTGTTGCACTTGTGCCACTGCCAAATTGTTGATATTCTATCCTTGATTTGCAATCAATTCCAGTAAATATTTGAAGGGAAAGAAAATCCATACATGTACATGTACATGTGGGCCTAAACATGTAGATGTATTTACCAAAGCTCAACGGAATTCAAGAGCAAGGATCATAAAAGACTATGAAGTGTCCAGCACACCTTTGATTTGTTTGACATTCCATTTACATTGTAAGAAGTAACCAAACAAAAACTTCAGGTGCAGCCGTTTTATAATTGCTAGTATACATTGCTACATTTCAACAACATTTTAAGAAATGTAATGAAATTGAATGGTGAGAAGTTGGAGCTTTACATAAATATATGAGGGTTTTTAGGGTATTAATTAATTTTGTTAATATTTACAGAAAAGTAAAGGAGCTTACACTCTTAAAAATGTGTGGTCAAAAAATGACCACGTCGTGGTCGTTTTTAACCACGTGTTGGTAGTCAACCATGCACCTTTAAAATCGACCACAACGTGGTTATTTTTGACCACGTGTTTTTAAGAGTGTACTAAACAGGTTTGAAAATCTAGCAGATGCCTGGAAAATGAAATCTGTAGGCCTAATTATATGCATCATCTTCACCAACAGCTCTGCAACTCTCCTCTTCCGCCTCCTCCCCCCCCCCCCCCCTCGTCCACCTTTCTTTCCCCTTCTCTTCCCCTCCTCCACCCCCCCCCCTTCTTGACCCCAATCTTTAAAAAAACAGTAACATGAACTTATTCTAATGTAAATACAATGTACAACGTTTAGTAGTAAAAATTAAAACAGTATCTCAATGAACAACTCAAGAGTAATGCCTTGAATACCAACATACACTGTACATGTATATTACATTGTATACAAGAAATTGTTTGTGTCAATTTCTTTCGGCAGGAAAAACAGTGAGACATTGGCAGCGAGACAAAACAACCACTTGTCCATGCATGCACATGTACTTGAATCCGTTAACATTAAAATGCGGAGTTCACCAATTGCATGGAGGAAATTCACATTCTCTGCTTTATAAGTCAAGAGAGCTAGGGGAAGGAACGTCCGTGAAGGTTGTCTTGAATACTGATCAGCTTCAATCTATAATGTAAGGCTTTTATACGCAGGATCTGATGTATCTCCTCTTGTTCTGCCAAACAGTTTCTAGGACACATCCCAGGACATATATCCTAAGGTTCCAAGTATCAGTTTCTCACAACGGAGAGAGAAAGATGGGAGGGGACACGGAAGAGAGAGGTTGATTAAAGAGATAGATAGATAGATACAGTCGAATTTATCCATTAAGGCCACACAAGGGAAAGAGAACAAGGGGCCATTATACACAGGTGGCCTTCAAATACAGAGATGGCCACCAAGACAAGTTTGACTGTAAATAGAGAGAGGGTGGGGAGAATTGGAGGGAACAGGAAAAAAAAAACAAGATTCTATCTTCTATCAAATCTCAGTCACTCCACCTAACCGACTCTTTTCTGGCATCTACTGAAGTTACTTTATTTGAGTCGATATCGTCTAGATTTATAGTTGTGATCAACAATTAAAGACAATTATTATATAGGTCAGCATAATTCTACTCCCGTTTCTAACATCTATTCATCTGTCTGTCTTGTTTAGTTTCTGTCTGTGCTTCAGTCCTGTTGCTCGTAGTATATTCCTGTTCCTCTTGTTCATAGCCATTATTTAGTAGTCAGTAGATTTTATTGTACATATTTATGTTTATATTTTCTCAGTTGTTTAGTTACTTTAGTTTGTAAGCATTTAAATGTATGCATTGTTCTTATCTGATGAGTTTGTTCTTTTAGGACATACTCATAAGCTACTCATGAGGGACCTAAATCCACAAGCCTTGCTTTCAACCAAGGTCACCTCATCTTTCTATTGTAACGCCATATTCTATTAACTTGTTACAGTATATTCATGTCATATTTGTAATGTGTGTTATGAAAGAAATATAAATAAAACTTGAAACTTGAAACTACATGTTCAGTACATGTAACTGACCAATTCTTGACTGTTACATTCAAGTCACACCGACATGACCGACACCAGACTAACATCTGACTAAACTTCAAACGGTCAAAATTTGATTGGCTTAAGAGTCGGTGTGGTGTCGATTCAGAAGTTTGACTACGTACAGATATGTACAGTATTAATACTGATTATCAATTATCATGTGCTTTGACATTGGAAATAATTGTAACAAACCATGTTTTGCATTTTTGTTACAATCTTGGATTTTACACTGTACATGTTCCTAACGTACAGCGTACATGTATGCCTTAAAAAATGAAACGCCGGTAATAAACATGTATTTATTATTGCTCTACAAATACTATCAAAGAGATCACAAAATCAATGTCTAAAGGTCATAAAAATATATTTATATAGTATTTATAGAAAGACAAGAATATTTGTACAGATAACTGGATTTTTTATTAGCTTTTGTTACAATAAAATGAAGGGATGGGAATGCATTGTTTATATTCTGTACATGATATGGGTAGAAGATAAACAAAAGCCTTGGGTCCTTGCCCAGTAAATTGATGGAAATTGGAATATCTGAGAATCCTATTCTTATTTGATAACTTGGCTTTTCAAAACATTAAAGAATGTTCAAAGCAAACCTGAATATTTTTGCTCTAGGACTATTACAAAAATTTGATTTTTTAGAGATTTTCATGGGGGAAATAATTATAATGAAAACTGCATTGTCAATCATTGTCACTAAATACAATGTTCCGAACGTTTTAAATGTAAATTAGTTACATGAAAACAGGATGTTTATGTTTAGTTCTGAAAAAGAAAATATTGGAATAATGACAAAGAAAAAAACAAGAGGCCTATTAAAAGGGAACATGGAAAAAGCCAGAGAAGGCAGCAGCTAGAAGTACAGTATGTTGATGTAATTTTACAAGGGGTTAACAGTAAGAACTCCCTATCGGCTCTTGGGAGAAATTTATATTCAGCAAGAAACAGCATTTTGTGCATGTACATGTATGTACTGTAGCACAAAAGGTACAACAAGCGTCTATTAAACTTTCACCCTCAATGTATAGAACAGAATTGATAACTGTCTACCTCTTCACTTTAAAACAAATATCTTACCTTTCCTTGAAGAATTCACCAAGTTCCTTGGTCGATGTTTGACCATGTTTCATGTTATTATACAAACATCCAAAGCCCTGGTTCTTCTCCCCCTGCCAAATCAAGCAAAAACAGAAGGAAAAAAAAGTTTAAACAAAACATCAGAAACAAGTTACAAATATCGGTAATATAAAAAATTACTCGGGAAGATATGAAAATATATCATGAAAAGTTGCTTTACTTGAATAGAGGCCTTCATGATAGTCCAACATACATGTACAGTATAGTGTATTCTTAATTTTCCAAAATGTCATTATTATACCGCTTGACTGGAACAACATTTATTTGAAACCACTAAAAATACTGTTATGGCTACAAATAATAGTGGCTTCTTGTATACATGTACATGTACTAGTGCTGATGTCTGGCAATACCTCTTCTGGCGCTCCCATAGTATTATCCCAGCTTACAGCAGGGGTACCGTTACAGCACTCTATCAAACATAATTTCCTGACAGGTACCCACTTTCATCACCTGCTTCAAATGTGGCAAATGTAGATAAATGTCTAGCTTAAAGTTAAAGACCAGTTTTGGAAACGCCCCCCTCTCAAAAAATGAAATGGAAGCTCTTATTAATATGCCATGGTACAAATTTTGCTGAGAAACCGCCTACTAATTGATATATTTGGTAAATTATTATATCTATTTGGACCTGATAAATATTGTGCACGTGTCGCGCATGGTCCCATACATCTTTCTGTGTACAGTGCTTGTAACTTTACTAAGACTGGGCCAAACTTCTTATCATTTTGATGATTCCAGAACCTTGCAGTACACACCAATACTAGATGATCAACCTTTTCTGATTGATTCCATAACGTTTCTTTCACAATGCAATCGCATGACCAGAATTCAACTTTATCTTTAAGGATATATTTAATTAGTGCTGTGACAGGGATTAAAACCTTCCTGAGACTTATCCACTCCTGGCATTATTCTATTCAATATTAGCTGCATTTACACACTGCAAGCAAAAATCATTGATTTTTCTCATATTCCAGTGTATCATCAGAAGTTGCTAAGCAACCACCAGCTAGCACAACGAAAAACTGACCAAAAAAAATCCACCTCTGGAGTGTGTTTTTCTTAATATACGCCAGCAGAAACTTCAACGATCAGAATGATCAAACACCGACAGTTTTTCTGGGGTTTTCCAATAGTGTATAAGGCAGTCCCACAAATCAATGATTTTTTTTATTTTTGTAATGGTGTTAGAGCTGTGTAAATATGGTCCTATTGTTAAAACGGCTAATGACAAGATATGCAATATTTAATATTGATTGGCCTTGAAAGGGATAGTATCGAGTGAAAATAAATTAATTTTCATTACACACAAATTCTAAGATGGGCATGTGGTATGATATACAGGCCCACATGTAAATGTACTGTACATGTACATGAAAATACACTGTACATGTTAGGATATTATGCAGGGGCACATGTGTACAATACTGCACATACTGTACGTATCTAACACTTATCTCTTGTCAAGACACTTGTGATATACTGCGCATGTAATCAAATAACACATTGTATGCTACATGTATGTCTTGCCTGTGTTAGTAACAAATTTCCCTTGTCGCGGCCAATTTTGCTCTGGCCATGCAGCACAATATCCCCTTCAAGGCCAGTCTATATCAAATGATGATTATTATATTGGGCTTAAAGGTAAAGACCAGTTTTGGAAACACCCCCCTCTCAAAAAATGAAATAGAAGCTCTTATTACCAATCATGTGAAAGAATATGTTTTGACTAATACTTGATCATACAAATTTTGCTGAGAAACCGCCTACTAATTGATATATTTGGTAAATTTGTATATGCTAGACGATCAACCTTTTCTGACCGATTCCACGTTTCTTTCACAATGCAATCGCATGACCATAACTGGTCTTTATCTTTAATAATACATACACCTGTATATCACCCATTCATAAATTACACGTCGTCGCTGTTTTCACGAAGTGACGGTAGTGAAAAAATATTGCATTCACTTTGCGTGACTATTTTCCTCACTACCGTCACTTCGTGAAAATAGGGACGATGTACACATGTACATGTACATGTATACTACTATTGATAGAAGCCTTAATGTGCATCTAGAAATTGAAGAAATACACTAGCTTGCATGTTTATTTCACCGCTCAAATACCTGATGATGTAACCTTCATGTACCTGTACATGCAAAGATAGTCTTGAAATACAATTAACTGTATACATGTATGTCAACTTTCCAAAATGCCTTTAAAATGTTTGACATGGAGGTCTGTATAAGGCCTGTCTTCACTATCTCGAGATTGCCAAATATCCAGCTATTTGAACTATCCTGATAGCAAACTATCACCAGACCGAAGACTCGCACTATGCGCTAACGCTGAGCAAAATATCTCGAGCTTATTTCTCAAGGTCGAGTTTCAAGTTTCGAGGTCGAATCTCGAGCTGATGAAGACGCAATTTGTAACTTCTGGATTATTTCCCAAATCAGAAATAGCGGGCTATTTGGCAATCTCGAGATGATGAAGACGCACCTGTAGAGTACAATTCCAATGCCCCTTTCCTATACTGTAGTTCATATCTTGGCATGATGAGGTCTCAGAACACTGCACAAGTGTAGCCAAGTGCCCAAGGCATGTTATTACTAACTTGATGGATTCATGCAAACGAGAGCAGAGAGGGAGAACATACAATGTAAAGAGAAATTGCTTCTATAATTTTCTTGGATTTACATGTTTTGAATGTATGGTTTCATTTTTAGGTGTAAGTGTGAAGACGTTAGATGTTTTCAAAGATCTTGTTCAATCTTTATTTTCATAGAAATAGTCAAAAACGTAATCTCTTCAGGAGTAATACTAATTTTGATTGTCACCAGAGCTCATTTGAAAATTGTTTCTCAGATTCTCAAGCCTGTCTATATCATTAATCTACATTTGCCACACTCTACCCAGGGGAAGTAAATGGCTCTGTTGCAGGAATTCATTCCTTGAAAATGCTACAGCGCTGTGATAACGGCCATGCTAAAGCCAGGGTAATTACAGTGGAGCGCCTGGGTGCCAGAGAGGATCGCTATTTAAACGTAAACCGACTATCATTATTATTACATCAATGTGACCAGGGGGGTGTTTCACAAAGATCCTAATTCAAACTTATCTCTAAGTTGGACTTAAAAATTATGGAAAGCCGATAGCATCTTTGAAAATATTTTGTAAAAGTTATTTTCAAAGGCATAAAATATTGATTCAAATCTTTCACATTTGTTATCATCAAGGAGATTTCATGTTCTTGATGTAGAATTGATGAAAAATCTAAAATACTTGAATTTTTGCTTTTGAATATATTTCATTATAAGGCTACAAATGGCTCTCCATAATATTTAAGTCCAACTTAGGGTTAAGTTTGACTTAGAATCTTTGTGAAACACCCCCCAGGAGCCACAGCATGTGTTTGCTGCCATCAACCAATTAAAAAGGGAGGGTGACGACAACGACATAAAGGGTATATTACAGTTTATAACCAACAAATGATGGGTAGGATTTTGTGTTACGGGGGCACACCTAAATCTCTAATTGATCAGTTCCATGCAGTTGTTATGGTAAACAACTTTCACCTGCGGGGGACCAATTGATCTACAGTGTTCATCTGATCACCAGTTTGTGGGTGGAACATCCATTATACAAGATTGATAACGCCGCATTCACACTACCAAAATTCATCGTATAGATTACATATAGAAGAATCGTATTGCTATATTGTGCGTAAGTTTTTCTAGTCTGAATGTCGTACGAAGAAACGAAGTATACCAAAATGCTTTAGAGTGAAACGTATGTTCGAGCATCATCTGAACGAAAAACGTGTTAAAGAACCAGGGTCTTGTTCTAGTCGTATGTGGGATGGGATTCTTGTATAGAGCGTGTACAGTATGTACACTGATGGTTGGCTAGATGTAGCTGTCAAGTGACCTCTTCAAACAAGTTTCTTAACCGGTATACAGTGTTGTTAAACATGTACATGTACATGTAGTCTGTACGCCCCTTTTGCCATATGATGATTCTCAAAACAACGTTTATTTCTACATTTCGTGTAAATTTTTGACAGTCTGAACGGGCTTTAAGACACAAACCAACCATTTCACCCGGTGGCTTAAGAGCTCAGTTGAGTATGTCATCAATCGATTCGAGCACCTTCTCTAGTTTGCGATTGACAGGTCTCGCGTCCATGTCCATGAACAAATTAGACCCCATTCACACTCGCGTCCATGTTCATGAACAAATTAGACCCCTTTCACACTGCTGAAACAAGAAGGACATCCAAATAGATTTCTTCTGCTCTTTTAGAACTTTCCAGATTTAAATTGCTCTTCACTCCAAGTTTGCAAGCAGTGTGCCCAACAGTGAGACTACGACAGGCTTTGTACTTTAGCCGCTCGTTATTTGAAACAGCCAGAAACTGACAGATCTAGGCTTTGCTCAAGGCTTTAGGAATTGTAAAGTGTCAAACTAAAGTCTGTGCTTGCAGACTACATGTACTCCGCCCCCACGCAACATTTAGAAGTAATCCTGGAGAACATTTCTATGAAGTAGTCTTGACAGATGATCTAAACGGGTAAAAACAAGCATTACTTCACATAACATTGTGAAGACAAAAATAGACAAAACAAAATTTGTGACGTGAAAAGCACACAAGATGAGGCCTGCAATACATCAGGGGTCCACTTTATTCACATTTTCACAGGGGGTCAATAATGAACCAAGTTCTTTACAGATCTGTTCAGGCTCAAAGACCACATTTGTTGTTTCCCTTGAAAGTGGTTTCTTGTTGGAACATGTACCAAAGGAACCTGTACAATGTACATAAAGACCACCTGCCTATAAAGACGATGTGTCTAGTCTCCCTTGGGTGGTCTTTATAGACAGGTTTCACTCTGCAATGAGGAAAACAAGAATCAACTCTGATACTTTCCAACGATCAATACCGCATTTTCACGTTCAACCAGACTATGAAATACACCTTGTCACCCCACCTATTAACGATACAACACATCAGCACTTTCACTCAAACCAACGACTCTTGCCCTTTTAGCCTGCCACTCAATTCACTCCTGAAAGCTCTCTCTTCCGATCTCCGGAGACAGGATATCGAGAAGAACGGATCATAAACTTCCATTATGACGACGCCTCGTCGACAAAACAGGTAGTCCCCTATATAAACAGGTACATACAAATTATAAACTAAAGCCAGGGGTCACAAAATAAAATGGGTCACGAAAGCAAAGGGTTGTTTGCATTGATCGATCCCATATATCCCGATTTAAGACCGTCTTCCGATCTGTGTTTATTCAAACCCACCCCATTTTGATTTTTATTTCTTTTACGGAAGGGTTGCTGAAGGGATGTTTTTTCTTTCATGACTATGTTCAACCTCTAAGTTCTGGTAGGGTCATCTACCGCAACTCATGTCTTGTATAATTGATAAAATACAGTCCTACAAGGCTGCATGTAGACCTGTTCATATAAACCAGTTATTCTTCTTCATACATGTATGTACATACAGGGTGTACACGGGTACATAAAATATATACCCGGTAAATCTTTTCAATATTCTGAACTTTCCTTTATTGGAAGTAAATGTAAAGTCTTTTACTGGATCATGCCACAAACAGGTGTTCAATCAATTTCTATATATACTTGGGGGACTCGAACAGGGATTTCAAGGGGCTGCTTTCTCATATTTTCATACCTGCCAACCTTTCACGACAAAAATTAAGAATCTCTCAAAGCAAAATTAGGAATACAGTCTATTTTGTATACTTTGTTTAACAGAATATTTCCCCGAAAAAAGATACCGGTAATCTAGTGTTCAAAACAAAAGCTTGAAAGTTAAAGACCCAAAAATAGGAATGGTTAGCAGCTACAATGTATGAATTACATGGTAGATTTTGTTTCACCCATTTCATAGCTTTTTAGAATATTATATTTTTGCTAAATGTAGTGCTTCTTTTCCATTCTCAAAAGTATGTACATGTAAAGGTACAACATTGCTCTCAAAACATAATATCCAATATCTCAACCCATGATTGGAACTAGTGCTGTAACATCACGGATATCTCCAATTCCGTTTAACCGCCAGTCAAAACCGGACGGTTTTCGGTAAAATGATTAAAAAAATAAATAAATAAAAAATTAAAAAAAGCCAGGTCCTTGTGAAAAAGCGGGAAGGACTTTCATTTAACTGCGAGGTGCAGTTGAAGGCGCCTATTTGTGCTTGTGAACTTGTCACAAATAATGGTAACAATGTCGTTTTTAGAAGAATGTGTAAGATCATTAATGTAAATTAATAACAGTAGAGGACCTTAGCACTAGGATAGAACCTTGTGGTACTTCATGTGTAAAAATTGGATGAATTATTTTTATAAACTACTGTACATATTGAGATCTATTACAAAGATTACTTTCAAACCAAGATGACAGACAAATTGGAGTGTTGAGTCAACACACTGATTACTGAGCTGGGAGACATTGCCAGGCATAGTGCCAGGTGGTGGCCGGAGGGGCGTAAATCGAAAATTAAAAAAAAAAAAAACAGGAAAATGAAACCGTCCAATTGAAAACAGAATCCGCCATGGGTGGTCGGATACCGGATGGTTAAACGTTTGACTACAGCACTAATTGGAACATTTTTCACAATAGCCTCTAAGCACAAAATGCTTTAATTTGTATTAAATATGCACATGTAGCATGAATATGTTTTGAAAATATAATCAGATACATGTATCTACATTTTATACTGTACTCCATTTCACCTTCCTGCTCCTAGTGCATTTATACTACATGCAAGGGCTTCCTTGTACATCTTCATGTACAGGTGTAGCACTGGAATTCAGCTCTGCAGTGTAAAAAAATTACTGTATCATACAATTTATTAAATTAAGGAATTTATGAATTGGATTCGGATGTGGGGACAGAGTACATGTTGACATTGGGGTTACAATGTACACAGATACAGTGCATTCAGTCAATTACAAACTGGAATTGAACAAATACATAATTTCTGAATGCCACTTCATGTGGGCACTATTCATTTAAGGCCAACATGAGGTCGAGAGACATGGATACCAACAAATTAATACACATAGAAATACATATTTTGTTTTTTTTACTTTTAGTTCAGATTCATCAGGTGTTCAGCTGAGAAATGTATATTTTTTTATGTGTTTTTAATTTGAAGTTAGAAGCAATGATGTCATACTTATTATAAACTGGATATTTTGAATTAAGTGAATCATAAATGTTAAAAAGAGAAACTCAAGAAAACATAAAGAAAGTGAACAACAAATCTCTACCCATCATATCAGTAGTTGTTGCTCACAATAGTAAAACCCATAATTTGTAAATAAATACATGGGTTCATCAGATCTTAGGCCTTACACACCAACTATCATTTTCCTGCTGGTACACAGTGTAACCAACCTTCTTTCGAGTTTAAGGTGACCTCATTTACTGCTTAAATCTCAATAAATAATAATACTGGTAGTCAGGATATCAAATCTGATCTTAGAGGCCTACATGTGTGTATCTACAGTACGTCAATGACAAAAATGAACAGGGACAAAACAAAATTAAGCTCTGCAAAGCTCCAAAGTAGCACAGGGAATTTCTTTTTTTTTAATTAAATCTCTGGGAAAATAGGACATGGTCCTGTGAGAGAAGAAAAGGATTTCAATTGTAAATGGATGTACAAATAATCTGTCAAACTCATATTGTAATGCAGGTCATTATCTTATTTGTAAAGCGCTATATAAAAGCTAAATATTATTATTATTATATAATGATGACGATGATATTTGTAATACACTTGAAATCAAATGATCAAGGAGTACAATTATACAATATAAGATCAAATCAAATCAAATCAAAAAAATAAATGAAAAAGACTGATGTGGCTGAAAGCGATTGCTGACAATTTGCATTTTATCTTTCAGATTTCTTATCCTAAGAAATCCTCAGAAACATCCATTTTAATCATCCTACTTTACCTGCAAAGCCTGGAGTTTGTGCAAGTCCTTTGCGCTTCCAAACAAGTTGATCCTCGAGTGACGTAAAGCCGCATTTTGAGCTTTGGCGGTTGTCCGAACCATGATTCTAACGCTAAGTTTTACTTAGACATGCGATGAGAATACGAAAACTACCCTAAAGGCCTCTTCAACTTTTCAACAAAAAATTAATCCCTACACACGAGAGGGAAATTCTAAGACGCTATGTCAATAGTTCCTTTTGCAAATGCCACCAAGTTCCCATGAATTTTGAACGATAATCTAAAATTCATCCATTCCTTGAATAGCTGATCGCGAGAAGCTCTACAAACAGTTTTTTAAGCACAGCCACGGGTAGAGATGCAAGAGTCTTAAAAGAGAACACCTTTAACCAAGTTCACAATCATCTTCATCTGGCAGAATTTATCGATGAGATCTTCCGAAAGTTGTACTCAGTCCAACTGAAGGGAAAAATCATGAGAATTCGCTCAACCTGAAATTGGATCACTGACCAAAAGTGAATCACAAACTTTGTTTTCCCTCTCCACGCTTCTATGGCACTGAGTCAGAGAGATGACATTAACTGAACTCAACAGCTCGCAAGAACCTCGAACGAACGAGGCCTTCTGAGGACAACCAGAAATAAAGTGTGCTGCTTCACAATGCTCATAGCCAATCAGTCCCAAAGGCAACAAGACGAATCAAATGCCAGGCAGAGTTTGGTAAGCTGGTGACTATGCGATGTTCCATGCATGAATGTGGGGGGATAGAATCAAGTTAAATCCACAATTTCCTACTGGCGTAAAGTCCTGTGAGTAAAGAGGACTGTTGCTTCTGGCTCGCAGCTAAGCTCGATCCGTAAGCTCTCGTAATAGCATAGTCTGTGTGGATCAGACCCTTCAATAAACCAGGGAAGTGTTTCACAAAGACTAAGATCGACTTAAAGTTGGACTTAAAGGCAGGCTTTACTTCTTCAGCTAGAAGGGATTAGACCACCCAGCGAGCCAGCGAGGTCACTGTGACAGGTGGCTATCTCATTAACTCACTCAGCTCTCATTTAACATAAGAAAAAGAGGAACCTTGGGGGACCAACAGGCACCGATTGGGGAAGTTTTCTATATAGAGGGAGCAAGTAGTTACAAGTAGGACAGTGTGCCTTTAACTATGGCAGGCTGTTTATGCCACTGTTTGCTCTTACCATTATGATCTTTAGAATTTTTCAGATATGTTTTCCTTCAATAATGAGTTAATAAAATATGTAAATTCTGTAGATTTGTATGTCCCTTTGAGAGACCAATGCCAGGAAGTGGTGAGAGCAAACAGTGGCATGAACGGCCTGCCATAGTTAACTCAAATTTAAAGTTGATCAATAGTCTAGATGTGAAATACTCCCCTGTGCTACATGTATACCATTACATGCATTTTGTGCAATTTGTGGCCATTAAAACTAATGGCCTCCAAATCAACACTGCAAACAGGTACATGTACAGTACATGTATTTGGCAGAGGGAGGATGGTGGGGGGGGGGGGGGTAGCAGTGATGACGCATAGTACATGATGTAGCCTAAGATTGGCCTACAAACACTGAAATCACTTTCTTCTCCTGTTGAACTACATTACAGTTGAAGCCCAATTTGAAACTACACAAGAATAAATCATAAGACTGTTTGTTTGTTGTTGTTGTTTTTTTTTTGGGGGGGGGTTACATACTGAACAATAACGGCTATTATAAAGTTTTAGCCTTCATGTGAATATGGTGCTTAAAAATAATTGATGTTGTTTTTTTGTTTTTTTTCATGTTGCATCATCTAAAATACAATTCAATTGTGAAGCACATTTTGCACATTGCAAAAAGCTGACTTTCTGAAGATCTGTCGCTAAAGTTACATCGACCTGCTGAGCAAAGTTCTGAAACATGAGACTAGTGGAGTACAGGAAGTTTGGAGCTCTAACACACAGTGGCACCATGGATGTAAGCAGTGTGGTAATTAACAGATCCCGGCCCCAACTCCCAGCAGATTTTCCCATGTTTGTTATTTAGGACGTGCCAGTCATCTGCACGGGACTCCCTCAAATTGCCCTGTTATATTTTTCCTTTCTACCCCTTTTTTTGTTCATGTCACTATTTTTGCTCCTACTGAAAGGGTGGATTTAGTAATCCTTACTCCCAATCTCGAAATTGGCAACTTACTGATCACACTGCATTATAATTTTTCAGTGCTGCAGTAAGTGATAAAGGAAGCACATGTACTCAAAAGCAAATATTACATGTCATTCAATTTCCCTACATTTTTTTTTTCTTTTCATTTCTTAGTTTGATTTGTTACTACTATTCATGCATTTAGTTTTGAACAGATCAAGTCAAGTTCCAACTGCATACATGTACATGTACATGTACATGTATGTACAGTCAAACCTGCTTTAGTGACCACCTGTCTACAAAGACCACCTGTCTACAAAGGCCACTTTTTGTGTTTCCCTTGGGTGGTCGCTATAGACAGGTTTGACTGTAGTTGTAAGTTTTAGATATTTTTACCAAAGTATTTAATGGATTTGCAGTATGATTCTAAAGTGAACAACAAAGTCCCAAGTCTGTTTGTTATGCTTTTTTTCGGAGGGGAGGGGCATCTTACATAATATCAAGAGAAGCTTTCTTTTCATATTATCATCAGATCATCCAAATCATATGAACTAATATCAATGATTATAAAGGGTATTAATATGACAATTCCATAGAAAGGTCATCTCTATACTGTTGGGTACATTAAACTGAGGCTAGTTTTGACTCTGATGATAGCTAGTATAGGCTACATGACACATGTACATTAACTTTTTCAGGGATAAGGTTGAATATGCTATGTACATGTACAGGGTACATGTGGTGGTGGTTATTTTGACCTGACTACTAAGAAAGCATAAATGCTTGTTAGTAAGCAACCAGAGGACCGACGGCTTTAGGTCCTCTCCGATGGACCTGGTAATGAGGATTAATGCCTCACCAAAGGGCACTAGCGCATCGACTTGGTTTCGAACCCGGGTCACCGGATTACAAGACCACTGCTCTACCAACTGAGCTATCGCGCCTCTTGTAGAGGAATTGATGTGTTTTCACCTTCACCTCCCTAATAAAAATCATTGTCACAACAATGTTCATTAGTAACGCTGTTAATCAATAAAGACCCTATTCACACTCACCAAAAACAAGTGCTCTCAATCTTATTATTAAAGGCCGTTCTACATGTACATGTACAGTACAGTGTATGAGAGCGCTCCACAAGTACGGTTCATTCGTTTTCACACTTATTGCACTTATTGCCCTAATGAGGCTTGTGGTGCTATAAAAGGGATCTCTTCTCGTGTCAACTACGTCATAATGGCATGGGTCAGGGTAACTGTGGTCCCCATCGGTCATGATTAATTGATATTAAGCAAATATTAACCTCCTTTACTCGGGCAATGGATACAAACTATCATCGCCGAGGTGATCTCGGGGGCCTACTATCATCCTGAGCCACAAGGCGAGGGATGATGGTAGCCCCGAGATCAGCGAGGCGATGATAGTTTGTATCCATTGCCCCAGTAAAGGAGGTTAATATTTGTTTTATATCCCACATCGGCAATAAGGTCTTTTTAAAGTGAATTTTACATAATTAAAAGAACTGATTCTGCAGATAGTTCAGCTTCAGCTACCGTAGATTTTACAAAGCGCAACATGCATACAATGTAACAAAGTCGATGCGCGCTCATTTGACATTGACATTTCACGTAACCTACTGTGCTACGCGTATTCAATTGCAAGTGGGGCAGCAAAAAGTTCCCTTTACAAAAGTCCTATCGCAGGTAGATAGTACTTATCTATATTTTATCATGTGACCTCGTTTAGACCAATCAGATTGCAAGATTCTCAGTATGCGGGATATAATACAAATTAATGCATCATGATAATTAGGGCTCTTTTTACTAGTGACACATATTGCTGACAATCTATACCAACTGACAATCATTAACATGTTATTTATTAAGTACAGCCAATTGTTGAAGCATTATTAAAAGCAATCAAACAACACATTTACACTCAGGATTGTCTCACATCCATCTGTATATTGCTGTGTAATGTACACATGTACATGTACATGTACATGCAATTCAGCTTCTTGCTGCAAATCATGTTGTCTAATAAACCATTTTTTAATTGAATTGAATTGAATTGAGTTGAAATTTACTCAACCATTCACTTTACACTGTTCATGCATAGGGGGCCAAAATTACCTTGAACAACAGTTTTCCCACCTGCGTGTACTGTACATGTACATGTACATTGTACATGTACCAGTAGGCTTTCATCGAAAGGGTGCGGTGCGGTGCGGCGCGGTGTGGTGTGCTCAACGCACCCATTCGATAAAAGAGGGGGGCCTTTTCTCGAAAGGGTGCGTTGAGAGCGGAGTACCGTTTTAACACACCCTTTCGATGAAAGCGGGGGGGCTTTTCTCGAAAGGGTGCGTCGACTAGTCTTTCGCATCAGTCGTTTAAAATGAGGATCTCGGACCATAGACCTAATCTATGCTCGGACAGAAGGTAATAGTTGCCAATCTAAGTATATCGAAAATGTATTAAATAAAATGGAATGGTCTTGATTACAGAGTGCATGGTCTCTTTCGTTATTACTATGTTGATGGGGGAGACAGAGAGAAGGAAAAAAGGGAAAGGGAAGATAAAAGGAAAGAAAGAAGAATAAGAAGAGAAGAGGGAAACGGGGGGGGGGGGGCGAAGGACTCTTGCCCCCCCCCCCCCGCCAAAAAATAAATCAGAGAGAGAGAGAAGGGAAAGGGAAAGGGAAAGAGAAGATAAAAGGAAAGAAAGAAGAGGAAGAAGAAGAAAATAGGGAAACGGGGGCAAAGGGCTTTTGCCTCCTCCCCCCCCCCCCCCCCGCCAACAAATAAATAGGAGAGAGAGAGAAGGGAAAGGGAAAGGGAAAGAGAAGATAAAAGGAACGAAAGAAGAGGAAGAAGAAGAAAAGAGGGAAACGTGGGCAAAGGGCTTTGCCTCCCCCCCCCCCCCCCCGCCAACAAATAAATAGGAGAGAGATAGAGAGAAGGGAAAGGGAAAGGGAAAGAAAATATAAAAGGAAAGAAAGAAGAAGAAGAAGGAAAGAGGGAAATGGGGGAAGGGCAAAAGGCTCTTGCCTCCTCCCTCCCCCCCCCCCCCCGCCAAAAAAATAAATAAGAGAGAGAGAGAGAGAAGGGAAAGGGAAAGAGAAGATAAAAGGAAAGAAAGAAGAGGAAAAAGAAGAAAAGAGGGACACGGGGGCAAAGGGCTCTTGCCCTCCCCCCCCCCCCACCAAAAAAAAAAAAAAAAGAGAGAGAGAGAGAAGGGAAAGGGAAAGAGAATATAAAAGGAAAGAAAGAAGAATAAGAAGAAAAGAGGGAAACGGGGGCGAAGGGCTCTTGCCTCCTCCCCCCCCCCCCCCCCCCGCCAACAAATAAAAAGGAGAGAGAGAGAGAGAAGGGAAAGGAAAAGAAATATAAAAGGAAAGAAAGAAGAAGAAGAAGGAAAGATGGATACGGGGGAAGGGCGAAAGGTTATTACCTCCCCCCCCCCCCTTCCCGCCAAAAAAAATAATAACAGAGAGAGAGAGAGAGAGAGAGAGAAGGGAGAGGGAAAGAAAATCTAAAA